TCATCCCAAAACGGTCAATATCTTGATAGGCTATGGGATGCCACAGACTTGGTATCAGAGCCAAGCCTTGTCCCTTTGGCTAGTGGTGGGGCACACCTCAGCGAGGACCTTGAGTCCCTAAGGGGGGGTGGACTGTGACATCTTAGGTGAATCTCACATCAGCTAAGCATAAGGTACAAATAAAGTACATAAGAATAGCCAAGCCTTGTCCCTTTGGACAGTGGGATGCTGAGTCCCTAAGGGGGTGGACTGTGACAGCCTAGAATCACACATCAGCTAAGCACAATGTGTAGATGGAGTACATAACAATGGGTAAACCTTAGACTAGCAAGAGACATTTTGGGCTATTGAGTTGGTTTCAGCCCAAGAACAAAGCCGTGAAGGCCTAGGCTATGGGATGCCACAATTGAAAATTCATTTTTTTCTCTCTTTATCTCCTAAAATCTGAAACCTAAAAACTCTCTTTTCTCCTTTCATCGGCGACCACTGGTGAGCTCTCACCGGTGGTCATGCCTTTTCCTTTTTTTGTTTGCAAATAATCCTCATATCTGTATACAAATCTAAGTTATTGTCATTCAAATATTGAAATTTATTGTTGCCCATATATTGCGATGTTAATCTCATATCTAGTTCTTAGTTATAGTTGTCAACATTAATGGTAATTTTGTTTAGAGTCTTTTGTTATTTGAATAGATATGAATAAAGAAGTGCATATCTCCTTTCTAATAAAAGGAAAAAAATTTGAAAGTGATCGGATTGGATTTGTAGAAACACCATGTAGTCAAACTGTGGCCATGAATAGTCACCAAATGGAGCTGTCAACTGAATTATATACTTCAAATCAAGATTGTGTTTTTATGTTAATCTGCATCTTATATCTGTATACAATTTTCTCTTAGTGAAATGCAAACTTCATGATACTAAAAAGATGACTTAAAATTTTAATTCTTCTTTTTGTATATTATTATCCGTTTCATAAACTATATGATATGCAAACGTTAATAATAATATATTAACTAACTTGAATCAATAAATGTTTCAATTTGTATAATTTTATAAATAAAAAACATGTATTCATATCAAAATTACACTATGAAGTTTTTATTATTTTATTTATTTATAAAGTTGTGATCTATATTTTCTCAAAATATAACCTATCATTTAATCTTTATACCAATATTTTAATTAGTAATTTATGGTTTAAAGAAGTAATCCAACTCTCTCCCTCTTTCTCCATTAAAATTTTCTTCCTTTCTCTCCATTGAAACACAAAAATCAAGCATTTAGATACGGAGGAGAAGTTGATCTTGTCTCTTATGACAATCCACCTCATATTTTTAGTTTTGTTGTAAATTTTCATGTTTTTGTAAATAAATTATAGATCTATGTCTATGGCATAGATTAATGTTATTTATATTTCTGTTATTGTTTGTATTTTATCTCCATTTTGTGTGAAGTTTATGATCTCTCTATTTCATGTGGAGTATTTATTGTGTTTTTTTTGTATTTGTTTGGTTTTATTTGGAAAAGTGTGCAATTTGTGGAGAATTTTTTAATTACACGATGATTTTTTTGAGCCTGGTAATACTGCTTGTTCCTCCATTTGATTTAGTGGTTTAAATCCTCTGTGCTCATCATAAACAACTAGTTCATAGATAATTAGATTATGTACAGAAGATTCGAGGAGTTTATTTAACCAGCCATGTTTGAAGATCTATCAGTTTTTTTAAGTTCACCTTCCAATTTTTATTAGGATTCTTATTAGATCAACGAATAATAATTATATAATAGTTTTTGTTTTACGTCTGATCTTCAAGAAAGGGATCATGTCCTCCCCGTATTATTTGTAGCGATTTGAAGTTTTTACTGAAATTCTACTATATTATATTCAGAGGAAAAAAAAAAAAAGCAATCCAAAATTTTTATTTTTGTGTTTTTGTAGAATTTTTGTTATTTAATCCATAAGAGTTTTGCATGGTTCTGAGAACTGGGGGTCCGATCCATTTAGTCGGAATATGGTCTGGTTCAAATTAGATACTTAAATCAGAAGACTAAAAACCAGATGAGAATGGGTCAAAGTCGGTAAAATCAGTAAAAAATCGTTGAACCGATTGGTTATAACTACGGTTCGATTCATCATCTGCTCTATTTTGATACGTCAACGAGGCATGATAAATGATACATTGACGTCAACATCCTTAGCACAGTCCTTATCTTTGAACCGCATTCGAACTAGTGCGTGTTTTCAAGCTCCATAAGCGATCTCGCTTTTTTAACCACATGGCCCACTTTTTGACATGACCCCACAAGTTAGATTGTTTTATTGTGTTGCTAGCTCTGATATGATAATACTGTTGCCTTCCAATTTTATTATAAAAATTATTAGTGGTGTGCTTCTCTAATCTCTATTGCTCATCCAAAAATATTAAAAAAGGACAATATAATTTTGTCTTATCAACTGATCCACATTTATATTTGCCAGTAAGTAAAGAAGTAGGATGATATTGATCTTTGCTTATGTTGTCTTCGATTCAATGATAAGTTTAAGAAAATTCACAGCCAAAGTTAAAAATAATATTATATAATTTTTTATCTTTTTTTATTTTATTTAATATTCATAAATACCTAAAATTATATTTAAAATTATTATATATAAAAATTTGATTGAACCGTATTGAATTGGGTCGAATTTTTCAGTTTTATACATCTTTATCTTTATTGGTTCAACGATCAATCCGACTTTCAAAACATTGGGATTTTGTAATCAATTGTCTTTAAAATTATTATTTAAAAAAAAAACGTAATTACAGGCTATTTTACATGCTATAGCAAGTCAGCGTGCACATATGGCATGCAACGAGAATTTTATACCCGTACTAACTTACCAAGATTTGAGTTTGCTATAATAACAAAAGCCTCGTATAAACAAATTGGCGCAGACTGAATAAATAAATTAAATAGAATCAAAATATATCGGTTAAATTTGATTAATTTCCTCAGACTTAAAATATAAAAGTACACTTAATTTAAATTTTACGACCCGTTATAATATCATTCTAAAATTACTTTAGTCTCTGTATACCCCCTTAACAAACTTAGATTTAACCGATATATCTAAATAGCAACAGATCTCCAAATTTTCCAGCCACTATCCTTGATCCAGTTAAGCACTTCCCTAAATAGCAATGAGTTCCGCAGTCTTGGCATCCAACAAACCAGGTAATCTCCATGTCCTTACCGCCACAAAACTAGCATAGGCATCTCGAACCACAGCACCCACACCCACATACCCAGTAAATCCACCAAGTGAAACGTCGACATTGACCTTAAGCCAAACAATAGGGGGGCGTTGCCATGCATGAATAGACATAGCAGCAGACTGCAACACAGGAGGACCCATCCTCACCTCACGCCACTCCATGAGAGAACGCCTAGCTATATGAAAAACTGCCAGTGGGCTCTTGTGCTTATGGTCCCAAACCACAGAATTCCGGTTAGTCCAAATAGCCCAACAAGTCATCAAGATAGTAATTGCATGCTCCAACGGCACTCGTAAAAATACGTGAGTAAACCAATCCACAAGAGATATTGCCCCTGGAAGCTGCCAACCAATCGGAGTAAGAATCCAAACACTCCGAGCAAAAGAACACTGCACTAGAACATGGAACACACTTTCCTCCGCTAATATTCTTTAGATACCAATCTAGCACTAGAAAGTAAATCAAAGGGAATTCTCTCTTCCCTTGTTGTATGTTCCTCGTATTGGCTTATATTCTTCTTTTTGCGGGCCGATTTCCTTTTTTTTTTTTTTTTTTTTTTTTTTTTTTTTATATTTTAATTAGGCTGATTACATTCAATTCCGAAATCAAGCAAATTCTTACTGGAGATAAAATAGAGTGTTGCGTGCAATAATTCTCAACAAAAAAATAAGAACTCTAACCCCTAATTAAGAATCATAACTGTACAAGGATATGACATCATACACATCTATAATCATAAACAGTACACAAATGGGCTAACAACACAAGTTAATTATGTAATCATATTTATAATCATAATTTTAACTATATAACTAAATACATCCAAATTGTCCACATAATTTCCTACAACACTCAAAACTAATTTCCCTAATGCCATTTTTTTTTTTTTTTTTTTTGTACAAAAGAAATCTTTTGAAAGGGAAAAAGGAATTTGCTACAACACTCAAAACTAATTTCCCTAATGCCATTTTTTTTTTTTTTTTTTTGGTACAAAAGAAATCTTTTGAAAGGGAAAAAGGAATTTGCTACAACACTCAAAACTAATTTCCCTAATGCCATTTTTTTTTTTTTTTTTTATTTTAGAACCTCAATTACCATGCCGAACTACACTGTCTAATTCTAATTAATGGCTCATAAAAATGCTGGTTTCCTAGGTTTCAACTAACTGATAAGATGGGGGCCTCTCTCTTCTCCTCTCTCTCTCTCTCTGAATCTCTGAATTCGAAACCACCTGGATTGGAACTTGCATCCTCCAGCCCCTTGAAGTTTCTATATAACATTGCCTCTCTCTGAATTCGAACCACCTGGATTAAGAACCTCCAAATTAGAACCTCAATTACCATGCCTGAACTATCACTGTCTAATTCTAATTAATGGCTCCATAAAATGCTGGTTTCCTAGGTTTCAACTAATCTGATAAGATGGGGGCCTCTCTCTCTCTGAATTCGAACCACCTGGATTGGAACTTGCATCCTCGCAGCCTTGAAGTTTCTATAACCGTTAAAAAGCAGTAGAGCAGAAACTGATGTACAGCAAAATTTATGCACATAGCTTTCATTCTTCAGATCCTTCCTTTCTCCACCACTTTCTACTTATCTTTTCTTCTTGTTTCTCCCTTTTTTTTTTTTTTTTTTTTTTTTTGGTCAAGCTTCATCATTGCTTAGATCACAACATAAATAAGAATATTACAACATTCGCTCCCCAAATACACAGGTTGACCTTGTGGGACAATATCCCTAGTCCCTTTTTTTTTTTTTTTTTTTTTTTTTTGGGTCAGCTCATCATTGCTTAGATCACATAAATAAGAATATTACAACATCCTCCCCTAAATACACAGGTTGACCTGTGGACAATATCCCAGTCCCAGTCACTCAAAAGAATAACTGTACAGACAAATAATTTTAATGGTAAAAACATAAACAGTCATCAAGGACAGTTTTAAAAATTTTGGCCATACTAGGGCGGGCATTGTTGTTCCTCGCATTTCAGAAGTGCCATCCTTTGAGACCGTGAATGACCTTGCCTATTATTCAGTATATCAATATAAGTGCGGAGTCTATAACGGTCCGAGTTTGTGAGAGAAAATGGAGGGTTGAGAATAAGGGATGGCGCTTCCACTAGAAGGAAGACTAACAAACGCACAGCTTTTGAATATAAGCTTGATGCACTTTCCATTTCACCCATAAGCTCATCAACCTGCCAAGCCACGGTTAGAACAATTTTTCAGAGAACAATGCACCATCAATTCACTTGTCATCACTTAATCACCAAATAAGTTATGAGTATACAAAAGTCGCTGTCTGATCTCATACTGAATCTATACAAACCTTGACAACATAATTTATTTTAATATCTATCAAATCAAACAATATTAACAATTCTTCCATATAAAATGCTTTGTAAAAAGTAGATAATTAGTTTTAAAAATGAAATATGATCAGATGACCTCTGTATAAATTTTGATTCATGTCAAAGAGCATCTATTGGCACTTTAGGCAAAAGAGAAAATCTCTATTGCCTTTTAACTTGTATCCCCCTTTGTTTTTTGAAAATTTTTTAAATTTACACAGTGCAAGCTTATCAAACCCTGAACTTGCCTAAACTATAGCCTCTACTTTGTCAATTTTCACATAACAGTTTTTTCGAGCCCATCTGAATTAGTGATCTTTTCCTGAATTTTAATTCAAAGTGTCACAGATTCTTCACATTCTAGTAGTGGATTAATGTCTCATCAATTAGTTAGTGTGCAGCTAAAATTCACCCTATAAAAAAATTATTTATACAGGTAATCAATGTAAAAATACAAAGCAAATCAATTGTTCAAACCCAACCAAATTAAAATTTAAATACTCACTCCTCCACGTTTTCCCAGAACAAGGGCTGATTGAAATATTGTCTCCATGGCATCAGGCATCTCAACATTTCCTGGATTGTTATGCAAAAATTTTGTATTTAGAATATCAAAAATTTCATCTTCAAAACAGACTACTTGTAACATCTTCAAAAATCCCAGTAAATAGGTGCCTAAGTTATTGATATGCAAATAGTTCCTTATGTCCTACAGACACTGATGTTTAAATATTTGGGCTCCATGTCAGATTGAGTTTGGAACCATTTTTCAAAACTGCAGTTGGAGTATTTTCACCATTTTTTTTTTCTTTTTTTTTTAAACAGATTTTGGAAACCATGGTCTGAGACAACCTAGAGTCTAGTTTTCCACAAACTGTAGCTTAGTAAACTATTAATATTGTGATAATAGTATGGACAGCTACTAGGTACAACAAAAAGCCGAGAAGCTTCTTTATAAGGCATCCTCACTTCCACCGCTATTTCAAACATTCCCGATCCAGCAGTTAATATAATCACAGAAAAATGGCACCCCTAAATGAAATGTCAATATGCCTGTTACTGTATAATAACAAAGACACATTACCATAGCCATTCAATTGATTCATTTAATCATATCAATTGGTTAAAACAAGCATGAACTTGAAAATTTATCAAGATATTAATTGAGCTACAAATTCAGGCTTAGAAAGAAGGAATCATATTTGCAGACCACAACAGCATGCATTTCCACAAATGTGCAAGAAAAGGAAACATATTGATGTTGCAGACAACAAAAGCTGATGCATGCAAGCCAAAAAGAAAAATTATCTCAATTCACATTGTAAACTCAAGACATTAAATCCATACCAGGTTCAATAGCCTTGGCAAGTTCCTCAGCATGCTCAACTTCCCGTAAAAATTCCCTTTCAATCTGAATGGATATATTCTCTGGTCCTATATCTGGAGAATCTTCTGTATCAGGAGCATGCTTCTTGATGCTGCTTCTCCTCAACCTTGTGCTCTCTTGGATTGGACTTCCTTCAATGGCTGAAGCAGCCTGAGTGTGGCAAATATGCAGTGCTTGCTTCCAAATTGCAAGAATAACAAGTTGTATTGAGAAGGCTTCCAGTTGCATACCTGATTCAACCTGATCCAAGAGCAATGATGATTAATTGAGTTGAGAACAGATGTAACTTATCAGTAAAACTTAAGGCAGCAAAGAAGATTCATGGTAACTTATCACAAATTACAAAAGTAGAGAATATCTGTGCAACATTATTTAAAATATACACAAGTAGAGACCATTAGATATTTTAAATATGCACTCAATCAATAAATAAGTAACTGCATAATATTTTTTTTACAATTGCCAGAGTAAATAACTTCACCTTAATCATGCCCATCTAAAAATCATAATAAACATCATTCTAAAGAAAAAATATTGCAGCAAGCTATAATGCTATTACTAAAACATAAAAATAGGGACTATATTTATAAATAATAAATTCATTGACATGTAATTTAGTTACATTTAAAATTCAGCATCCTATAATCTAGTCCATGAAATTACATAACTACTAACTTCTTGAAGTCGAAAAATAATCTATTAACCAAGTAATATTGTCCAACAATATTGAAATTACATATACATGTGTATCCTCAAACACAAGCAAAAGAGATGGTACAAAGTTCAAATTCAGTTGAAATGAAATTAAGCCAACCTATCTATGCCCTCAAACAAAAGTAAATGTTATCAGCTTATTTTAGAATCTAGACCTTAAACAAAGCATTATCATTGAATCCAGATTGTTTAACATGATGTTCTCATCTCCTAGACACCATATCCTATCTATTCAAATTACTCAATATATAATCTATACACCCCCTCAGCGTAAATCAAGGTAGACTTGCGCACCTCTTTCCTTCTCCACTCTCTGCAAAAATTTATGCATCTAAGGCCATTGTTTCTACAGCACAAGTATGTAACCAATGACTTACCTTTTCCTGTACTAATTCAGAGATTGAAGATGCACACTGCCGCAAAGACTTGATCCTAGTCATACAACGAGTTGATGGCTGATCCAAATTATCTCCGATATCTGTGGATCCTTGAGAAGTCCCAGGAGCAGAGCTTGGACCTTCCAAGCTTCCAACATGGAATGTGTTACTGTTAGCAATGCCAGTAATTGGCATCGGGGCAGTATTCACATTGACAGATGCATGAGGAGGACTTGGCGATTTGAATGGTGTATGGCTTGGTTTGGAAGTACTGGCTGAAGAAGACACATCCAACGGTGGACCAGAAACAAGAACATAATCTTGATCTATCAACTCCAATGAGTCAATAACTGTACAACGCATGTGAATGTAAAATAAGAAAAATTGATAGAGATTGGTAAACGTATCATGAATCTCTACAATATCAAACTACAAAGATTAGAGAATAAATCATGATGAAATTCTTCCTACCTCTTGATCGTACATTTGTTGACCTTTGGTTCATAGACTTTGGAGCTTCATGTAGATTTTCATCAGAAAATTTGTTGCTGTCAGGCTTAAAACTAGTATTTTCCAAGTTGCGGTTGGCACTAGAATGTCTGAGAGTAAAATTCATATTATTCAAAGCATTAGATTTTGCTTCCCTTTCATCAACTCGAGTATCAAGTGAAAATCCATAGGTAGACTTCATTGAGGGCCCTCTTTTAGAAAAGGAAGGACTACCCTCAGGACCACTAGAATCATCATCCAGGAAGAAAGGCAGACAATCCTCTTGAGAAATGTCTTCCGCATTTCTCATAGAATTGCTTTCAGGCAATGGAAAGCTCTCAACTGATCTTGGAACCCTTCTACTCCTGCATACCATATATTAAATTAGAAACTCAGTGAAAACAAAATATTTACTCATGAAGACTCTCATTTACCTCAATGATTCATCCATTTTCCTTTGAGAAAGGAATGGGTGGTTAAAGAACTCCTCGAATGTTAACCGTTCCACTACATGTACAAAAACAAAGATTTCCAAAACAAGGGATAAGATTCTAAATAAGTATTTGTAAAAAAGCATGAGTCACAGATAAAAATTATCATGGATCCCTAATATTTTCCCTTCCACATTGATCTTCAACAGATGGAAAACTTTTTACCTTAGCATAACAATTCCAGATGTTTGGAAATAATAATGATTATAAATTCTATGCAAGAAATTAAAACTAGCATTATCATTCCAAACGATCCACAGCCACTCATCCACCTCGAGCAAAAAGGTAGAAGATGATAACTAAAAAGTAAAGTTTTTATTTTTTCCAAATATTGGTTCTTTATTAAGATTTGGGAGATTATTTTAACATGAAAATAGAGATATTTAACCTCATATAGAACATGGTTTATAAACCAGGAAGTTTCAAAAATACTTTACAAATGGGTTGTTTTGTTCCTTCTTTTTAACATTTATAAGCCTTTCAACTTTTTACATACATACATCAAAGAGTTGTCACTCACTTATAAGCAGTTTGCTAATCACATGCTTGGATATCACATTTTGTGGACACAAATATCTATAAATTTTTAATCTCAGTTTCTTGTAGCCATTTGATTTGTGACAGTATAAATTTAAAGCTCAAGTCATGTTTGTGCAATACCTGGATTACGACGCAGCAATTTTTGGCACAAATCTTTACATTCAGCACTCAAGGCATTATCTGAAGGAAATTGCAATTCAGTTGACTTCACAATATTTTGGAGCAACTGTACAACATGAGATAGAAAACATATTTGTTTAAATAAATAAGAGGAATGAGAAATCACTAGCCTAAGGGTTGAGAATTCTTTCGGTGTGTCAAAATCTAGAAGTTCCTAGTACAAAACAGGCCATAATACCATATTATATAGCTTTACGGAGCTTATCATACCTGTATTTGGTTGTTTCCAGTAAATGGGGTTTTCCCAGTCACAAGCTGAAATAAAATGGCACCAACACTCCAAAGATCTGCCTGCGTATGCAGTTCAAGTTTAACAGGAATTACTTCAAGAAGTTATCATGAGTATTTCACATATTGGAGAGAATGTCACCTTAGCGTCGTACTTTTGGAGTTGCATTATCTCTGGAGCCATATAAAGGGGTGAACCACACAAGGTTTCTGCAAGGCCTCTAGGTTGTAGAGATCTGGCAACAGAGATGGTATTCAAAACTTGAAATCCAGGTCTAAAAAGAAAATGTAAAGGAAAAAAAAATTGGCAAGCAACTATCGTTTTATGGATAGGGATAAATGACCACAGTAATTTCAACCCCTACTGTTTCAAAATTTGAAAGTTTTCATTATAATTTAGTCCCTTGTTTTTGAAATTTGAGGGCTTTTATTGTTAAAAAAAATTGTTTTTATGATTACAACCATAATTGTCTCAAGAATCAAAATCATACTTTTATAATTGAGAATTGAATTGAATCGTAAGATATAGAGCAACTGTTCAAAATTACTTAAAAATACTACTCATACATTTATTGATATATATCCCATTAATTTTATCGATAAGATACTAAAAATCTAATTGCAAAAAATGCATTTTTATATAAATTTCAATTCCAAATCATGTACTAAAAACAAAATTAAAAAGAACGTAATGATTTGTGTAGTTTCCAAGTGCAAAATATCAAACTATTATGTTAAAATTTTAAAACACAAACAAAGAAAATTTATCAAGCTATTGGATTTCCTATCCAAATCCATATTCATTCATTTCCATTTCCAAATTCCAGCCCTTCGTCATCTTCATCTTCTAATATATTATATCCTCGTGCCCTTCTTTCTCTAGATCGACTTTTCTACTCGTTTTGTTTGATATGAGAATTGTTGGGCATGGGACTCGACTTAAATCATAAGACTTGAATTGCATGAATCGTAAGATTCATGTTCAATTCTGATTCACCCATAAGATCGTTAAGCATCAAAATTGAATCAAATCATAAGATTCCAATCGTGAATTGTAAGATTTTGATAACACTGATTACAACTTCGATGTAGTTCTTAAAAATTTAAAATTACCAAAGTAGACACTCATCATAACACCAGGAGTGAGAGGAACGTAGCATGAGTAGTTCAGTTATGTAGGCCAGTGTGCAAACAAGAGATACAGGAGAGGCAGTGAAGCATTATCCAATTCCCTTAAATAGTTTATCAGGGGCTAGAAATAGAAATTTTAAGGAGAAGATTTTGACGATAGCTTATTATAATAATTTACCTAGCAAATCCAAAATCAGCAATTTTCAGAACTGCGTTGCTATCATTGGTGGAAAGTAGGAGATTCTGCGACAAAAATGAGTACACATCATAAATTCAAAACATCACACACTGAGCCTGTCTGCAATAGACGAGATTAATTGACGCTGAACAAGATCTTCTAACAATGCTAAGCTATTTTATACAATCATGTGATTACATGCCAAAATACATTCCTTTCACATATTTATTCATTAGCATCCATAATCTTGAGAACAATATTTAATAATGATATACTATCCCCTACATTGACGATGTAGTTTGTGCATTATAATTAGCCAGCGAAATCAAATAAAAACTGTTACTTCTTCATGGAGAAGATTTTCCCTACAAGATAATAAATAGCCCTGACTTTAAAATTCAAATTAAACATAACCAAATAAGAAACAGCCAGACCTGTGGTTTTAGATCTCGATGTATAAGATTATTGTCACGAAGGATTTGCAAACCAGCCGCTACAAAGTAAAACATTTTCAAATCATATTCCACAACTTAGCCACTGAATATCCAGAGGATTGGAAAGCATAAATACCCAGAAATCCTAACAACATACCTAGTTGCTGCATGAAGTGCTTAGCAGTTGCTTCTGGGACTCTTCCATGTCGTTGAATATACATAGAAAGATCACCCCCTTTGCAATACTCCAATACAATATGTATCCTTCCTGGTTCCTATTTGGCATTAACATAAAACAAACCTTAAAGTTGCCAACAAAGATAAGGCTAGATCATATTCTCGAAATTCAGATATCAAACAGAGACAACAGTTGAATTCAAATCATAAAGCGTTTCTCAAACTACCTAATAACCAAGTAAATTACAAGTATAATACCATGGCCAGTAACAGTAGACAAATTTTCACACGCAGCGAGCAAAGTTCATTAGCAACTTCAAAGCTCCAAAACAGTATCTAGAACTAAAACTTCAGCTTTTTTCTACAACGGACAAAGGTTCCATTCCTAGAGAACTTTTAAAGTTCCCACTTTGAGGTTGCATTACTCACCAGAACCAATCAAATAAAATTTATCCATCATTATTTCTAGCAAAATAACTTCTCATGTCTATTTTCCTAATTTATTTTCCTAGCAACCAAACAAACCTACTTTCAACTAAAAAACGGAAAAAAAACGACCAATCCTACCTCAATAATATCATGCAAGCAAATAATATTAGGATGATTAATCCTCTTCAATATAAAGATCTCCGACATGAGACTATCTTGCAACTTCTTATTTAGTCGACTGGTAGCGATCTCCTTTATCGCCACCTCGGTACCATGAATTCGGTGCCTGGCACGCCACACAACCGAGAAAGAACCCGACCCGATTTGCCGACCTACAAGGTAGTCTCCAACAATCCTCCCTCTTCCTGTTGCTTGAGCCATCATTAAGAACCAGCAAAAACCCTAAGATAAGAACCCGGAACCAGCTCCAGATACAGGAATCCAAGCTTGAAGAAGAGCTTTACAGGAAATCCTCAATGGATTCTCTTCGAAGATTCGACCCAAATTAGAAGGATCGGACTGGCCAATTCAGACAAGTTATAAGACGGAGAAAGAGGGAGAAAGGAGATTACCGAAGAAGGCTAATTATTACATTTGCATACAGGTACAAATACAATGTTTGGCTTGCCTATGATTTTTAGTTTATTACTATTATCGTCATAATAGAATAAATTAATTCTGTTACTATTAATTAATTAATTATATTTCCATTAGAATCGTGATTAATGAGTATAATTAAGTGTATACAGACAGGGTAAAAACGTTAACGTGTGGTTGGTACCTATAGCAATAGCGTGCACCGGTGCATATCTATTGCCAATCGCGGGTTGGTTCGCTTTCATTGGATATCTTACTCTATGAACAAGTTATAATTGGTTATTTTTACTGTTTTAAAATGTATAATTTAATATTTTTTAAGTCAAATTAAAATTTTAACAGATAAATGCAATGAAAAATCTAAAATATTCTTACTGATCTTTTTTGACTGGAAATATTCTTAGTGATTGAATAATATATTGTTTAAATAATTTAAATAATAAAAAGTGATTAGTTCAAGTTTCAGAGGAAATTTTACACTGAGACATAATATAGTGATAAATATATATACGATATGACAATAAATTCAGATTCGAATATTTTCCTCCAATGTTAGAAAAAAAAAAAAACTTTAGAGGAAATTATTTAATACCACGGGTAATAAAGGAATTTAACCATATGCTTTGCAATAAAGCTTCAAGCCTAATCAGTAATTACACATAAAGTGGCCTTAATAATTTTTTTTTTTTTTTTAATTTGGGAACGTACTTTTTTTACAATGACTTTGCTGTTCTTTTAATTTATGAAAGGCGACTTTATAAATTTGAAATCAATAGTAAAATTTTATACGCCTAACATTTACTCCATAGTTTATAAACTTTATAGTGGAGTAATTCAATTAAGTTAGAGTTAAATGATTCAATAAGTACATGAGATGAAAATAGTAAAAATAATACTCATAAAGTTTACCCTGTAGACTGTAGTTTATAATTTTTATTAAGAAAATGTTTAAATCACTTAAATTATAATAAAATATTCCTTAATTTAATTAAATTACCCTTTTATCTCATTTAATTACTCCAATGTTAAAATTTATTTTTTAAAAAACTTGGCTTTTAAAAGTTAAAACTAAAGAGAGATGGCTGTTGAAATGAATTATTGGAAATTGTTGAAATAATTATTCTATTTAATAGAGATATCTATAAAATTTTAAATTTTAAAAATATTTTTTAATCCTCTCGAAATGGTAGTTAACTAGTTTTGGTCCTTGGACAAAATAACTTATAAAAAAAATAATAGTGGACGGACAAATAAAAAATAGAGGACTTTTATAATATATCATTTTTATTATATTTGGTCAATTATGAATTTTATTTTTGTTCATTAAGTGATTCTAAACTTCATGAGAAGTAAACCAAACATTCAAACTATATATATATATATTTTTTTTATGCAACGTAAGGAAATGTTTTTTTTTTAAAAAAAAAAATAGTCAAATACATTTTTAATTTATTAGAATTGCACTTAATCAAGTGTAACCATGATGAAAGTTTATAAAAAAAGATAATAGAAACAAATAAATAACAAAAGTGACTCTCACCAAAATTAATGTTTGACAAAAATATACTTCTTCCGTCTCATTTTGTTCATTTATTATTCTTTTTTTGGACGTCCCAAAATATTTACAAGGTTTCTAAATTTAAATATGTGAACAATTATTTTTCTTATAATAACATTTATAATCCTTCATTAAATGAAAGACTTTTATTAATACCTTAATGAATTAAGTGTAAAAAACGACAAAATAATTTTTATTGACTAAATTTTTTATATGTGTATTTTATCAAACTACGCAAACAAAATAAAAGGGAGTGAGTAATTAAAATGGTACTCACTTCTCATCGTAAATTCATAATACTCTTTATTCATTTACTTAAAAGTATAACATACTTATAGTTTGTTTGGCAGGGAGAGAAGGAGAGTGGAAGGAAATGAATGCATCGCATAATGTAAGTGAAATACACTTAGGAAGAAAAAAAATGTATTTCTGTTGTTAAAGAAAAATCTACATTCATTCTCTTCCTGCCAAAAACGATTTAAGGCGCGGTTTAGTATAAATGAATTTAAAGTATAAAATTTTATTTATAAATGAATTATAGTAGAGTTTATTTATGAATGATTTTTCATATTTGTTATGATTAATTTAAAATATGTAATTCAATTATGTAAAGAATAAATTCATTTTTTTTGTTTTCTAAAATATACTTGAAATAGTAATTTCACAAAAATGAATAATAAATATTAATTGTATTTATGTTTTGCTATATACTTTTATATTTTTATGAAAATAAATATATGAAATAAAAATAATATTAACAAAATTATCGCATTTAATTTAGTGATACATATATATTTAACTTGAATTTCCTTCCTTAATAGTAAAAAATATTAAAATAAAAAACAATATTAAGAAATTTTTTCTAAAAAATAAATCTTTTAAATGATTTTGGTCAAGTTTAATAAAATAAATAAATAAATAATTGAAAATTTGATGTTGTGGAAGGAGAACAACAGTTTTATTATAAAAAATTTGATTGCTTAGTTTTGTGGAACTCATTTGGAAATTTCACCTATTTTTATGAAATTTGGTGTAGTTATATTTAATTCCATAGAATTGAATTTCTAAAATTGAAATCTACATTTTTTTTTTCATTTCAAACACAAAAATATAAATTTTTAAATGAAATTTATAAAATTCTGTGAAATTCAGGATAAATGTCTAAAATTGTACATTGAATATATAACAACATTCTATATAAATATATAAAAACGTAACCATATTTACTTAAGTGTTATAATAAAAGGACACTGAAGTGTTTGAGACAGCAAAATAAATAATTTTTAAGGTAATGAGTTAGCAAGAAAGGTAGTTTATATGTTATTTTTTTAATTTTATTGTTTTAATTTAGACGTTAATTGAGTCAACGTCAATATTAACATCATTAATAATATTAAATGTTTTTTATTTTCTTTTTAATAATTAGCTAAATACTAAATAATATCACTAATATTATTTCAACCAATAAAATTTGTCAGTTTTTTAACTTAACAATATTAAATGTTCTTTAGTTTTTTTTATGCGTCGTAGTATCAAAATATTAAAGTAGTGAGGTGACAAAGGAAATAAGTTTTAGAGCGCTGAGTTTGTAAGAAATATGGTTTTTATGTTGTTTTTTAATTTCTTTTTTTTTTTTTTTGTTGATTTAGACACTAATTGTGTTAACAATAATAGTAATATCATTTTTTTAAACTTAATAATTCATTAATAATGAATATAAGTTGAGTACATCGCAATATTCTGATAGGAATAAGAAATACAAATATAAAAAATTGAAATTTTCTGTTTGGAAATGGAATTGATCTTGGCAGAAGAGATTAATCTTCTATGTAAAAAATGGTTCATCTTCAAATAGGACGACAAAATAAACCTTTCATAATATTGTCTTGAATATTATTTTTTCGAAAACTTGTTACAATTGACACTCGTAGAAGTGTTTAATATACCAAACTTTAATGGAGGAACAAACTGCACTATCAGGCTCCATTAGTAAAAGAAATTTATCCGAATATAAAAATCTAAAGTCTCCGACCACAAGCAACCGACAAATCCATATTGTCTTTTGAACTACCTAAGAAATAAAAGATCCAAAAAACTCCTCAACAATGAGGAATAACCCCATGAAAGAAAAGAAATTAATAACCCTATTAATAAGGTGGCAAAAACACTCAAGATCTATAGATTTGAGAGACTAAATTCAAATTTTATTACAAACGATTATAGGTTCGGAAATTATTAGAAAGAAAACTAAACAAAATAAAGAAAAACGATAGAGAATGATGAAAAGAAACCACCACCGATCAAAGAAGACGGTCGCCGATCAAAGAAAACGGTCAGCAGTGGTTTAAAAATAAAATTTAAAAGAACACAAGAAAAAGAGAGTCGAAGACAGACGGCTAGTGTTTAATTAAAAACCCCTCATAGTTTTGTTTGATTGATGCAATGAAGGATAATTAGAGTTATTATATTATAGTAACATCATTAATCATATTACTCGTTCTTGAATTATTTTAATAATTAATAATATTTAAAATAATAATATTCATTTGTTTTCTTTTCGGTAAATGTTTTGAATTTTTTTAATAATTAAGTTTCATGACTCTGCCATTTTTGGCTAAACCGGTGCTAAGACTCGAATGAGCTTAAGCCCTCCAATGTCGTGACAAACCTCTAATAAATCTGATCCAATAAAATATATAATATAGATGAGCCTCAGGACCAACATCATACCGATTGCAATCATCATGTATCTAGGGCCCATTTGGCCCGCATCACTGCAACATTAAATCAACCATGTAATAATAAATTATTTTCGTCATCACATTATATTATTATATAAATATATTGCATATATTCATCTATTTTCGGCTCCATTCTAATTTACTACGGGACGTTTAATTCATTTAAAAGATTAATAAGAGTGTCTAACTCTTCTAAATGCAAGCCACAGTGGAGGTTGAAAATGCTGAATTGCAAGTTGAAATCTTCTACATGTAAACTTAAAAAAAATATATATGTAGCAAGGTGAGCGCCAACTCAATAAATGATGCTTCACAACACAATAAATTGCCATCCCTAATTATTTACACTTCCCTAGGATTATTTTGATAATTGAAAACATTTCTCGAGGCCTACCGTGCTTTTTATTTTGATCCATTAAAAAGACACAAAAAATAATGAACGGTAGGATTTCAGTGTTGGACGGATTCAAAAGATAAGCATACAGTAATGCGTTTTAAATAATGCGAGGACTTATGAATCATAATCCAGGGACTAAACAGTAATTTTTCCTCAAATTTTCGAACTGTCGTTTAGAAATTTTCCGGACCCCCAACGTTTTTAACGTCAGTTTTCATTTCAGTTAACGCTGCCAGCACATTTTCTTCCTCCAAAAGGAGCAAAAAGCACAAAAACTGTTGCCTAAGCGAATTTTATTGGTTTACATCTTACAAGCACGCAGACATAATTTCCGATTCTCTCACTGGTTTCGGAACTTTCTTTCCCTTCCTTTTGCTCTCTTTTTCTTCCTCGTTTTTGCTGCGAATCGTGTCTAGGGTTTCGCATAGCTCAGAAACAGTAATGGATTGGGGTAATGTGACAGCAGAGGATCTGATCGATGCCCTTCGTGAAGTAGACTGGTCATCACCACCTCGCCCTCTCTCTGAGTTCTTTTCAAGATTCACTGTCCCAAAATCTTCTGCCAAATGGAACAGCCGTCTCAAGTGCAATCTGTACTAGTGAGTTTCTCTAATTTCCGTTTCTATCGCAACATCATTTTCTAAGTTTTATATCTTAATTAGCAACAAAGCTCTTATGATCGTGTTGATTGGATTTGATTTTTCAATTATAATGAATGTTTGAATATCCTTTTCTTTCCATGAAATTGGAAGAAAATGAAAGAAATCGGTGCATGAACTGTATATGGAGATTGCCAAACAGAAGTTGACTTGATTAGCTAGTTGATTTTAGGCTTTTAACGATTGTAAGTTAACGGAAGGCTTCCATAATTCTTTTTGTTGGCTGCCGCTGATGCTTGATTTCTTCTCAGTTTCTTTTCGAACAATGATTGCTGATCATGAATCCATGTGTGCAGTTGTGCATTATTATTTTTTCGTAGGTTTTTAGGAGATTTTGCATAGTTGAATTTAACGCTGCTATATTTCTTATTGCACAGCTATCGGACCAACTACTTCATTATGATCGTTTTCATTCTGGGTACGTATACATGTTTGTTTTAGTTTTTAGTTTTTACCCACTGTACGGTATATATGAATCCAAAATGCAGAATTCATAATAAATTCTAGATTAAATTCATTTTGAAATAAATTTTCGTGTTTGCTATGACAACTTAAAATTTGAGATTCAATTGAATTGGTCATAATTTATGTTTGAAATAAGTCTAAAATTCAGTTAAAAAATGCGATGATTGTCTAAAATACCCTTAAAACAGTAAATAGAGAAGGATTAGTTAGAGAGAGAGAGAGAGAGAGAGAGAGAGAGGAGGAGAGAAAAAGAGGAGGAAGTGTGTGTGTGTGTGTGTGTGTGTGTTTGAGAGAGAGAGAGAGAGAGAGAGAGAGAGAGAGAGAGAGAGGAGAGAGAGAGAGAGAGAGGAGGAGACGAAAAAAGAGGAGGAAGTGTGTGTGTGTGTGTGTGTGTGGTGTTTGAGAAGAGAGAGGAGAAGAGCCCGGAGAGAGAGAGAGAGAGAGAGATGGGTAAGGATGAGAGAGAGAGAGAGAGAGAGAGAGAGAGAGAGAGAGAGGGTAAGGATGTAGGGGAAGTGAGAGATAAAATGGGCGTTTTGGTCCAAAATTTTAATTCTATTAGTTGTGGATTCATTTAAAATTGTTGGATTACTTATGTTCAATTTCATAGAATTGAATTCATACAATTGAAAAGAAAGTTGTTAAACACTCTAAACACTAAAATCTGGGATTTCAATTGAATTCGACAAAATATTGTGAAATTTATTTTTACCTAAATGTTCCACGTGTTTATATGTTAATCTGTGTTTATTAATGTTGTGTTGTGATACCAGGACTGGGCTTCCTTAGGCGGCCAGTTGCTATGGTGGCAGCTCTTTTGACAGCGCTTAGCATTGCATTTCTGAATGATAGGCAAGCTGCTAACCGCTCTCTTTCTCTCTTTCCACTCTCCCCCATTCCCAATGTGTGTGCATAAATCCTGTGGTTGCATTATTGCATTTAGTTGTTAAGATATTGTAGGATATGAAAATCTTGATCAGCAAGACTATGCCCAATGGTCATTTATGCATAAAGTAAAATTTTGCGGTTACATTGTCTGTTTGTATAGTTCTTGATAGAATTGGTCAAAGTTATATATAAAAAAAAAAGAGTATTGCAGAACCCAAGGTAGCACAATCAATATGATCTTGATAAATTTGCTATATCTAACGATTCATGAAGAGTTTGAGGTGTCCAATTTGAAATACTGAATCATTCAATTAGTCAACACAAGTGATGTGGTAGCAACTGAACTCTCATTCTCCTAGGGTGTTTTGGGTGTAATGGTCCCAATTCCAAATTATAAATTTTGGAAGAGAGATTAGGGATACGGGAATTCGTAATTGTGAACAAGGAGAAGAACAATGGGGATGAATTTGCTGCTATAGTTATTTCCTTGAAGTGCCTATGCACTCACACCTGCGTGTGTCTATGTGAGTGGAGAAGGAAGGGAGATGCTTTTGGTCTGTGCTGCTACAAAAGAATATCAGATGAATTTTCACACTTGACATATAATTAACATTTGATATTTCAACGGCTGGTATCTGAAAATGTTAATGTATACTAAATATGCTTGTCCTTGCTGCATTGGAAAATGTATTTCTTCATCCCCTTGTAATGTGGTAGCATGGAGGGCTGCTGCCTAGAGAAGAGCACAGGCCATTTTCTGTCCCTAGGTCTCAAGTATTAAATGTGTTTGGGAGTTATGTTCATCTTATGTTGGATATTATCTTCAATATTTGGTATCAACAATAATGCATCGTTGACCCCATTTTCTTTTCCCTAGTTGATTGTTTCCAAATCTTGTGTTTGGCACATACGAAGGCCTAATTGTTATAACCAGATTTGGGATATATATGTGTGTATATCTCTTTTGTTTTTAGCATTAATGATGATTTCAATGATGACAACCCATTGATGGGGAATTAGTTGCTTTATTACATAGTGAGTTATCCTCAATTAGATGATGTGCTATCTACTGTGGAAGTAATTATCCTTAATTAGATGATGTGCTGTCTACTGTGGAAGTAACTAGAACGCCTTGAAGGGTTGTACTGTGACATACTTTAGTCCTTGTAATCTATTGATAATGTGCAGAGACAGAGACATCACTAATGATGCAGATAACAATACGCTGGCCTTTAAGAATCTTTAGAAAATGATTGGGTTAATCATGATTTGAATCTTTATTAGTGTGAATTTTGTGTGGAGTGTTATTCCTCAGCTTTTTTGTTTGGGGGGTTGGGGAATTTTGGTGGTGGAGTGTTATTCCCTCAGCTTTTTGTTTGGGGGGTTGGGGGGGGGGGGGGACATTTGAAGATATGAATTATGTTTTTCTACAGTGAATATTATTGGTTTGTAGAAAATGAAACAGGGGGGGGGGGGGGACATTTGAAGATATGAATTATGTTTTTCTACAGTGAATATTATTGTTTGTAGAAAATGAACAGTGAGTGAAGCCTCTTGGCTGTGATCTCTTTGCAACAGTATATCATTGTAACCACAAAGTTATTTTCCCCCTCATGTGGTTGCTGAAAATTTTCTCTACAGCTTTGCAGGCACTTTTAGTGAGAAGGTAACAAGAACTGTAAGGCAATTCTCTCCTCATTTAGCTGCTAAGATGAGACCTCCTCTAACGTAAGCATATTTCTGCTACTGCTTTTTAAGGAGCATTTTTCATTGCTGCTTCATTCATTACATTTTCTATTGGCAGACCTGTTATTCGTGGACGTCCCTCATCAAAAAGGTCAATTCATATTTGTGGTCGGCCCCGTTGGGTGTTTGTCCTGGTATTTTCATCTGGTAATCACATCCCTTCAGAATGTTTTCTTACAAAGTAACTAGATCATATTTTGCGGGTGATCCCAAGTAGTAATTACTTTTTAACTGAGTGTGTAATATTTTTCTTTGTCTCTTCTTACCTGATTTTGTAGCGAGTTTCATCCTTTGGTATGTCTCCTGTGGTCTCTTAACTGTCCTATGGGCACTTGCCATCGGCCTTCTTGGTTTGCTTCTTACTTATGCTTCTACTTTTTCTCCATAGAATTCCAATGTTCTTTGAGCAACTGTCACTTATTGCCAATTTCTCTCAATTGCAGCCACCATCCTACATGCAAGTTTTAGAACACCTAATTTGAAGGCACGACTGAACACATTCCGTGAGGAATTCCGTGCTGTTTGGCGTAATTACAGTGAGCTGTAGCTTTGATGAGCTTACATGTAAGTAAATTTTTAATGAAGCCAGTAAATATATGAAACTAGTCTTTTTATTTTCCTTGGCACACCAGTAGCTATGATTTCTTGCATTTGTTGGGATTTCACTGTCCTGTTACAGTAATACTCCTACTTGGAATTTGTTCTCTGAAGATATTTGGATACTTGTCTCTTTTTTTTTTTTGGTATTTGAAATGTTATTTCCGTATCTTAATATCGTTATGGTGCACTATTTTCCTAGGGCTTATCATTGTGAATAGCTGGTCAAATGGTTAACAATGAATAATTATTTGTTTGTTTATTAGTTTTTCCATTGCAGCAATTCTGTTTCTATTGGCAGCATTAGCTATAGAATATGAGTTGTGTATTGTAAATTTGTAATTAGTTTGAAAACTGCCTTTTCCCTTTGGTCTTTCAATTTGCACTTTTTTCTGAGTTTCTCATATTCTAACACCAAAACTAGTTGCTTAATTAGGTCCCCCATGATCTCGAATGCTATTAACAGATTGATTGTTTAATTTGATCATAAAAAATACATGCATTTGATAAAACATGTTCATTAGGCAGAATGTGAAGAGCCACAGGGCCAAAGTGCTTTTGAACAATGGGCTTGCTGCATTCTGGGGGCTTTGGGTGAAAATATGTACGGCTTGATGGAAAAAAAACAAAAAATGAAACAGAAAAGGGGAAGAAAGTGGAGAAAAACTCACTTAATGCTCAACTGTACCTACCACTTTTAAGTTAACAATTACCATGTTTGTATATTGACAGTGATTAGTGTTCATATCACAGGGCATTCTGTTATGCCATTTACCTTTTTCTCTTTTCAGAAAGTAAATGTGATGTCATTGCTTTGAACTAAATTTAAAGCAGTAGACAAAGTTAGGAAGTGTTTTTTCTTTTTGTTTTAATGACTGCAATAGGGTTAAAGACAGGATTATTTTTTGCCTGGTTATACAGTTTATGCTCGAGTCTTGTTGTTGTCATCTTGAAATGCATACTTTTTACTAACTAATGAATTGGATAGCTCATACGCTTTTACTACCTTGACATGCATAAACATCGGTTGCATGTATCCTGCCTCATGTTGACACGAGTGGATACACATTGAATTCGTCTTAGACTGTTTTGTCCTCTGCTTAACATGGTTGTATTTTTTCTCAACATACTATTATTCTTTTGAGCAAGTAAAAAAAGGTTTCAGCCTTTTTCATTTTCCCGCATCTCGTCTTTTGAATCATGAAATAGACCAACTCAATCAATAATTCATAACCATAAAAAAATCTGCTTGTTGATCTGTTATTGTTTTATTGTTTATTGTTATTGAAATATCCTGTTAATTATGCAGGTGTTTGGTTGTTATCTCGCTTGTATAGTTGCAGTTGCAGGCTTATTTGCTAGTTGGGCTTCAGCTGCTGCTTTTATTGCTACAAAATAACTTCTAATGACTGGACAATCTGCAGAGAACTCCATCATCATGTAAATGCCAGAACCTCTTTTCTTTCTTTTTCTTTTTCTTTTTTCTTTTTTTCTGTCTGTAAAGCCAGATTTTCCTATTCTAAATTCATATTTGAAGAAACATAAGAAATTAGTGTGGGGGAACATTCTTGGGCGAGCTATTAATAGCCCCTTTGTGCCAACAATTCTGTATTTGCTTTAGAAGAAGCACAAAACAGTTCTTTTGCACGTGTCCTATGATAAAGACTTCTAAGATATATTCAGTGTTCATCTATATGAACGCTACTATAGCAAATTATCTACTTTAGCTTTTATTTTGGCTGCTTAAGCTATGTTTGAGAAGGCGTGCTGTAATTGAAAAAGTGGCTTCAGCGCAATAATTTGATTTCCCATTTCCCAATAAATGGAGACTCTAATTGTAAATTTACACATTTGTACTAAACTCATTTCAATATATGTTGTCGCCTCGCTAATTGACAATTTGAAAACAGTCAAAATAAAGATTGAGATTAAGTTGAATTACGAGAATTAAAGGTTAAACTGATTAGAGGTTAAATGATCTGGCATTACTAGATCTCTCACCTACTTAAAACCCAGCACATCTGTCAACCATGTTAACGATTACTCTCCCTCGATTTCCTCTGGAGCTTTCAAATTCCAGCCGTTTTTAGTAAGGTAAAAACCACTTTTTACTTCCCCTTTTGATTATTACAACAATTGTGTAAACCAATTCATGATATATTGATATTCATTTAAATTTTCAAGTGGATTTTGTTCATATAAATTGTTGTCTACTCTTTTTTTTTTCCCCTGAGCTTCTATTGATATTATGTTAACATTATTAAATGCATTATCTAGAGTGATTTAATTGGAAAAAAAAAAACCAAAGTTAAATGTTTAATTTGTTAAAAAAATACTAGCAAGTACGAATTTCGAATTAAAATTAATATCATATATGAAAAGTGTTAGGGTATTGGTAGGAATACATGGGGGGAAAAATGCCATTTTCATTCTTTAACAAATTCCGTCAATCTACTAAAGCTAGGTTATAAGAAATGGCATCTTGTTCTGATTAGCCCAGCCGTGTTAAAGGCGTGTGAAAAGACAGCCGTGGCAGAAATGGTGGGGTGGGGGCACCAAAACGTGCTGCCACAATAAAATAAAAAAAGAGGTTTTGCCTTCTCATTTATTTAATTTCAAATTATTTGCTTTTATGCACAATTCTTTCATCATTTGCGTTTAAAAGATGCTCTAATCAAGGTGCTTTATTGAAAAAAAAAAGGGAAAAAATGTTTTTTTTAATACTTTTTGGACATTTGGATGGCTGAAAAAGGGGCGGATCAGAGTTTACAAGTTGACGGGCTGAAAATAAAACTAAAGTTTTGGAGGGTAAATACATATATTTTTATAAAATTTAAATAAAACTTAAAAGGAAAAATATTTAAATACACAAAGTTCAAGGTAACTTTTATGCAGAATTTTTTTTCTAGTATTAGGATAAACATTCAAACTTAAATTTATTACCAAATCATACGTGCATTTATTAACAAGTTAGGGTTTGGTGTGCAAATTTTATGTGGATTAATTTAGATATAATTGAGTCAAACCGGTTCAAAAAAGTGTGGCTCCGAGCTCAAATCTAAAATTTTTAAACTTATTAAATTTCCAATCAAGTTTAAATCGAGTTAAATTCCATCGAGTCCAATTTTGATCGGTTTATTTATAGCCTTAATTATGTGTATCAAACTGTGCTATAGCCCTAGTTATGGGTTTGAAATTGGGTACACTTTTCGAATAATCATTTGATGGGAATGACTTACTGGTCATCTAACATGTTTGCTTAGTGTAATTTTTTTTGTGCTCGGCACCCCATTTGGCCATTTGTGCCAAAGAAAAAAAAAAAAAGTGGGTAGCAATCTTCTTAAATAATTGCTTTCATTGGTTGCTAGCCTAAAACCAAAAGCAAAAAGCCATCACAGTACTACTAATATCTTCAAAAGGATAAGGATACCACCTATTTTTAACATTGAATTGTTTCCTTTTTCTTTTTTTTTTTCTTTTTTTTTGAAAATTATATTTATTATTTTTTTAAAATATGTCATTGCTCTTTGTAACCATAATAAAAGAAAGATCTGCTTTTATTGTTCCAATTATAATTTATCATGTCCTAAGTACTATAAAAAACATTTAATCTTTTAAAACTATAAATTTTACGAACAATGTGATGACAACGGCATTGCTCTCACATCTATATAAAATTTTAATTTTTACGAATGATATTCTATACAATGTGATGACAACAACATTGCTGTCACACCTGTATAAAATTTTATTCTTTTATAAGGAAACATGTGGTTGCTATTACAAAATCTAAATCCACTTTTTTTTTAAATATATAATTTTAATTTTTACGAATGATATTCTATCAATGTGATGACAAACAACTATTGCTGTCACACCTGTATAAAATTTTATTCTTTTATAAGGAAACATTGTGGTTGCTATTTACAAAATCTAAATCCACTTTTTTTTTAAATATATATATATATATATATATAATATATATATATATATATATATATATATATTATATATATATATATATATATATATATATATATTTTTTTTTTTTAACATTATATATATTTACAATTATAATTTTCACTTTTTTATATATTTACATATCAATCCATACTTTTTTTACATTATATATATTTACAATTATAATTTCACTTTTTTATATATTTACATATCAATCCATAATTATATTTAGAAACATCAAAATATAATCTCAGAATAAAGATTGGGTGCAATACGACTCGTAGATATGTTTCATATATGTTTTGAATCCCTGACCTAACCTTACAGGCAAAGTTGTTGATTTGCTCTTCTCTGATACCTAGAAAAAGAAACCGAAAAATACGCACATACATTCAGGTTCCATGTTCGGCCCCAGCACTATAGCAGTGAAAAAGACTTCCTCATTTCTGAAACTGTAGCTATTAAATTCACAGGCTGGCCCATGTTATTTTAGCCTCTTCCAAGCTAAGCCCATGTGCACCACTTCCTCTCTCTCCAGCTGCCACCATAATTTCCTTCTCTGTAAAGGCCATAGCTAATACACTGGCACCATTTTTTGGGGGTCTTAATATTCTTTTTGTGACCACGTCCAGCAATGAACACAATCCCAGTTCTTCTTCAGTTTCAGCACTGACATGACGAGAGAAAAGAAACGTAAAGTTACAGTTGTAAATTCAGTGGAGACAAACAAGGAATTGGAATATCTATGGAGCATTACAAGAATTGGATACAAGCTATAGCCTCAGCTTGGGGTTTGATGTTGTTGATAGGTCTTATGTGTTGCTGTCTCAGTACCAAACCTCGCCAACATGGAGACGTTAACGGTGGTGGCGGAATCGGTGGCTGCACCTGCGACGGTGGTTATGCCCGTGTGTGAATCTTATGTATCATGATTTCCGTCTACTATAAGTAGTTTGGTTTCTTTCTTTTCTTTTGATTCTTTTTCTCTTTTAGTTACTCTTTCTATTTTCTTTTTCTTTTTCTCTTTTTATACTTGCACATAAGTTTTGTGGGATTTTTATTTAATTTTTATTTATTTTTATAGAATTAATTCTCAGCACTTTCAATATGTTTATAAAATCTGCTTTGAGAGTTAATAGTGTGAATAAAAAAAGAAGGAAAAAATTGCAATAAAAAACTATTTCCTTGTAATAATTCATAAATTTTTAAACATGCTAAAGTCACCAATTAAACTAAAGGGCGAAAATCAAAATTATAGAAATTTGAAAACCGAAAATAATTTGGTTTGGTTTGTTTTTTTTGGTTGGATACAAACTCTGCTCATCCCCATATAGGACAAGCGCGACAGTTAAGCCAATGCAAACGACCTTACAACGCATTTTAGTTGTCTAGTTGTAATGTCGTTTCCAACGTTAACTCGTTGGAGAAAAGGAGCAGAAAGTGAAAACCATAGAGCTTTCCTTACATCTCTTTACATAAATATGCTAAACTAATCTTAAAACAAAATAAAAATAAAGTTGCTAATAAGAAACGAAATCGACACCTTAATCTATTTTAACACTTCAACTTATAAAATCACAATTTTAACACAATTTTCATTTAATGAATAGATATTTAATAAATATAATATTTTATGCATCTTTTGACACATAATATGGAACAATGTTTTTAATCATTTAATTAAAGTACACTTTTATAAATTGAATTAAGTGTTAAATATGTATAATTTTATAAATTGAAAGATTTAATTTATCAATGTAAAAGTTGAAAATGTCAATAAATTTGCTTAAAAAATTTAAAAATAAATGCATTCCGCAATTATTTTGTACATCATTATAGATTTATGTGATTTTAAATTAGTTATCTTCGCCTAATATTCATATACTTTTATTTTCTAAAAAAATTAGCTTCAATAATAATTTTTTTAGAGAAATATAATCTATTAATAATATGTTAAGTAACAAAAACTCATATAAATCAAACAACTTTACTAATTTAGTTAATAGAATTTGATCAACTTTTAACAAAGCAAAAAAATTGTTTATATTTTTTTAATAATAAAATTAAAATTAAAAGAAATGGTATTAATTTTTTCCGCTTGAATATGATCTTAGTTTTGAAAAATTGTATAAATTATAGAAACAATTAGTTATTTAATTAATTTGGATGAAAAAAATAATTTATCTATATCTTTTATACCTAGATTATTTTTCCAAAAACTCATAGTCCATGATGTAAATAAAAGAGTTGCTACCACTTTTTGTGTTCATAATGTCAATGGAGAAATAATCTGCATTATGAGATTCCATTGATTGAAAATCCATATTTGCAAATCAAGATTGTATCTTTAGTCACAAAAAATAAATTTTTTGTTTTCTAAGAAACAGTTTTCTTAAAAGTTGAGAAATAAAAAATAAAAAATTCATTCATTTGTTAATAATAAAAATTCATATTTCAATTTAAAAACTTAAAAAATATTATTTATAACTTTCATAAGTAAAAGAAATAAATATTATAAACAACTTTAGAAAATTTTTACTTGAAAATAATTTTATTTACTATTGATTTATTTATAATAATCATATCAATTTTTTATGATTTTGTAATATTTTTAAAAAAATGATATAATTATAAATATTTTTTTATGTAATAATAAAATTAATTACAAAGTAAAGTATAATTAAAATTAAAAAGAATAAAATACTAAATTAAGTTATTGAAAATTATCATTATTATTTTATTTATTAAAAAAAAAACTTATACATACTAACACTTTAATTATAAAAAATTCATATTGTTAAATGAAAGACAGTTGTAAAATATGATTTTATCACCATGGTTAAGACAGCGACACTAATATTCTAATAGGAAGATTCTTTTTTTTTTTTTTTTAATAATTACTATTTTTCCTGTATTTTTCTTCAACTTATCCTGGACAACTTTTCCCTTTTTTTTTAAAATTTAATGGAAGGGAATAAGTAAAAGTCATGCAAAACACAAATGGATATCTTAAAAAAAGAAAACAAATGTATAACTTATCCTACAAGTAATCCACGACCACAAATTCTTTCTATCAAGAATATTCCAAAAGTCAATTTTCCTCTAAGATACAATCCAAGCCAATTACATAGAAATTACCCTTTCTTTATTTATAAATTTAACAAAAATAAATAATAAATAAATCGTTGACCCTTCCAAAGTTTCTCATCCAATGTAGTACCTTACAAAAGAATCCACAAATGCTGTACGGAGAATCTTCCAAAATGCCAGCTTCAACAACAATGTGCAAGTCCATTGCTTGGAAATTTATAAATGATTTTTTAAATAATAATAATAAAAAAAAAACACTAAAGTTTGACCATTTCAATTATGAACATATAATCAACATCAAACATCTGTCCCAATTAGATACTTAGCGGCCAAGTTTGCATATAGCTAAGTTTTCTTCTTACAATAGAAATCATGGAATTTTTTTTATTATTTTTCAGTGAATATCCCCACGTCTCTTTTAAATAAAAGATTAATCTTTTTTGGAAATTCACATATCGTATGATTAGTATCTTCTAATTATAATGTACTTATATAATTTATTTTAGTTATAGTATTTGTATAATATTTATACTTTTTTATTTTTTTCAATAAATTATTAGTGATTTACACCGTTTAGACTGTTCAGTTCCATCGATTTATTAATATATATAAATTCAATTAAACTAAATTGATGAATTTGATTTGCGACAAATTTAACGGTTAAGAACTAATAACAAAATCATGAACTAGTGGTGCTAAAAAAATTCACACAATGTAGATCAAATCTTGAAAATAAATACAAAATTTATCCAAAACTTTAAGATAACAAGATTCAATCCAGAACCTCTTTCGAAAAAAAAAAAAAAAAAAAAAATCCAAAAAAAAAAAAAAAAAAAAAATCAGTCCAGAACCTAATAATAATATAAAGCAAATAAATTTTATTAAAGAAAAAAAAATCATACATCAATGATAGAGACTTGATTACAATACTAAGTATGGGAGGGTATATATTATTGTTCTGAAAATCGAATTAAACGGTGAATCGAAATTAAATTATAATCTGGTTCGTATTGAATAATGAAAAGGGGAGGCTAAAAACTGATGGGAACATTTAAAAACTGGGTAATAAATGGGAGGCTAGAAATTTCCATTAACTTGTTATCCGAATGTTGGACAGATTCAATTAATTTGACTAGAAAAGTCAAACAAGCGATTTAGATTAATACACAGAAAGCCATTTTATGTATTTTCCTGTATCCTCAACTCTCTTTCTCTCTCTATATATGAAAGGAAGAACAGTAGAGTTGCAAAACATTGTTTCACCAACCAAAACAACGGTAGAGATGGGTTGTTTTGGCAAGCGAAAACACAAAAAGAAGGAAAACAAATATCAGACGGCTGCACCTCGTGCTGGAGGTAGCAAAACCAAGATGGCCGACAAAGATGGAGGAATGTTCTTTATGACTACCATGGAAGCTGCCATGGAAGCAGCTACTGTCACTACAGACACTGGAGGTGGTGGCCATCATGGTGGTGGTGGCCATGATGGTGGTGGAGGTCATGGTGGTGGAGGTTGCGGAGGCGGAGGAGGAGGTTGCGGGGGCGGTGGAGGCTGTTGACTTCCCCATGCCAAGCCAAAGTCAAATTGCCCGTATATATACGATATAATATATTATTAGTTAACATATATTATATATTTATTTATCCTTTTGTTATTTTACATCATTATTTTCTTTTTTTTTTTTTTTTAATTAGGTTGGTTTGAGTTTCAGATAAAGTTTCATTTAGAGCTTTTAATAAATCATTAAGACAAAATAAAAAAAAAAAATTGCAGTAATGAAATTTAGATGAGACGATAGTGATAATGATTTTTTCTTCTTTGATCAGAATTTTGAGTTCAAACTTTTGATACGAAAACTCTTTAAACACTCGAAATGAATCATTTTAATGCTATATGATTACAAAAAGAAATTTTACTATGATAAAGATTATTGCTAACATGGATAAGTTGGGTGAACATTCAAAGACTTGGAATCTTTAGTTCCCAAATCACTCTCTTACAAACAACTTTATCAAATACAAAGAACTGAGCATGTTGGAACCAACCAACTATAAAATCCAACCAAAAATGGAAAGATTTTAGTAGATATTAATTAACTTGCTTTAATCCTCAAGATCATCTGTCTCATATGTAAAATAATATATATATATACTCTCTAGACAAAAGTGGTTTTGCACAAGAATGAAATTGTGCACATTTGACAATGAAAATGGATAAATTTGATTTTGGAATTAAAATTTTTTGACAACCTGAACTGTCTCCTCAACTCCTTAACAAATCACCTCGTATACATCTAAATTTTTTTTACATCAACTTGCAAGGGAAAAAAGAAAATAAAAGTTTCAGTTACATGACTTCATTATATAACTCTTGATCACAACATGCTACCTTCTAATTCATCCTCTAGTTCTGAAATTGTTCGCAATTCTTCAAAAAGTCTTATAGCCTCAGTGCATGATGCAGATCATAGAATAATTTACATTGACTGATATTTAAATTCCAATTAACTTAACAAATATTCTATATTGTATAGAATGCCTTTAATATATGTAATTCAAATTATATGTATTTTATTTTTATTTTTTTGCATTACAGCGTTGGTTATATTAAATTCAAAATAATAAGATATTAGAACGGTGTATCAATAATTAAATATGTACTGTATCGCAAAAGCATGATTCGAACAGATATGATGCAACAAATCAAAATATCAAACAAATATCATATGCGAATGAAATTTTCGAGAAATAGTTCTATAAATTTCATCTACTTTGCGGTTAATATGCAATTAGAAATTAAGCCTAAATATTAACTATATCTTAAAATTTTAACCTCTTTTGTAATTCTAACATTTATTTTATTTATTTATAAAATTAGCCCTACTTTGCGAATGAATTCAAAATGTAACATTTATTTATAAATGAAATCTAGATATAATTTATTTGTAGATAAATTTTTTATATTTGGAATAAATTTAAAATTGAAAATTCACATTGCTTTTATTTTCTAAAATATTATTGGTATAATAATTCTAGAGGCTAGGTGGATAACTTAGTTTTTTCTACAAAGTTTTTGGATTGTTTAAGTTTATAAAATGCATTTGAAAATTCCACCTCTTTGATAGAATTTAATTAATTATATTCAAATCCATAATTTTAGAATTTAAATCTTCATTCTTTTCATACAAAAAAAAAAAAAAAAAAAAAAAAATTCACAAATTAGCTTTAATTTCTAAATATCATTATTGGTATAATAATTTCTAGAGGCTAAGGTGGATAACTTAGTTTTTGTCTTACAAAGTTTTTGGATTGTTTAAGATTTGTATAAAAAATGCCCATTGAAAATTCCACTCTCTTTGATAGAATTTTAATTAATTATATTTCAAAATCCAATAATGTTTAGAATTTAATAGTGCGTGTCATTCTTTTCATAACAAAAAAAAAAATAAAAAAAAAAAAAAAAAAAAAAAAAAAAAAAAAAAAAAACAACTTTAAATTTATAAATGAATCTGCAAAATTGTGCGGAATTTATTTATTCCAAACAAGAAATTAGAATACAAGATTTGGACACACAGAATCTGGAGAGATTAATCTCTCTTTATGTCAGTAAGTCAATTTTCTAGCGTTGTATTGATCGCTCCGTGGCTTTTTTTTTTGTCCGTTCAAATATTTCATCACACTCCTCCTTACATGTGTATCAGCCTGCTCCACTCTATTGCCATTCTTTATAGATCGGTTACAGAAATCTTTGGGCGCCGTTTTATTCACAATTAAAAAAATAATTTATTTTAAAATATTTTTTACATTTATAATTTCAAAGAACAATAAATACTTTATTTCATATTTATCCTTTATATATAACCAATAATTATTACTTTAATTTAATGATTTTTTCAGAATAAATTAAAAGTAAGATAATTAATTTACTCAATAAATTGCTGTAACTTAGACAAATTTAATAATTTTTTTAAAGGGCGTAAAATCCCAAATGTAACAAGTATTTTGAAATAGAAATAGTATTTAGTTTATCAAGTTGCAGCCAATTACATGCTTCAAATGGTTCAAGGTTGAGAATTATAAAGCAAAGGAATAGTTATTTTCGAGAGAATAATCGTGTAAATTGTCCATTTCAGGTCGTTTTCTATGAACAAAACAATCTAAATACTGTAAAGAAATCCGCGGACCCTACAAATTGATGACAAACTCAATATATCAAAATTGAGAAAAACGACTTGACGGATCTTATGTTAGAGGCATACATCAATAACCGATTCCCCATATTAGGTTAGGTGCCAAAGCTACGATCTCCTGCATCTCCAAGTCCAGGAACTATAAACCTGAAAATAATAGAATATACAAATATAAATCGGGCATGCTACCTTGTTTTTCCTTATATATATATATATATATATATCTGACCAAATAATAAGAATTATACAAATATAAAATGGGCATGCTATCCTTGTTTTTCCTTTATAATTATATTATATTTATATATATATTTAGTTATATAATATTTATTATATGATATCTCCAAACATTGTACGAGCAAATTATATGTCTAATAGCAAATTGACAGGTACTCCACCCTTTGTCTCATTGACGGTTAGGATTCAATGATTCCTTTAGTCGTAATAACCATGGCAATGTATATATCTCCAAACATTGATACGAGCCAAATATTGTCAATAGCAATGACAGGTACTCACCCTTTGTCATTGACGGTAGGATCAATGATTCCAGTGTAAACATGAAGCCTGGAAAATAACAAAACAATGTAAATCTTTCTGGAACGCTAAAATTCCTTATTTAATTGCAAAAAGTTGTTTATGACATTACCCAGGAAACTTCTCGCTGAGCTTTTGAAGGGCTGGAGGAGCAGCCACAGCAGATATCTGATACAGAGTAACTTCATTTAGCACAAGACTAATTGAAGCTTAGATAAAGAGAGTAAATTAATTGCATTGCAAAAGACAGTTATCAGAAAGATGCAAAGAGCATGCATTTGATCTTGTTCAAGCTACTTGGACTACTGACTTGCACTTGATCAATTAGCCTAGCAGATTCTCTTCTTGCAAATAAAAGGAAACCCTGATATATAACAACTAATGAATACATAGACACCATCAGAATTTTATCCTTTTAAACACAGGGCCTAATTGAAATCACTATACCACATCTGCAACAAAAAATTATCCCAGATATAAGTATCCCCTACAGGCAAGAATATGTGTATGCTTTTGCGTCTGAAGTACATAATTAAGCCACAAAAGCAAAATCTCAACTCGTAAGTTTGATCAAGACAATCATTGTTTATATATCTTCACCCACGATCAACAAATACCAGATCTTTTCCATATACAATAATTTTTGTTTTGTTGCACCTCTCAAGTTGCATTGGAAATGCTTCAATGGCCCTTAGTCTCATTTTTTCTTCATGTCATAAGTGAAAAAGGAGAAATCAAATCAGCAGATAAAAAGTGTCCATATGGATCAATCCATCAAACAACTAGCTACTTGAGAAGTGATTGTCAATTCAGCAAATTCTTCTCACACATTCCCAAGCCAATTTTCCTAAACCTTCAAAATATCATAACAACCATGCAAAGAAATCATGGAGAGCCCTGACCCTCAATCTTTCTTGCTGAAAGCCATGCAAGAAAGATAATCATAAAAAAGAAAAAAAGTACATGCTAAAACTTATAATTATTTCCTTTCTTCAAGAAAAAAAAATATTGATAACACTATATATGTGCTAGAGATCAATAAGATGTAATAGCTAAGTACACCACACACCACAGAAGCCTTCGACACACAATTGCTTGTGCAGATTCTAACTGCACATCAGTTTTATGAAGCAAGAAGGATTTTTGATAAACCATTTACCACTTTGATTTGTTTGTTCTCAACCCCACAATTGTTTGAGAAAATTCTAACCAGATATCAGTTTTATAAATGCAAGAGAGATTTTTCATAAACCATTTACCACTTTGATTTGCCTGTTCTCAACCCCACGTTCCTTAACTAGGTTAAGGGCTGCCACTATTGTGCCACCTGAAATGAAACAAAAAAACCTCAAATAAAAGGCTACAGAAACATGCTGAAGAAAAAAGGATGCTTCAATTATTCAACAAATTTTCCTAATTTAGAAAATGTTTAAGCACTCTGCAAAGACAAAACTGAAGTTATGAGAAAAGAAAAGCTCAATTATTTTCTAAAGCAAACCATCACTTCAAAATGTCATCCAATTCTACTAGATGGGGATGAAAATTAACACGGAGACCATGAGTGAGAATTGCTATGTCAATAATTGGATTACATTCAAATATATTTATCTTAATTCAAAAATTTTAGTAATTACTTTCCTGAAAATGGGATTATCGCATTTCATATTAAGGTTAGGCAGATTTTTCTCATGTTGTATTAAGGTTTATCAGAGCAAATTACTTGTGGTGCCTCAAACTACCAAGCCAAAGTATTTTTAATGTTGAGCAACAGAACTTGGCAATGACTAATGGATAGGATTAACAGTTAATTGTGGAAAAAATAACTTCTAAAAAAAGTTGAATGTTCATGTAATATAATAAGTATATGATAGGATAACTATCAGATCATGACAACATAAGTTCCTCCATTGTTAAGAACCAGTTTTTGGATTAGAATAGATTGTGATTTTTTGTTATTGCAAAATAATCAAAAAGTGATGCAAAAAGGATTATCAAGTTGCCACCATAATATGATAGACATGGCTAGGTGTTCGGGCATTAAGTGCACATTATTACCTGTTGCGAGCATAGGATCTACCACAAATACTCGAGAGTCTGGTGGAAATTTTTCAGGTAACCTAAGGAATTGCAAAATGCAAAAAGTGAGTCACCCTAAAAAAAAAAAATTTAAAAAAAAAAAAAAAAAGTAACCTTAAGGGAATTGCAAAATGAAAGTGGAGTCACCCTTAAAAAAAAAAATTTAAAAAAAAAAAAAAAAAGTAAAGTTCCAATCATGATTGTTTAGAAACAAAAAAAAAAAAAATTTAAAAAAAAAAAAAAAAAGTAAAGTTCCAAATCATGATTGTTTAGAAACAACATTCAATAATGACCACTTCCTCAAAAAACGATGTAAATTTCCCTTATTTATCTGAATAAAATACTCGCCTGTTCAAATATATTGTTGGTTGAAGTGTCTCCTCATCTCTGCTTAACCCTTAATTTAAGAATAAAAAATAAAAAAACAGAGAGAGAGAAGGGAGAAGGTCAAAATTCAAAAAAACGAAAAAAAAAAGCCAAACATAGAAGTTCCGTTACATTAAAACAAGCGAACCTATTTATAGAAAGTTATTGATTGCATCACCCTTTTTTTCCAGTCTAATAGATGGGCAATACGATGGGTGAACCTACCTCTCCATTACTCCCGTTGAGGAATGGATTTGATTCCAAGCCTACAGCTTTAGTATTATAGTCTTCAGAATATGGATTCAGTTTTTCAACATAAAGGATTACTTCTGAAGCAGAATTGTTAAATAAAAATACTTGCATTCCCAATCTGTCTTCTCTACTTAAGCAATAACAACTTTTTTCTTACCTATATGGTAGGTTTTTGTTGCAGGCAAGATTGATGATGCATGTTCTGCAAGAGCAAGACCAGCTCTCAAGATGGGAACAACCTACAAATTACAGTTGATAAATTAACACCACATTCCATGTAAAAGTAATGACTTTAAAATCAAATAAATAGGCACCCATATACGAAAAGCCAAAACAGCAAGGACTAAATATGTTGGAGTTTTGTAACCAGTAACTAACCGCAACAGGCTCCCTTGGATCAATAAATTCAACTGAGGCAACACCCATTGGTGACTGAATCTCCCCAGTGACTGTAGGCTGGGAAAAGGATATAGAAAAAGTAAATAGAGGATATAAAAAACAACAAGAGAATAAACAAATTTCTGTAAATTAAAGATGGGATTTCCAGATATATCTAGTTATAAAGAAGAAGTGATAGTTAGTGTAGCAGCATCAATTTTATAGGACGCACGAACCTACAAGGATAGACTTAATCTGATTGTTTTCCAAAGTGCTGTTGGGAACCTTGTACATCTTCTATGCTTTGCTTCCTCAGTTCTAAATTCTAACAACATAATCTATTGATAGTTGAGAATTATAAAGCAAACAATATTTGATGGAGGTTAACTTCAACGCTCAATCAGTTGGTTAAGTACCCAATTTCTATTCTCACAAATTTTGTATACTTGCTTGTATGCGCACAGACACACACACACACACACACACACACACACACACAAGAGAGAGAGAGAGAGAGAGAGAGAGAGGGGAATGTTAAAAGATCAAAAATAAAAATTGTTCCGCTCTTCAAGTAGAAAGAATATTTATAAAAAAAATGTTGTGAAATCACATCTTTGGATACCAATCCAAAAAATTAAAGTTAAGAAATATGGCTTTTCTTGTCTTGGCTTTTGTCCCTTGCATATAACAGCCTTTACTTAGATTTGTCTACATTCAACAGCTGAATCAATTGCTTGTCACATTCATATCAATACCTTAACACAAGGGATGAACACTTACCAAATGTAACTAAAGAGAAAACAAATGAGAAGAAACAAAAATGAAGGAGAAATAGGTTGAAAGGAAGTTGACATAAAATGAGAATTAACAAATAACACCACATAAAGGAAAAACTTACCAACCAATCCCTTGAAGCTTCATATATAAGTAGCCTCCCTAACTCAGCCAGAGCATTTTCTGCAAAAATAGCAGTAAAAAGATTAAAGATCTCAAAAACAATACTAAAAAGGTAAAGAAATAAAACCATAAATTATTATTATTTTTTTTAAAATCTAGAACAGGACAGCTAATGGTTTAAAAAGAACCTCCATTTTCTGCAACAAGTTGATCTAGCATACTAAAGCTTCCAACACTTACTGATCTAAGCTCAAATACAAATTGCACTTAACTGAAAATAGGACAAGGAGTTTGCTCATTTCTCAGAACTGAAATCCAGTGCCTGATCAAAGGATGTGGAGGCACAAATACCTGAGAAAATAAAATCAAACATATGAATTAGCACTTAAGCAGACATGGAAATTAACGGACAAACAATAGCAAAAATTGAACTAACCAGCATTCTATCCCCAGATATTGGCTTCTCCTCCGTAGCCATATGAGACTTCACAGTTAATAACCTGCACCGCGAGGGACCGGAACAGGATATCTAACGAATTGTCACAAAAAAAAAAAATTAATAAAGTGGAATTTCCAGCAAAAGCAGCAGAGGACAGAGAGAGAGATAGAGTGTATGTGTATGATTAGCTGAACCTTACGAGGACTGAGGACGGCATAAGAAGAACTACAAGTAAAGTAACTAAGTGTAAGAGGAGATTTAGGGTTTTGTAGGTGACAGTTGTACGCTAAACGTGGCTTAGAAGGCGGGCAACGGAAAATGGAATTAATGTGGGACGCCATACATCCGGGAATTTCGATCTGGGATTGAACTCTGAGTTCAGAGAGTTTCGATACCGGATAAAACTGCGTTTTGTTTGTTTCGAGTCAATCGGACATCTGTCCGTTTTCCAGTTTGATGGTAAGATTTGGGTTTATAAGCCCATGGGCTTTAACTAATAATCATTATAGCCCAATGTATACCGTTTTGTAGTCGTAAGAGAAAGTAGGGAAAGAGAAGGCTAGAACGAGGAGATTTACCTGGCCGGAATGCGGCCGGCTGACCGGAGGATCGAGCGATAATGGAGCAACTATAGGACTTCTGCCGCTTTGTGATACGCAGAGGCAGTCATTATATAAGAAGAGTGAACCTTGTTGGGGCATGTTTGTCCCTTCATGTAAATAAAGAAAGTAGCAAATGCTGGAATAAATGTTTTTAAAATAACATCTGTTGGTTTACCGGTTGATCATTTTGATTGGTTCAATTGGTTTGATTTGGTTAAAAATTGGTTGAAAAAAATACAGAACAGTTTACAATTTTAATGGTTTTAAGATAAGTATAAAAATTTTAAGAAAACAAACTATATTAAATTATTTTTATTAGATTACTAATATATTTTAAAATATATAATCTGACTAAAAAAAATTATAATCTAAAACTTTAATTACATATTTGATAATAATACTATTAAAAATTAGGTAATAGATAGGAGATGTATCATTTATGTATATTTATTAGAGATCATTAACAGTTATTGGAGTCAATCATGATTAATTACTATTTATTGCATGACCTGAAAGAGAAGAATGATGCATTATATTTCTATACCTGTATGTAATATGAATTCAGTAACCGGAGGGAAGAGGAAGGAGGATTCGGTGGCTTTATTATACATACACTTATCGTTAAGTTATGCCGTGATTTATTGATTTGGTCAAATTTTCGAAACACTAATTCAAATTGAATGCTTCTTTAGTCAAAGCAAAATTTAATTTGGTTTGGTCCAATTAATGGCAATTGATAGAATAAAATAAATTTCTCTTAAAAAAAAAAAGAAAAAAGAAAAAAATAAATTCCATTCTCTCCACCTCTGCGGTGCGGACCGCCGTTCATCTCCCTTTTCTTCCCATTTTTTATCTCTTAAGAAAAAAACAAATATTCACATACATGAATTTCTGGGGAGCTGGTAGAGGATGGAGAGAGAATGAGAGAATTTATTTATTTTTTAATTTTTAAATTTTATTGTCATTATTAACTGGGATTCATGTCAACTTTACTGAATAGCTAATTTTCATTATTAATTTTATTTGTTTGGTTTAGTTAAAATTAAATTATTAATATCGTTATTAAGTAACATTTAGGTCAACTTTACGAAAATAACTAATTTTTATTAGTTTTTATTATTAATTTTATTTATTTGGCTTAGAATTAAAATTTGATTAAAACACGAGGCTTCATTTGATTTAATGAATATAATTAAAGAGTATCTCCTATGCAAATATAGATCGCTTTAATTTACTTGTCATGTCTGAAAAATTGAAAGTTAAAAACAAAAATCTGTTTAACCTGTGAATCAGATGTGTCAAAAAGAAAAAGAGACATTATCTATCACGCCTTCTATTTTCAAAGAATATGTTAGACAATGTGACTCAACTTTTTATTCTTTTTTTCTTATTTTTTTAATTGTTCTTTATATCTTCTCTTTTATTCGTCTTGAGCTTAAATTGATTTTTTCTTCTATTTAGTAAGACACATTAGTCATAATCCATAGTTGTATTGGATATGCTTTAAGGCTCAAATTGGGTCTTCCTCTTTCAATTAAAAAAAAAGGAAAAATAATCAGAAAGAAGTATATCAAATAAATGGATTTTTCTTATATTATTATTATTATTATTATTTGAAAAGGAATAAAAAAAATTATATATTGCTTACGTCAAATTGGAGATCCAAAATAAAAGGAGGGTATAAATCTCATTTTCTCTTATCACACATAAAAATAATTTTAATTAATGTCAGCCGAGGAACTAGTGGAGGCCCCTTCAATTTTATTTTTTTTTTTAAATTTATCGTATAAAATATAGAAAATTTTATTTTTTACCTGTAAAATAGTAATTTTTTTTATATCACCCCTCTAAATTTTGAAAAAATTCTTTCGCCCTCTTTACTTATTTTTTTTTGGTTCGGCCACTGATCAAAGTGCTTCATTAATAATCTTACTCAATGGAACAACTATTATGCGGGGAATGACATAGGTGTGAAGAAAATGGCAAGCTCACTTGTTGCCAACTACACAACCACAGTCACATGAATATAGATTTTTATAATTGCTTTAAACATTAAGCTTTATCTAGTTGAAAAAAATATTGCAAGTTGTTATAATAATGATGCCACCACTGATTTTATAAATATGAAATATCTAAAATCAATGATGATGTATGGTAATGTCGATTTAACATTATATGTTAAATTATATCTACTATATAAATATATAAAAATAGAAACACATGAAATGATATGGTATAATTAGAAAACTAACTCAAATCTCCATTTTCAAATTTCTTCTTCTTTGCATTCCCGTATATATTGAGTCTCGGTCTATTTTGCAAAATTAATTGTTTTGGTACTTGTTAACTATTTTAGTAGTATTTAACTAATAGCTTTTCATGAAATATAAAAACCTAAATGTTATTTGAGTTAATTTTTTAACCTTTAAAAAATAGCGTTTAATGTTTTGACTGGCTACTTAAAAAAGCTATTACCAAACACTGTTATTGACTGCTTAAAAAAGCCGTTGCCGAACAAAATCATCGTATGATAGTGATTTTTATCCTATATAACTATCAAGACTATAATAGTATGTAATGAGTTCATCCTCATCCCCCTAATTTTTTATTTTGCTTGTTATTTTTTATTTGATCAATGAGACATTCAATTGACAATCGAATCCATTGAGCATGTCATCAATCAAAAAAGGATCTCCTATTTAGGTTTCTACCGTAACATCTCTTTCAATTCCAAATTTCTTCATTTCCTCCACAACCTCATCATTCTCCTGCACATTATCGGCATAGCCATTATTTAAGTTTCTACCCTCCACAAAGGATCCACCATTCTTTTCATTTGCATTTTCAATTTCAATTTCTATCACCATTAAATTTATCTTTACAAGGACAATCTTCACTAGCCCAATGGCTTGCATATTTACATAGTTCAACCTTAAGTAAACTGTAAAATGAACAGATTATTAAAATACAACAGTGGAAGGTGAGACACATTAGTTTTCAAAAATTCATTCTAAAATCAATTTCCAATGGCTCATACTAACATTTTCAATATATTAATTTTTCAATTGCAACTCACAGAATATATAAAAATTAAAATTTTGATTAATTGAATAAGCTCGTGAAAAAGTTTGAGCTAGCTCAAAAATTTAAAAATCAATATTGAGCTATTCAAGATTGAATGACACATAAACAAACCAAGCTTAGTCAATGTAAAATTTGGCTCGGCTACAACTGTATATAGAGAGAGACTACTGTAATTTTATCTTCTCATATTTCTCCATCCCACAATTCTTCAAGGCTTTTATAAGGGCTGAGAGTTTCATGTATTGCAAAATCCCCTCGAAGGAGCCTTTGCTGTATATACAACAAAAAACGAAATATATTAGCAATCACTACAGATATGCAAGTAAAGGTATGTAAATGTTGGAGCCTATAGGCTAATTTTATACCTGGTGGATTTCTAATAATTTAGAGAAGAATTCTGAAGGAATACACCAATCAAACAAGCTTAAATTTTCCTTGATCCTTGATTCGTTAACACTCTTTGGAAGGACACTGTGACCACTTTGAATACCCCAGCGAAGGGCAACTTGTGCTGGTGATTTGTTAAGCTTTTGAGCAATTTCAATTAGTATTGGTTCCTTTAAGATTTCTCCCTTAACCCAAGACCCTGGAGATCCTAGAGGAGAATATGCCTGTAAGGAAATTTAAGTTTCACATTATTTCAACAATCAAAATAAGACTTTCTCATCATTCATAATTATACAGTGGAACGGTGATATCACGTCACAGCTATGAGTTGAAATTAAAATTCAATAAAAATAACATCTGTCAAAGATGACATATGTGGATTCACATCACAGCTATGAATTGAAATAACAATTCAATAAGAATAACATCTGTTAAAGATAACATACGGGAATTTTATAAAATAGAATGGATAGACGGAGTCATCAAATCTTCTTTCACGGTAGTGACATGGTATTCAGTATTCACCGTTCCATTATATAATTACTTCACAAAACAGAGAACCTCATGCATTTTATTTAAATAAATAAAAGTGAAAAATAAGTGGTAAGTTAGTTGTATATAATACCGAGAGATGAACTCCTGTAGATTTGCACAAATTATGCAGTGCAGACTGCTGCCAAACAGGGTGGCATTCCACTTGATTAACTGCTGGAGCCACTTTTGCATATTTGAGGAGGTCTTGCAGTTTCTTAGTTGAGAAGTTGCTAACCCCAATCGCTCGTGCCTGACCTGATGCATACAAGCCTTCCATTGCAGTCCATGTCTCTGGAAGGCACAAGGGAGCCATGATTTTTGGATCCCAGCCTTCACTCCCTGCCTTTGTACGAAATGGCCAATGTATCTGCAACACAAGACAAACTTAGTTATTTTGATTTCTCTCAATTTATCGTGTTAGTGCTTAATTTCCAAAACTTCTACACTCCTATGACAAAAATAATGCAGTTCTAAAACCAATTTCCTATAGTGATGTGAATTTGAAACAATTTACAAATTTGAAGGCTGTGGGGGAAAGCAAACTGTTGCACTGAATCCGCCATTGCAATGGAAAAGAAGAGCCAACTTTTCAGTAAAAAGAGAAAAAAAAAAAAGTATTTTAAACTCTGCATCATAACTGCTAATAAAAATGACAATCTCTGTGCATGTAGATAAGCACAAACTGCAAAAACCATAAAAACTTGTTTTGTTTTTTTCAACCTGTTTTTTCTAGATATGACTTTTTACAATAGAAAACATAAATAAAAAACAGAAAACAGAAATAACATAAAACATGCATTTCAAAATAAGAAATTCAATATCAGAGGAAATCTAATCAGAAAGAGTTTGCTCTTTCTAAGTAGACATAAAACCTTCAGGTTTTTACTATAAATTTCTGTAAAAGAAGAGAGACGTACTAAATAAAGATCAATATAGTCAAGTTGTAAGTCTTCTAAACTCTTGCTCAATGCCTTTGAGACATCTTCAGGAGCATGGTCACAGCACCTACAATTATTATATTTTTAAAGCCATAACTGAGAATTATTAACCAAGAAAACTTTTTTCAACCCAAAAGATACAATCTGAAGTTCATAAGGTTCATAATGATAATTGCAGTAATCACCAGATGGTTCAAAAGAAGTATGAAATGATAAATAAGTACCACAGCTTTGATGTGATGAAAAGCTCATTTCGCTTCACTACTCCAGAGGAAAACAATTCCTTCAATGCTTCTCCTATCTGCATTTCATTAATATACATAACCTAATACACAAAATTTCTAACAAAACCCTAGTAGTGAAAATGTTAATAAAATCCCAAAATATTACCTCTTTTTCATTATTATAAACTTTGGCACAATCAATGTGTCGGTAACCAGCCTGCAAATAATCAAATTTGATTAAAAAGAGAAAAAAAAATGTTGGACCATAATAAGATTGAGAACATTTGGGAAAGATGATGGTTATATGAAATTAACCTTGACAGCAGCTTTCACAGCGTCACCAACGATACCCGGTTCAGCTTTCCATGTTCCCAATCCAACAGATGGAATTTTAGCACCCGTATTCAGGTCAAAGTACAATGGTCCATGTTTATTCTCCTTGTCCATCTTCTTCTACACGGAAAATTCACTCTACTCAATCGGGAATCTATTGCTAATTAATCAGAATAAGAAACTCAGGCCAAACAAAAAAAGGTAAGTAGATGCATTACCTTTTCGGAATAGTTAGTGAAGAGAGAGATGCGGTTGTTTGTGGCAATGGAGACGATTTTTCAGGTCATAGTATCAGTGAATCGTAGAGTTTCACGGCAAGAAAAATGGATCCTTGCCTTTCCATTGTTTTCCAAGCAATTTTTTTAAAGATCTGAATGTTGTTAGGAGGTTAATTAACATTTTACTAGTGTTAGAAAAATATGATTATATAAAGTTACTTTTATTTTTGTTGATATTGATAAATTACTTTGTTCTAAAATTATCTTATCGTAATCAACTCAATTGCTCAATTGGTAAGACTCGAGTTTGCTCTTGCGATCAAACCATAAATCATCAACGAATTCCCTAATCCCAAATGACATGGACAAAAAAAAAAAAAAACCAAAAAGACTACTACTCGAAGTCGAATGTTTTAGTCCAAGAAACTTGGGCCTCTGTGCCAAATTTCTGCATTTAGTATTACCATCACAGGTTGACTAGTGCCAAAGAGATAAAAAGGCTAGTGTAAAATGAGATTAATTGATTAATTAATAAAGAAGAAAAAACAGTAATCTCTTGCATGTGTATTGATAATCTCACGTGTTTAATACTTTATTTAGGATTATTAAATGATCAAAGACGTAATTTTGAAATTCAAATTTTAATTCCCTTTTTCACCAAAATATCAATTTTAATCGAGGACAAAAATGACATTTCACATAATAAATTTGAACAAAATAGCCTTCTGAAGTGTCATGATTCAAAATCACCATGAGCCAAAAATCATTTCTGAAAAAAAAATTTACAAAATCCACAACATAATTTCTTATCATAATGATATTTCCTTCGTAATTTGCGGTAAAACGACAGACTATAGACTTGGCAGTTTGGCACGAACGCTCTTCCTGCTTTTATAGAGAAGCTACCGTGACTTTTCTGTCAAAACTGCAAGCATGAAACTACTATACGAGTCACAAGCAATCCAATAAAACAAAACACTTGGCATAGATCAAGATGCAGGACCATGAAAGGATGGCATAAATCACCAACAGTAATTGAATGTGTCGTCTCTTAATTGAGAAGACATTTCCCTAATAGAATCATTTCAGTCATACACTAAAACCATTATTATCCTTCCGGGGGAATCTGGATATAAAACAAGAACGCTAACTAGGATGCCTCAAAAACAGTTCATGTGTTTAAATAAGTTTCTCCCCATCTAACGCACATCTAAAAATTTGAACAGCATAGCCTGTTGTGGCATTGCTCTAAAGGTTTGCTTTTACTTCTCCATGAAATTCTTGAGGTTCTTCAACCATAGTAGGTACTCTTTATCATCCTTATTTTTCATGTAATCGAACAAAAAGTTTGTAGTGCTAGGTTTGATCCCTCTAATCTCGAGATATTTATGGAAAGCCTTCTGCAAATTTTCATCCAAATCGCTGGGAAAGAAAAGCCAAAATCAGTAAAATATATCATTAGGGGATCAAAACACACTCTTATCAGTCATATTGGACACTAGAAACTTACTGAAAATCAGGCCCTTCATATGCAAGTTGATCTTCAGAAGATTCTCGATTCTTAACGGACAAGGTATCAATTGTGATCTCATCAGGAAATGCAGTGATGCCGAACTCCAGACAAGGACCGTGTCCTTTAGAAATACTTACAACCAATGGAATGCTTGATGGGAAATCTGCATCTGTATTATTGTCATCTTCATCACCATCTCCTTCGGCATCATCAGAAACAGTAGGTGCATCAACTTCAACTTTGATAATCTCATCTTGGTACTTTCTTTCCAGCAATATAGTTCTCTCTCCAGGATTATCAATAATTTCAAAAGGAAATCCATTTGGGATATCCTCTACCTGTTTAGGGTTCATTGAGAGCAAAAAAGATTAATAGACGTTTTAGTATCTGTGAAGCTCATCCCAAGGAGGCTCAATGACAATTTCTAAAAGCAACACTCAAAAGACAAATATTAATTTTTTCGGCAAAATTTCACAAGCAGTGGTTAGTTATTAGCTTAGTAAAGCTAAATGCTGGCATAAGCATGAGAAGAATTATCAGGGAAAAAAGGCACTTCCTCCTTTTTTTATAATTTTGGGAGTTCAGACATAAACAATGCATCTATATTCTAAATCGGCAACTCATAAATAATAAGAAACTATTATGGGTTCCAACAAACCAAAAAAGCATAATGACTTGGAACAGGTTCTAATAAAAAATATATATAAATGGTAGGAAGGAAAACAAAAATTCAGTGACATGATAAAAAATCGCTAGAAACCTGCAGAACAGACCAAGTGTCAACATGCTAATCCTTTTGTACAGTAAGATGACTGAAACAACAGAAATTGCAGCATACAGAGCTGCTATCTGCTATGTTTAATTCAGTTAAACAGAACGTTCTGTGAGCAAACTGAGATCAGCTGCACATCCGGAAGCAACCAAAGATTCTATCTTTGTTTTAGCGTGTTCATTTCAAACGTACAAAGTCAATTTTGTGGACTTCAACATAACTAAAACCAGATTCTATCCTTATAAATGAATTCCATTCTTGAAATTCATGTAGATAAATGATACCAAACATGAAATTAGCAAAAATTACACTAGAAAACAACAGAGGCAACAAACTATGAAAGTATTGAGTTGCAAACAAATATGGGAAAAGGACATTAATCCTTCGGTTCCATGATCCTCTGAAAATTTTAGATCAAAATTCTATATGAAAAAGATTTTACGGTATAGTCAAATAAATTATAATAGAAAAAGAAACAAAATCATAATAGGAAAATAATTTTTAAAAAAAGTTATGAATTCACCCTAAAAAGAAAAGGGCGGGACTCACTTCTGCTGGTTCCTCTGCGCAATCGATCTCGGATTCCAGGACTCGAATCAGATTCTCGTCGGCGGTCGGTCTCACTGCAGCAGATGTCAAGAATCGCGACAATGGAAGAAGGCTTCGCCGACCAACCTCACGGCCTACGCTGCCTTTTTCGAGGCAGAGAACTGCGGAGATTGCGCTGTGGAAAGTTCTCCGAGAACTAACGGAGCGCATTGCGAGAGGAAGTACGGATGAGGAAGCTCTGCGAAGCATGGAAGCAAAGGCCATGTCGGGATTTTTAAGAGAAGTGGCTACAGACCAAACAAGGGTTTTGCGCCGGTTAGGGTTTATGCAGAGGGTTTTAGGTCGTTTAATATAGTACAAATTTAATCGGGGTATTTTCTTTTTCTTTTTTAACTTTGAACTTTTAAAGGTTTTATTATTTATTTATTTAATTAACCATTTTTTTGTTTTAAGGCCTGGGTTTGGGCCCATTAACAGTAGGTTTTTCTTAATAACAGTGGGCCATTTACTTGTTATATTATAAACTTTCGCATTTCACTATCTAAAAAAAATTCAACAAAAATTTAATTCATAAAAAATTGAACAATTTCGTAGTGAATCAACAAAATTGATCAAATTCATCATTTTCAATAACAAAATTTCACCCACAGAATTTCAAATTCATTAAACCAAAATCGTCAGTACTAGTTTCAAAAAATCAAAATTGAAATTAAATACACGATTTCGATAGTGATTTAGAATCAAAAACTATTAATTACCATCTAATGCCAATTTTGATTGATTTCATTTTAATTCTGTTTTGATTTAAAACCGAACTTTGAGCATTCCTACCTAGAGAGAGCTGGTGAAGAAAGGTCTCAAAATGATGTTGGAGAAGAGAAAAGGAAGTTAGGATTCATTTTCAATAGAAAAATTTGGAACCAGAACTGAACTGCTTTTTAGACAATTTCAATTTCAAAGACGGTTTTAAAATTGCCAATTCCGATGAGGTTTCGATTTGAAACTGGATTTAGGAGTTAAAAAAGTTATAATATAATTTTTTTATTAAAAAGAATACCTTGTAAATTGCCCTTTTTTTTACCACTGCAAAGGAGAAGAATGGCTTTTTATTTTTATTTGAGAGTTTAAAAAAAATCTAAAATAAATATTGTATAATTTATATGTAAAAAATATATATTATAAAGTGTAAAAACTTAAATAAAAAATATTCAAATGATGAGCAATTTTTTTCTATTTTTTCACTATTTACAAGTTATATTTATATTAACAAATTTTAAGATGATAGTCGCGTGTAACGGTGAAAATTAAAATTAATTTTGACAATAAATCATTTGTGATCTTTGCTTTTTTTTTTTTTTTAACAATTTCAAATTGAAATCGTCAATATTAATTTACAAATGCAAATGATTGTAACTTAATCTTAAATATCCAATTTCGTTTATAATTTAGAACCTTAAACCTTTGACCGCGGTTCAATTTCGATTTGATTTTCAGCTTAAAATCAAACCATAGTCATATCAGCCCATGATTTCGGTGACAGACAAAACAACCAGGTTATTAGAATACAAAGAATTAAATACTAAGAATTAAACTAAAAAAATGGAAGAGCACAGTGCATATGCCTTTATGCTAATATAGAACCTTAAAACCTCGTTGACCGCGGTCTTTCAATTTCATTTGATTTTCAGCTTAAAATCCAAAACCATAGTCATAATCAGCCCATGATCTTCGGTTGACAGACAAAAACAACCAGTTATTAGAATTACAAGAATATAAATACTAAGAATTTAAACTAAAAAAATGTAAAGAGCCACAGTGCAATATGCCTTTTATGCTAATATATGATATATATATATATTATAATATATAATATATATTTTTTTTTTTTTTTGAACAATACATTTATGCTAGTGTTCAGAAGTACTGATAATTTTTTTTTTTTTTTGAAAATACATTTATGCTAGTGTTAGAAGTACTGATAAGTAAAAGTTAAACACAAATATGTTGACATTTGTACAATTAGAAAATGCAGCTGAACTGGTACTTTAGGAGTCCTACTTACCATTAGCTGTTTGAATCTCCTCAACAAATTCCTCTTCCTGCAATTAATCACCACAAAAATAAAAATCAATAGCAATCTAAAAACAGAAATAACATCGAAAAGGAAAAGGCAATGGCGAAGCCTTACTGAATCATCAAGATCCTCCATATCTTCATCGTCTTCATCGGAGTACATGGAAAGTAATGCGATGCTTCGTATGGTTTCTTCCTCGACACCATATCTTCACCGTTGATCTTTGGGCAAACTTGTGGAAATTTTATTAAAAACTAGTCCGATCCCGCTTACATTTACCAGAGCACCACATAGCAGTAACTTCAAATTTTAAAGTCCGTCCCTATCCATGCTTTTTTGTAACAGTCACAACCACTGGAATTCCAGATTTGCGTCTGTGTCTAAATCAAATTTTTCATCCTCATAACTATTATTATATCATTCTTTCTCTTGCTTGTCACCATCATTATCATCAGAATCAGAATTTTTATAATTATCATCACAATCTCTGTCTTGCTATAATCTAATTCTTTAGAATTGTCATTTATATATGCTAATGCATCCTCAGTGTCACCCTTTTCAACTTCGACTTTGATGACTCCGTCTTCATCTTCTTTTGTAAGCGTAGTACAATATCTTCTGTCAAATCTTGGAGATGGATGCTGAAAGGAAAACCTTTTGGGACGGCTTTGTACCTGTTTCAAGACAGCAAGCGACATAAATATTTGCAAATATATACATCAATCCGATGTAGGAAATTCAAAGATTTACAACGATAACGAGATAGAAAATAAAAAGACACTAACCTTACAAATTTTTAATTTTTGATTTCAGAGTTGATGCTCTGTACAACTTTGTCATCGACAAGTCGTTTTTGAAAGCAACGGCTATTGACTTGGAAATAGTATTTGCGAGACGGGGAAGGTTAAGTGGGCAATTCACGAACCATAACTAAAGAAGAAAGAGAAGAAGATAGCACTAACAACAGATCTTGGAATGGAAGCAAAGAAAGGTCTACAGAGTCCAGTACCAAGCATTGAGGAAGAAACTTTGCAGAGGAAGGAACAGAGAACCATTCTTAGTTAATTGAAAAAATACAAGGGTTTTGAAGAATTTTTACACTATGTTTGGATGAAGGGATGAAGGGATGGAGGGATTAGTAAAGCATGATATGAGAAAGTACGGTGAAAAATTATTAATATTATTTTATTTAATTTGACGGTACATGAAGGTAATATTAACTAAAGATTATGAATATACTATTGTCAAGATATTTAAATATAGCTATGTAAAATTTAGAAAAATAATTTTTTTAACCATACTTCTACTCCAATTCAGCGTGTTGAAGATTGAAGTGTTTAAATGAATTTCCAACCTCTCAAATAACTTTCAAAAAACATCATCTACCTCAAATCCTTTTTCCAAACAACTAAATAATTTATCTTTACCCTACCTTACTCCTTAAACCCATCAAATAGGTGTTTCCCAATTCTATGTATAATAAAATTATTAAATTTAAAAAAGTAATATATATTCTAAGCTAAAATTTAAAGACTCTATAATCTATCTATATAATAACTCTACCAATTAATGTAAATAAAAACTCTATCAATCTATAACACAATATATAAATCTTTTCAAAAAAAAAAAAACTATATATAAATTTAAGGATTGAGGAATAATTGAATAGACAAAAATATTCTTTATAATTAATTAATTTGTTATTATGATAATAAAAAACAAATCTATAATATATATCTATATCACCTATCTATTAATAATATGAACGTAGGAGGAGAATAATTAGATGGACAAAATACCTTGGAATTTTTTTTCTTATAAAAAGAAATGACTAATATTTTAACTCATTGAGAATTCTAGTATTTTATTATGTTCAATTAATAAATATAAGTTTTAATTTCATTGGAAATTCTATTCTCTATCCTTCGTTATTGTATAATAAGGATTTATAAATTACTGTTGGAAGAAACAAGAAAAATAATACAAATATTGTATAGATATAAGTAAATCACCACCACTTACTGTTCACCATCACCGGCCATCGGCGGTTACCGGCCAGCAACACTAGTCACCGGCGATTTTCATAATTTATCATTTTTTTTGTATTGTTCTCATATTTAATAATAAAATTTTCTAAATACGAAATTTATATTATTAGTATTTTTATTTTTATGGTCTTATGAGTTAAAAACTTTAATATTTTTAATTAATTTTCAAATTGCAATCAAACAATGAAAAATAAGTCATTTAGAAAATATTTTCAAGAAAAATATTTTTCAAAGGTAAATTATTTTTCTCAAACAAACAGAGCATTAGCTATAGAAATTTTAAAATTAGTTTTTTCCAAAAAAAAAAAAAAAAAAAAAGCAATTAGCTATAGAAATTTAAATTAGTTTTTCCAAAAAAAAAAAAAAAAAGATAAGAAAGGTAAAAAAAAATACCATTCTAAAAAAGTTTAATGCTTAATTTACCTCTAAATCTGACACGGCAAAAAAAAAAAAAAAAAAAAGATAAGAAAGGTAAAAAAAAAAATACCATTCTAAAAAGTTTAATGCTTAATTTACCTCTAAATCTGAAGGCAATATATAATTTATTCAAAAATCAACTTTTTTTTTTATACAACTATTACCCCAGAAAATAATTAAGTTATTTGGAAAATATATTTTTCTTGAAAACATTTTCAAAAGTAAGTTGTTTTCCTGAAATGAATAGACCTTAATCACATTATTCAATATTCAAAATATTAAACAACATTAAAATAAATACTGCTAATCTAAAATTTTAGTAATGCCTCCAATTAGGAAGTCAAGTGCACTCAAACTAACAACCTAAAATCTCCATAAAGAATCATCTTGATGAAGTTGCTAAAATTAGTTAGTGTTGGAATCATATCTCCATAAAATTCTTAAGTTCCTTTAGCCAAATTGTAGAGTAGTCCATTTTCTTGTCCTTCACAAGCTCGCTCAAAGCCTTAACCATGCTTGGTTGGATCCCTCTAATTTCAAGATATCTCTCGAGTGCTTTCTTCATCTTCGCATCCAAGTCCCTGGAGAGAAGGGAGACAAAAAACCAAGAAAATGAGAAGACAGAGAATACAAACTAATTACCCATTATATATACATATGAACAAATCAAACAGACGAGAATTTGAATCCTTGCTTACGAGAATTGGACTTCTTTATCTGTATTGTTCAGATTTTCTGAAACTTTGGTCCACGTGAAAAACCTGAGGATTTGAACTGAATCCAGAGAAGCACGAACATCAAAACCCAGTGATATATGGCTGTCTTTGTCAATTGTTACAGTCATTGAAATATTGTCCTGTCTGTTAGAAAGAGCTTGTCTGTCAACTTGGACATTGATTTTTTCATTTTCATATTCTCTTTCGAGTAATATGTCTTCTTCGCTATCTTTAACAGAAAAATGTAGCTTTGGGATTTCTTTATCCTGTTTTAGAGCAGAGAAAAAACAAATTTATAAACCTCAGTTGGAATCAATCCCTGCATAATGAACGATTTGGCCACATGATTACAATTTACATAGAAGATCACCCACCCAATATTGTATTTTTTAACTTCCAATTTCAATTCTTTTAACATTTTCTCTCATCAAATCTAATTTATAAGTTAATTCAGACTACCATGAAAGACTTTACTTTATCGGATTATTAGTAAGGCGGTAAATAAGCCAAGTTGCTTATAAATGTTCAGGACTCGAGTTCATTTGAACTTGTTCAATAAGCTTAACAAGTCGAATTTGAGCCTGTTTATCAAGCTCATTTAACAAAAAATTAGCTGAACTCAAATATTGAAACTCATTTACAGTCCAATTTAGCAGAAGTACTGTAATTTATTTGAAATTTAACTCAAAGTTACAGTGACAAACTGGTGTCTATATCCATTGGTAAAATATGATACTATCCTTAAGTTAATGTTTTTATTTATTACTAGTGAATTTCACCAAATTTTATAATATTTATTTGAAATTTATATTTTGATATTTCATACTAGGAATAATATTGATTTTATTTGTACAAATTCAATATGATCATATAACTCAATCCAACCAAACTTTGTTATTTGTATCTATACATGTAAAAATGGACTATCAATCACACCAAGTACTGAATTCATCCTAAAAAATAAAATAAAATAAAAAGAGCAATAGAATTTCTGAAAGTTCAATTTCTCAATTTCTTAAATCTAAAGATTCTAAAAAATGCAGACTAAAAGTCTAGTGGTAAGTGTATATATATATATAACCTGACAATTGATTCAAATTCGAATCCCTCACCTCCCAATATTCAAAAATAAAAAATAAAAAATACCAAAGCCCAAAACTATTATAAAAATTGATAAAAACTTAAAGACGGGAGCAGACGATCTTGCAAAGATCGGGGGGTTCTATCTCTAACCAATAACCTTAGATATTCTCACACTGGAAAGGGCTATGGAAATAGGGGCTCTTAATCACAGAATTACAGCCAATTATACAAAACCTCTAATTGCCTAGTATGAACTCAAATCACCAATTAATTAGCAAAAAAAAAAAAAATCTGTTTTAGACTTCTTAGATTTTCAAGACAATCAACAACAACAACAACAACAATAATAATAATAATAATAATAAAACTCACCGTGTCAATGGATTCTTGGATTTCAATTTTGGAGTCGATGATGTCAATAATCTCCTTTTCAGGCTTCTTTCCAAGTGAAGTTTTTGGTAAGGAATGACGGTAAAAAACCTCTGATAATGTGAAAGAAGAAGGTGGAATCGAAAGATTCCTATGAACTTCAACATTCTTAATTTTGGCAGTTTGGATTGCAAGATAAGAAAGATAAGTGGTTGCCCTGCGGACTATATACATGACAAGTTCTACTCTCTTTACGACTTTTTCTTTTTTTTCTTTTTACTCCGAAAGAACAAATAAAATAGATGGAAACAAAGGCATATATAGCCTTTGTGTAACTTGGCGGACACGTTTGCATTCACATGCACAATATGTGAAACCTTGTATAATAATAATTAAACGGAATAAAATAATTAAATGGTTGGATAATGCCAAAATAAATATGTGTCACTGAAAACTGTTTTTTATAATATTCGGTGAAAGCTGTTTTTTATAATATTCGGTAATATTCGGTAACATAATCTTTAAACTATAAAAGCTAACAGGTTTAAAGTTAAAGTTTTAGGAAGAGCTACTAAACAGTTTATTTTGCTCATGTCCAAATAATCTTGTAGAAATTCTTCATTTTTTGTGAAATTAGAACGAACAAAATAATTTAATATTTAATAACGTTGCAGGTTCTTTTTTATCATTTTACATTCTGGTGATTAAAATAAAAAAATAGATATTACAAACCTTGGAACCTTACTGTAATTCAGTCAAGCTTGATGCCCAGTATAAAGCTGAACAAATGAAAATTCAACGAGAAAAACATTACAACTCTCCTATTTGGTATAAATGAATTTCATAAAATTTATACAAATAAAATTTTAAACATTCTTGATTCTATGGAACTGATTATATTTCTACCAAACTTAATAGAATATGTAAATGAATTCTAAATTTAAAATGAGCACAAGCTACAAAACTAGTAAAGCTAATAAATTCGAAATGCTAACCAGTAGCTACGTATCTAGAATTAATTATATGTTTGATCCAGACATGCAAATTTATTTACAAAATGATTTTTTAAGTAATTCATTTGTAAATAAAATGAAAAAAAAAAAATCATTCATAAATGAAACAAATTGCACAGGAATTTATTCCAAACAATATAGATTATCTGGGAAGTAGGATTGATAACTAGGTATGATAAGCCAGAACTCCAATACAATCCTACAGAGACACTAGTCATATACTTATGAACTTCTCAATGGGCAATCATGTACGAAATTCTAACCTCCTTCAAATACCAACAAGCTTCAAGCTACAGAAAGTTTCAATTGTCGAACTATTTAATGTAATGAAGAAGTCATCAAACAGAGTGACAAATATTTGTAGCCAATGATTCTCCATTTCCAAGCACAAAAGCATACTGAAAAAGCATCAATTATTGCAACCCTTTCCTTTCACTCACCCTTGATGCTCCTCCATCGAAACAAGATAGCTGCTTACATCTCACCATCCCACAGTTCCTGAATGTTCCTATATGGGCCATATATCTCATGGACAAATGAGGTTCCTTTAACCAGTCTTCCCTGCAAAATTGGATAAGAAAGCATCTGTAAGTAACAATTTCTTATTGATTCAACGATACCATTTCATAGACCAACAAACAACCATCGTGAATTATGAAAATTTAAAGCTTCCAGAGAATTCCTATTTTTAACCAATTCGGTATTTTAAAGAGTAATTAAGACCATTTCCAACAATATCGGTACTTTAGGAGAAGAAATTACTTACCTGCTCAATTTCAGAAAACTTGCCAAACAAGTCTTTTGGAATAAACCATTGAAAGACGTCCAAGTTTTCCTTTATCCTATTTTCATTTATACTCTTAGGAAGAACGCTATGGCCCATTTGCAGGCCCCACCGAAGTGCTACTTGTGCAGGAGTTTTTCCCAATTTCTCTGCAACCATGTTGAGGATTGGATTCTTGAGGACATCACTTTTAAGCCATGTAGTGCCAGGAGATCCTAAAGGTGAATATCCCTGAAAGCAAAATAGAAAAAAGTGAAAAATTTAAAAAGCAATTACATAATTGGAGTCTCAAATTTTATCAACGTAAAGTTTTCATAAAGTAATCAAAGATTTGCCTACTCACAGAGAGGTGAACTGCCTTGGACTGACAAAATGCACGTAGCTTGGCTTGCTGCCATGATGGATGACACTCTACTTGATTCACGGCTGGAGGAACACGTGCCACCTCTAGTAGATCACCCAGTTTCTTTGAGGAGAAGTTACTCACACCAATGGCACGAGCCTTTCCAGAGTCATAGAGTGCTTCCATAGCTTTCCATGTGCTAGGAATGTCTGGTTGTTCAAAGTTCTCAGGTTTGAAGCCAACTGACCCTTTCTTCATCTTTAATGGCCAATGGATCTACAAAATTGTGCAGCCCTGTTTAGTTGCAATAATGCACTTGAAACCAGATAGATTTTCGAGGCTATACAGAGGCAGCAGTAGCTGCATTCAGGGGCTACAAATACAATCATCATGACATAATTTCTCAAAAAATTCAAGATGGCATAAAAAAGTTCTCAAAAATATGCCTTTGAACTGCTCCTTTTATTTTAGTTGTCGAGTATATTAACAATACTGAAGCATCAAAGGAGAATAAGCACTGATGAGGTAATACATACAAGGTACAAATTAACATAATCAAGCTGTAGGTCCCGCAAGGTTCCTTCCAGTGCTTTAACCACATCTTCTGGTTCATGATTATTACACCTGTATGGATCATATTATCAGTTTTAAGAGGTACATTCTAATAGAATAAGGTCAAAGTCTTGGTAAAAGAGGCACATAATAGCTCTGCCTAATGCCTTGCAGAATCCTCACCAACACACAGTAATTTCCAAGTATGAGAGAAGATAAAACAAACCAGAGTTTTGAGGTAATGAACAATTCCTCACGCTTCACCACACCATCTTCAAATAGCTTGTTCAACACTGCACCAATCTACAAGAAGCAGTGACTAAATTATATGTTGCTGTTGAATACATACAAATATAATAATTTGCATTTGCATGTATGTGCTAACCAATATCTAGAAGGTACCTTGTCAGAAAATAAAAATTCCACAAAATGGCATGCTTCAAAATTAAGGAATTAATACAAGTGTTTATGGGACTCAGATTTCGTTCTTAGACATGGTTTTATTTTATGGCTTGTCATTTTGGACTGTATGGATAACCAAAATCAATGAAATATAACTCAAATTTTTAACTGCTGTGTTGAGATAAGAGATCATCTTTTCTTTACATAGTATTTTATGAAAGAAATCTGTAGATCATTTGCTCGAAAAGACTAATATGAACAGATGAGTTAAGGATTGGAGTGAATAATTAGGATGGGCAAAACAAGGAGGAGAAACAGGCACCAATTTTGGAATTTACTGTGCAGTTAGCAGGACAAATGCCGAATCAAATGCACATAACAAGCTCTTAATCACGTCTGTATGAGGTCCTAGTGTCAAAAACTATAAACTCCATAAGAAATATCTAGCTTCTATATATTGATTTTCCAAAAGCAAATGCTGTGAACATTTTATATAATGGATCATTTGGAGTGAGGGAACCAAAGCATTTATAATCAAACAATATAGTAATCTGTCCATACAAAGGACATTAAGCAAGATCGGGACCTATAAAAATAAAATAAAGATCATTTTGGTTCAGAAACCAATTACAAACAAAACACCCACACGACTGAAAAGTATATAAAAAAAATCACATAGATATCCATTGTTTAGAATAAAAAACTAATAATAACGATAATAATAAAACAAAACTTAGACTATGTTTGATGAGCCGTTTGTAAACATTACAGTGGAGATGCTTTCTTTTTTTCTTTGGACTATTCAGGGAGGTGATTGGAACTTGGATCTTTTGACAGATAATACACACTTAGTACTAGGATATGCATGGTGTGCATTACAGTGGAAATGCTTTGAATACATTACATTACCCTCAAACATGCCTAAAAACGCGAAACAATAACAGAAATACAAGCATAAATGGGCGATAAAGGGAAAAAAACAAAAGTAAAAGGCAAACTTAGCATGAATCACAGAAAGTACCTCTTTCTCGTTGCTATAAGCTTGAGCACAATCAATATGGCGGTAACCAATCTGCAGAAAAAGAAATAAAAGCCTATAATTGCAATCAATAGTCAATTGCATACTATTGAGAAGCAAAAGAAAACAGTAAAAACCTTAACGGCAGCGGCTACGGCAGCGCCGACGAGACCAGGTTCCGCCTGCCACGTGCCCAGCCCTACCGATGGCATCTTAGCTCCAGTGTTCAATTCGAAGAACCGAATCTCGTTTACCATTTTCGCTCTCCTCCGAGTTCAAAATTTTTACACCAAAAAAGGCCAAAGAAAATAAAATCTCAAAATGTAGCAATTCAATAATGGTGATTGTAGCGGAGGTATTAGAAGAGGCCAAGAGTGCGGAAAAAGTATCTTGGCCGGCAGAGATACCACAGCCGCTTAGTAACAAGAGAAACGGCTGAGGAGAGGAGACGACACGTGCACTTTAAACGAGTTTAAAACCGTCCACTGTAGTACGTGGGAAAGTTTTTTTTTTTTTTTTTTTTTTTTTTTTTTTTTTTTTTTCTATAGATATCGCAATGTTTTAGTGAGAGAAAAAAACTAATCATAATAACCCCGGATCGACACATATAATTGAGCATCAAGAACAAACATACTAATACGAAATCCATACCTGTTTGTATGGAGAGGCAGCGTTTGTAAACTATACATGAGATGACTATGTGGTGTTTTTTTGGAGCGTGAGTGTCGAGGCTGCGGTATTCTTAGGGGAAAGTTGCACTCTTTTGACAGATAATACAGCACTTGGTTATTAGAAGATACGTAGGAGATATGCATGGGTGTGTACTGAGTGTACAGCTCCGCGTGGAATAGATCAGTGTGGAAGGAGCATATGACATACCCTCAAAACATGCCTAAAAACGCGAAAATACAGAATAACAAGCATAAATCGGGCGGCTGTCATGTAAATCCGAGAAAAATAACAAAAGAGTAAAAGGCAAAACTTACGCAATGAAATCCACAGGAGTATTTAGTACCTCTCTCGTTGCATAACGTAAGCTTGTTGAGCACATCCAAATATGGCGGGTAGGAACCAATCTGCAGAAAAAGAAATAAAAAGCCTATAATGCGGATGCAATAGTGCGAGGATGGGCAATACTATTGAGAAGGCAGAAATAAATACACCATGTAAAAACCTAACATGATTTTGAGCGGCTGGACCGGCAGCGCCGACCGCCAGGACCGAGGGTATCCGCCTGCCACGGAGGCCACAACCGCCTACCGAGTGCATCTTAGCCAGTGTTCCAATTCCTAAGCGAAACCAGAATAAGTCTCGTTATCCGATTTTCGCTCATCCTCGAGTTCCCTAAATTTAATTAACACCATAAAATAAAGGCCTCATAAGAAAATAAAATCCTCAATAATTACTAATGAGCAATTCAATAAATGCCGTCTTGTGACATTTTAGCGGGATGATGAGAAGCGAGGCCAAAGCTGCGGATAGAAGGATATAACTTGGCGGTCAGAATGATACCATTCACTAGGCCTCCGCTATAAAAGTTAACGGAGAGAGAACGGCTGAGTGAGAGGAGACGGACACGTGCAACCCTTTAAACGAAGTTTTTAAAAACCGTCCACTGTAGTACGTGGTGAAAAGTTTTTTTTTCTTTTTTTTTTTTTTTTTTTTTTTTTATGTTGATGAAAGTTAGTATAAATTTACAGCGTATGACAGGAATAAGGTGGCATGCGTAGTGATGAGAGAGAAGCCTAAAAAAACACGAAAACCAAAAGAGAGAAAAAAAGAGGCATATGATATGATCATTGGGTATTCCCGATGATAGAAGACAATTCATCTATGGCCTGCCAAAATGCTTCCGGAATGATGTTATAAAATTTTTAATTTGGAAAAGCCCTGAGCTTTTTTTTTTTTTTTTTTTTTTTTTTTTTTTTTTTTTTTATGTGAGAAAGTTAGAAGTTCTTATTTACAGAATAAAGGTGCATCTATGATAAAAAACAAAAAAACAAACAAAAAAAAAGGAGCATATATGATCATATCTCCACGTGGAATTCATCTATTGGCTGAGTAGATAAAATTTTTATTTGAAAACCCTGACTTCGTTGCTTGGTCCACATTGAAAACGAAACGGGATAGTGACATATCATTTTGTTTCTTGCCATTACGTCTTTATGGCCAATGGGATGAGGGAATGACGTTTTCATACCCTCGAGGCTCGAACAAAGAAGAAAAATGTTTTCTTATAATGTAAACATATTGTATCAGCAAACAATGTACGGATTCCAAATTACAAAAATTGAAATCCAATAACACTTACAGTGGAATAATAACACTATTTTGCTCCAGAGAATTCTCGTCATTTTACAAATGATAATGGAAGGTAATCTCGCACCAAAAATATTTGATGATTGAGGTTGACTAACAGAAAAATTAGGAGTATATATCAGTTTGATGGAGGTACAATTAATTTGTAAGGACACAATTTGTTTATAGTATTACATTTTACTTCATTGTAGAGCAAATGGTACTTCACCCTTTATTTACGTATAGCGTATGTAACTTGTCTCCCCCAGCTAACTTTATCCACATGAAAATGCACATACATGTCCCTCATTTGATCAAACCAGCGGAAAAACATAGTTCTAATGTGATGAATCCATTTTAGGCTCAGTTCATCCCAGAGTTCTTCCACGTTCTTGTATGCACCATAGGTCTCATGCACATATTCAGTACCCTTAACTAGCCTCTCCTGCAAATTACAGCTCACATAATCAATCATCTAAAGCAGCCAATTCACCTGTATCTGACCTCGACCAAGTATAATAGTTCAAAAATATAAACGCACAAAGATATCGATATGTATTCAACAATAAAGAAATTAAACAAAGATCTCATATCTAAAGTAACATGAGCTTAACGCTTATGGCGGTTTATATATATGCATTGTCATTAACAAGAAAGAAGTTAAGTTCTATATCTAAGAATTAACATGGCACGAGGCTAGTGCCTTAATTTTATTGAAAAAGGTAAAATGTGGAAGTTAATTATGACAGCAATTCCTTCAACTTCACACCTATCACCACTGAAGCATGAGATCCAAAGTGGATGAAGGTAAAGTAGGACGGACGGAGTAAGGATACTGAAAGAAGTAGCATAAATGGAGCATAACATTCAGCATTATCAGATGAAGGAAAGACACATATGGTGGAAAGATAATAAACAAAAAATATTATTCACCTGCTGAATTTCAGAAAACTTGGCGAACAAATCTTCAGGAATGGACCAATCAAAAAAATCAAAATTTTCCTTAAATCTTCCTTTATTTGTGCTCTTGGGAAGAACACTGTGACCCATTTGTAGTCCCCAACGAAGAGCCACCTCTGCAGGAGTCCTACCTAATTTCTCTGCTACCATCCTGATCACTGGATTCTTGAGAACCTCATTTGTGATTTTCAGTGAACCTGGAGCACCCAATGGTCTGTATCCCTTAAACTGGAAAATTAAATAGAAATGTTATTTTCATAACTAATCAGTGCATATCTGAAAAGGCTGCATAATAAATGAAATTGATCCATTTTATGTAAAACCTCCTACAAAAGGAATACATACTGATGAGTGAACTCTGGATTTACAAAAGGCATGAAGCTCTTCCTGCCGCCGTATGGGGTGGCATTCCACCTGGTTAACAGCAGGAGGCACCCTTGCAACTGCCAAAAGATTCTCAAGCTTCTTTGATGAGAAATTACTAACACCGATAGCTCGAGCTTTGCCAGAATAAAAGAGTCCCTTCATTGCTCTCCATGTACTAGGTATGTCTGCCCGGGTAAAGTTTTCAGGGTTTGAACCCCCCTTTTTCGTGCTAACAGGCCAGTGTATCTTCAAAAAATTCACTACTAGACAAAGAAATATTAGACTTGCGATGAATAAAATAGGAGAAAATGCCAGCATTGACTACCAAAGTCACTATGTAAACATTCATCTTGAAGTGTGTCAAAGGATAGTCTAATACAACAATGAAGCTTAGTTTCGGAATACATACTAGGTACAGATCAACATAGTCAAGTTGTAAGTCATGCAAAGTTCTGTCCAATGCCTCTGGTACATCTTCTGGTGCATGATCAGCGTTCCTGCAGATAATCAGATAGTTGAACAAAAATTTGAAAAACAAAATAAACTTTATATGCAACTCATGATAGATCAGAAACAATTGAAATTTTATTCTCTCAAGTATGTCTTTGATGATTTCAAATGCCTGGCAGACCTCCAAGTCAGGTCAGAAATTCAGAAAAATCTCCAAGCAAAAACAAAAAAAATACATACCAGAGTTTTGACGTGATCCATAGATCCTCACGTTTCACTAAACCGTCTTCAACAACCTTCTTCAGAGCAAAACCAATCTGCACAAACCAGAAGCAACTGATTATTAAGATCAAAGAATAAAATTTCTCAAATTGTGAGAACAAGTGGAGAAAAGTAGTTCACGCAAAGGCATAAATGCAACAGCAAAACATCAGAAGTTAGAAACTATAACTACAAAGTCACAAAACATAATTCACAAAATAATAAACTAAAACAAGTCAGGAGTGTATAGGTAGAGACCTTTTTCCAACTATCACAGTCTAAACAATTCAAAATACAACAAAAAGAACGAGGAAACATAAAAAGACTTTCCATGTAATATAATGCTGGAACCTTTCTAGCCAAATTGGAATAATTGAAGCAAGCTACATCTCCAGTCACCAGACACTGATAATCAGTCTTTCTTTCCTATCTGACCCAGCCAACTAAATCCTATGCCTAACCTCTAAAATCCCTTTCCAAAAAAGCAAATTCAACAATTCAAACTCTAGCTCAATACTATTAAAATATCACCGATTAATTAAGAAAAGACAACCACTAAAATGGGCTACCATAATAAGTTAAATACTTGGCAAGCTTCAAGCCCAAAGGTGAAAACCCAAGCCCAAAGTTAGAGGTTCAAGCCCATATTCTAGAATACTCCATAATTCTCCACAAATGAGATGTAATGAAAATATCTTACCTAACTCTAGAATGTTCCTTGTAATCTAGACCTTCCCTTGTTAATCATAGACCTGTCCATTTTTTGTAAACAAAATCTTAGCCGTACATTTAGAGGAGGTGGAAATGCCCTATAAAATTACCACCCCTCCCTCAATTGTAAAACCGAAGCAAAACACCAAGCAAAAACCATAAGTAATCCTTTCTTTAAGCTTTTGTGAATGTTTGCTTCTTATTAAATATAATTATTATTTGGTGTTTTTTGTGTTAGTATTAATTTTGGAGTTGCCTTTTCCCGTTATTATTTTAGTGTTATTAAATTATTAATCAAATCTTGGAGTTATCGCGCAACATCCAACAAGTGGTATAGAGCTGATTTATCCAAACAAGTTGGTATCAGAGCTGATATCCAACAAGTGGTATCAGAGCCAGGTTTGTGGGTGAGTAGTTGTTTGTAGCCGTTGGTATTTGTTGTGGTATTTGTGGTGTTCATTTATAAGTGTAGAGTATCGTTACTCTGCTGGAATTAACAGTCGGGGACTGTTGTTGAAGCAAGATTCACAAGTAAGGATTGTGATCTTGATTGGTCAAGGACCATTGTGCATTGGTGAGTGTCAGGAACACCAATACCTTATGGCGGATTTTTCTAGAGTTGCTAATAGCATCGAGAAGCTAAATAGCAACAATTTCGAGAACTGGAGTACCCGTATGAGATATATGAGATATTATCTCATAGGTCAAGACTTATGGGATATCGTCGAAGGAGATAATACTACACCACCAGTTGGGGATGCGACAGCTCTGAAAGAGTGAGAGACAAAATGCGGGAAGGCGATGTATGTGCTGACGGTTGCAGTAGAAGATGAGCAGATGCAATGAATCAAGTTGGCTAAAACACCAAAGGAAGCGTGGGACATCCTCAAGTTTGCTTTCGCCAAGAAGAATGAAGCAAAACTGCAACGACTCGAAAACGAGTTGTTCTCAATCTCGCAACAGAACCTCACTGTAAGTCAATACTTTTTTCTTAAATTAAAATCTTTATGGAAGAGATTTCTAAGTCAATACTTTTCTAAAGTAAAATCTTTATGTGAAGAGATTTCGAAATTAGATCCAGACAACGAGATCAACGAGACAAGGATGAGGAGGATCATTATCCATGGTCTAAGACCTGAATTTAAGAGTCTTGTGACTGCTACTCGTGGTTGGGCCACACAACCAACCTTAGACGAGTTAGAGAATATCTTGTCCAATGAAGAGACTTCAGACGAAAAAATGTCTAAAGTAGCTTTGAAGGATGATGAGAAAGCTCTTTTTGCTAAAAAGAGGGGATTTCGAAACGTTGCGAGAGTAGATGGTGGAAAAAGAAAGGAGCAATCAAACAAGGATGGAGAAGCAAAAGTGAGGAGACCATCACAGCAAGGGAGAGTAAGGTGCAGGACAAAAGAAAGGCACGATTGTCCGAGAAAGTGCATCGTTGCTATAAAGTGCAACAAAAGAGGACATTCGCCCGAGAATTGTCGAAGCCAGACGGAGTAGAAGGAAACATAGCATTCAACCCAGAACGAGCAAACAAACAAAGTGAAGAGGAATGGGATATTCATAGTTTCTTTGTTCAGGAGGAAGAATATTTGCCACAGAAGCCAGTAGAGATGATGATGAAAGGACCCGAGTAGGAGTCATCATTAATATCTATAAGTGATAGAATCAACTATGATGATGATTGGATAGTTGATTCTGGAAGTTCTATTCACATGACAGGAAACAAGGAGAAATTATCGGATGTATCCGATTATGATGGGGGTCGTGTTGTAGTCACAGCAAATAACACGAGATTACCAATAGCTCATATTGGAAAGACAACCATTGTTTCTCCCTCTAGTGAGGAGAAAATGGAGTTACAGATGGTTTACCATGAGCCAAAGATGAAGAAAAACTTGCTCTCTGTATCACAAATAGCAAGTGCAGGTAATTGCAGGGTATCACAAATAGCAAGTGCAGGTAATTATGTGGTGTTCGGTCCTGATAATGTGAAGGTTTATCGTAACCTTAAATTAATCGGAGATCCAGTCATGGAATGACGGCGAGTAGAATCAATCTATGTCATGTCAGCACAAGAAGCCTATGTTGATAGAATAAGGAAGAGTGAGACAGCTGACTTGTGGCACGCTCGTCTGGGACATGTCAGTTATCACAAGCTTAAGGTGATGATGAAGAAGTCCATGCTTAAAGGTCTTCCTCAGTTGGAATTCGGAGAAGACACTATATGTGCTGGATGCCATGGATGCCAATATGGAAAAGCTCACCAACTTCCCTTTGAAGAGTCAAAACATAGAGCCAATGTGCCATTGGAGTTAATACATTCAGATGTTCTTGAACGGATCAAGCAACCTATAAACAGTAATATGAGGTACATTATTACTAATATGAGGTACATGATTACTTTCATCGATGACTACTCGAGATATGTTTGGGTAGATTTCATGGTAGAGAAGTCGAAAGTTTTTGAAAAATTCAAAGGTTAGCTTTCAAGAAGAAAGTTGAAAAAGAAGTCGGGAATAAAATTAAATGCCTTCGCACTGACAATGGTGGAGAGTACACGTCTGACGAATTCACTAAATATTGCCAAGAGCAAGGCATTCGAAGGCAATTCACATGTCCAAGAACACCGCAGGAGTTGCTGAGAGAAAGAATCGACACTTGATGGAGATTTGCAGGAGTTTGCTCCATGTGAAGATTGTGCTAGCTAGATTTTGGGCAGAGTGCATGAAGACAGTTGTTTACATCACCAACAAACTACCTCAAGCAAGACTAGAGTTTACATCCCCATTCCAGAAACTATGGAACACTAAACCAACTATAAGTCATTTTCGCGTTTTTGGATGCATATGATACGTCTTCGTTCCGGATGAACTTCAAAGCAAGTTTGACAAAAAGGCACTTCGCTGCATATTCGTTGGTTATGATGAGCAAAGACAAGGCTGGAGATGTTGTGATCCTATAACTAACAAGTGTTATATTTCACGAAACGTGGTCTTTAATGAGGCATCATCTTGGTGGTCATCTCAAGCAACCTTGCTACTAGACTCAAAAGATATTCAAGAAAAAGTTGAAAAGAAGATAGGAGAGGGAGAGTTCATCCCAAAGAAAGGTCAAGCAGAGCCATCTAGAGTTCAAGAGAAATCGAAGAGCCCATCGAAGAGCCATGGAAGATAGGTGCATACGAACCAACAGCAGCCAAAGTCAAAAGAATAAGTTCCAGATCATCCTCTACTTCGACAATCAAGTCGAGAAAAGCAAGGCCTAATCCAAAATATGCAAATGCCTGCTATAGCAGAGATAAAGGAGCCAACAACTTATGAAGAAGCATCAAAGAAAGGATGGAGTGGACTATTGCGCACTGGAAGAAGAAAATTGCTGCTTTGAGAAAATCAACATGGAAATTAGTGCCAAAAAACCAAAAAGATGGTGAAAAAACCCATCTCTTGCAAATGGGTCTACAAAATCAAAACTGGCCTGACTGACAATGAGCGATATAAAGGCAAGGAAAGACTAGTTGCTCGTGGATTTTCTCAGCAGTATGGCTTGGACTATGATGAGACATTTAGTCCAGTTGCCAAGATCACTACTGTGCGTGTATTACTGGCTTTAGCAGCTAGTAAGTCATGGCCTTTATGGCAGATGGATGTAAAGAATGCATTCTTACATGGTGAAGTTGATCATGAAATCTACATGGATCAACCACCAGGGTTCAGAAGTCGTGAAAATCCTAACTATGTGTGCAAGCTAAGGAAAGCTCTCTATGGTCTAAAACAAGCACCAAAGGCTTGGTGTGGTAAGATTGCAGAATTCCTTATCAAGAACAAGAATGGATATGTTATGGCACTAGCAGACTCCCAATTTGTTTGTGAAGATCGAGACAGGAAGACTAGCTATAGTCGCTAGTATATGGTTTGATGATTTAATAGTCACTGGCGAACAACAGTGAAGGAGATTCAATCATCCCGAGAGAATTGGCTTACTCGTTTTAGATGAAAGAGCTAGGAAGCTCAAGCATTTTCTTGGATTGGAGATAGAAACAGCCAGGAAGGTTTGTTCCTCGGGACAACAGAAGTATCAAGAGATCTAACTGAAGAGTGTTTGGAATGGATGGATGCAAGCCAATATCTACTTCCAATGGATGCTAATGTCAACAGCTGTTGTGCTCTGATGGAATGATCTCAAGAATGCTACTATGTATAGACAACTAGTGGAAAGGCCTAAATCTATCTCACTATGACACGGACCAGACATTATCCTTTGCAGTTTGGAGTAGTCAGCCGATTTATGTAGGAAGGCCTAAAAAACATCACTTGGAAGCAGTTCGAGAATATTTGGGATATGTCAAAAAGTACAATTGATATGGGACTTTTTATAAGAGAGGTTGAAATTTATCAAGTTGGAAGGATATTGCGTGCTGATTTATACAGGAGATCACGGACACTCCGGCACTCGACAACAGGCTATGCTTAGTCTTGGTTCAGGATTTTAAAAAAAAATTTTTCTTTTTCTTGGTGCAGCAAGAAACAACCTACAGTGTACTTTCCACGACAAAAGCTGGAGTATCGGCAGCAGCAACAACAGCTCAGGAAAGTGTTTGGTTGTCACAGCTTTATGGAACATCTGCATCCAACCCATCGGACTATCCATTCTGTCTAAATTGTTGATAATCGTTCGGCTATACAACATGGCTGAGAATCGGTGTTTCATGCGAGAACAAAACACGTGGAGGTTTCACTATCAACTTTATTTCAGAGAGAAGGTTCTACACAGGACGAGATAGAATAAATATATCAAGACGGAGGAATCAACCAGCGATATTTTACAAAAGAGGTTTAACCGCAAATAAAATTATAGATTTTCGCCAACAGTTGGGAATGATGAAGAAGGAGAATTAATCGTTGAGGAGAGTATTAAATATTACCGGATTAATTAAGAAAAAGACAACCACTAAAATGGGCTTACCATAATAAGGTTAAATACTTGGCAGCTTTTCAAGCCCAAAGGTGGAAACCTAAGTTCCAAAGTTGGAGGTTCAAGCTCACATTCTAGAAATACTCCATAATTCTCACAAATGAGATGTAATGAAATATCTTTACCTAACTCTAGAATGTTCCTGTAATCTAGACCATCCATTTTGTAAACAAATCTTAGCCGTACATTGCAGGAGTGAAATGCCTACTATATAAATACCACCCCCTTCTCAATTGCTAAAACCAAGCAAACACCAGCAAAAAACCAAGTAAGTAATCCTTTCCTTAAGCTTGTGAATGTTTGATTTTATTAATATAATTTATATTTTTGGTGTTTTTGTGATTGTATTATTTTGGTTGTCTTTCCCGTTATTATTTTTAGTGTATTAAATTATTTAATCAATCTTGGAGTTTCATCGCGCTAATATCCAACAAGTGGTATCAGAGCATTAATCCCAACAAATACTGGACCTTGTGCTTTAAATTTTTTTTTTTTTTTTTTTTTTTTTTTTTTTTTTTGGGTTGAAAAAGGGACAAAAATAGTTGAAATTGCATAAACTTTCTGGACCAAATTCATCAAACAGTAAACCAATGTATTAAAAATCTGAGGCTAAGAGGTGAGGAAGCATACATAACATAGTAATAGTATCAACATTTAAGCCAGTGTTCAAATTTTAAGAACAAACATGGTCAAATTGAGGCTAAGACAAGCCAAAAAAATAATTCAAAACTCTGCAAAATTGTTTACCTCTTTCTGGTTCCCATAGAGTTGAGCACAATCGATGTGCCGAAATCCAACCTCCAAGTAACAAATGTTCTTGTCAATATATACATACTTGTATCTTAGAAATCAATTCAGTTTCCAGAAATTCTTTATAATTTGCGAATGCAGTGCCTTAACAGCGGCGGTGATGGCCTCGACAATGTCGTCAGGGGCAATCTTATATGTCCCCAACCCAATGGAGGGAATTTTGGCTCCCGTATCTAACTCAAAGAATTTAATTGATTTTGCCATTTCTCAGTCGCCCTCTTCTTTCGTTAATGCTGATTATGGAGAATGGAAAGCTGTCTACACAAAGAATTTGAAAAAGTACATGATTCAAGAGCATCTAGGAAGTTTTTATGGTTTGGATTCCTAATCAATTCAAATATAATATATATATATATATATATCAAATCATTTTTTTATGAAATTGCATGTGGCGCATAATAATATATATATATATATATATATATATTTTGTTGTCATATATATTTTGTTGTCTCTTTTCTTCTCTTTTTTTCTGTTAATAGAATTTTTCAAGGTTGCACACGCATTCCATGCAAAATTTAAGACTTAGACTTCTTGATTTGTGCTTGTAAGCCTTATGGTTGATGATTTTGAAAATGATAGTCCTTTCCAAAATTTTCCAATTTTCTAACACTTGTGTTTCCTTTAATAATGTTTGTTCTTTTAAAACTAAATCACCAATTGTCAATGATCTACAATGGATTCCTTTATTGTCTATTGAGGTTATTTCTACCACAGTTGGTCATTTGAATGAAGGCAATTTATTATCTTTCGTCCAACTCATCGTTCAAAAATTTTATGACAGAATTAAAATTGATTTAAGGTTTAGCGCAATCTTCCATCCTTAAAGCAACTAAAAAAGAGAGGCTACAAAAGCCACTTCTTTTTCTCTTACATATGGAGCAAAGGCAGTAATACCAATTGAGTTAGATGAGTCGCGGTTGAACCATCGATCTAGAATCCTCAACTAGTAAGATAGGTTTGAATAATGTTTTTATTATCTGTATCGGTTTAGATCGTGTTTAAATTCAATAATTCGGATACTCACTCTCCATTGCTTGTTTAATTAACATTTCAAAGATATTCAAAAGTAATTATATTTCTTCAAAGAAAATTATATATATACACACATCTTTCTAGTTATAACTAATGTTATAATTATATTTGACATTGATATCATATTTTAAAAAATATAATTTTATAACTTTTACTTACTTTTTTATTTTTGAAAAATAAAAAATAAAAAATATTTTTAATATTAAATGAGTATTTAAATGGATTTAGTTATTTAAATAAATAATTATAATGGGGTTGAGCACATATTTGAGTAATAAAAATGGATTTTTAAATAAATTCAGCAAATTTAAATACCTAATTTAAGATCAAATTAGAATTCGGATTCAGATAATGCATTTTAAGCGGGTGGGTAATCTTTTGCCATACAATTAGCATACATACAATACATATAATTAGAATCGAAGCGGTCGTATCAAATCCAACCTTAAATATTGAACTTTAAACTGCTCCACTTACCCACTTTTTTTTATTTATCCACAAAACAAATTAAACAAAAATATTTGGCATAATTAAAGGTTGCATTTTTCTTTTCACTAAAGAAAAAAAAAAAGGAAAAATTATAACAAAAATGAAATTTTCTTTTTTTGGGTGAAACAAAAGTGAAGTTTTAAATGGCTAATTAATTGTTAGTTTCGTGTATTAAAAATTAACATATATACACAAAGCTCCATTTAGTATGAGAATGGAATGGAGCAAAATAAAATATGATTTACTCGCCAGCATCAAGTATGAATTCTATCTGTTCTATTCTTTTATTTGGTCACAAGAATAAAGAAGAATTGAATGAGAAAAGCATAGAATAAATAAACATTGATAAACTAAAATAAGCATTAATTAGAAATTAAATATACGTTTAAGACTATTATTTGTAGTATTAAACTAGAAATAAGAAAACAACAATTCCAATTCTGGTAAATGAAAAATTCCTCTGGCTCCATCTATCTTATTTGGTTATTAAGTGCAGCATCAAATTGCAAAGCTGATTACTATTGAAATGTAAGAATACAAGACAGAAGCAGCCAAAATGGAAAATCTAGTCTTTTTCTCTCACAGTTCACCATCCCAAAGTTCTTCCACTGTCTTGTAAAAGCCGTAGGTCTGATCAACAAATCCAGTGCCTCTAATTAACCTCACCTGCACAATTAAACAATCAAGTCAATCATCTAAAACAGAAATGGTGGCTACAAAAATCTGCCACATCAAAAGCACCATTACTTGCCTGTTCAATTTCAGAGAACTTGGCGAACAAATCTTCAGGAATTGACCAATCAAAAACGTCCAAGTTTTCCTTTATTCTTGCCTCATTTGTGCTCTTAGGCAGCACACTGTGGCCCATTTGTAACCCCCATCGAAGAGCCACTTGTGCAGTAGATTTCCCTAATTTCTCAGCAACTTCCTGTAGAATTGGATGCTTGAGAACCTGAACCTTCACACTTCCTAATCCAGGGGAACCTAATGGTGAATACCCCTGCAAAAAATTAAAAACACCAAAGTCATAATAATCTAAGTGGCCATTCAAAGAAAGAGTGATCCATAATTCCAAAAAGGGTTTTTGCACAATTTTTTATCACAACTATAGCTAGAAATTCACAATAACAACAAATCGTTGCTTGTTTTTCGTCTTCCTTTAATGGTTTTGAACTCCCGATTTTCTAGATGCCACTCTAATACTACTGAAGGAGGCTCATTGATATAAATTTGCAGCTATTTGAATATATACTTACAGTTAAGTGAATTCTCTTGGAGTTACAGAATTCATGAAGCTTAGGCTGCTGCCAGACAGGGTGAATCTCTACTTGATTAACAGCAGGAGGAACTCTAGAAACTTCAAGCAGATCTCCAAGCTTTTTTGCAGTGAAATTACTAACCCCAATAGCTCTAGCCTTACCAGAATCATACAGTGCTTCCATTGCTTTCCATGTGCTTGGTATATTTGGGCGTGTAAGGTTCTCTGGCTTAAACCCAACCGAACCCTTCTTCATGCTTGCTGGCCAATGGATCTTCCAATAAATAAATAACAAAAAATCAGTAACAAGTCATTTTAACACTAACTTTTTCAAATTTCAAAATCTGAAAAATAATTCAAAAATTAGGATTAATTGCTGATGAACATACCAGATACAGATCTAGATATTCAAGTTGCAAGTCCTGCAAAGTTCTATTCAACGCCACTGGTACATCTTCTGGATCATGGTCAGTACACCTACAGATCATTATTAATTCGGTCATTCACACAGTCTTTACAGATACAATCTAAAATGTATGTCATTTCCTAGTTTTGTAATGTTAAAACATAAAGAATTAGAGAATAACGTTTTGCACTTACCAGAGTTTTGAGGTAATCCACAACTCCTCACGCTTCACTACGCCATCATCAAACAGCTTTTTCAGTGCTAAACCAACCTGCAAAAAAAAATTAAACAGAATTATCTAGATGAACAAATATTTTCTTTTCTTTTTCTTATTCTAATTTCTGATAAATAATTTCTTTTTTAAGTATCACCTCCTTCTCATTGCCATAAACTGAAGCACAATCAATATGTCTATATCCAGCCTGCATCAAAATACGAAATTTTACCTCACAACTTTTCAAATACAACAATTTATCAAAGAAAATAATAATAAAATAAAAAATATAACAAAAATATTAACCTTAATGGCAGCAGTAACAGCGTCGCCAACAACGCTAGGTTCAGATTGCCAAGTGCCGAGGCCAACGGAGGGGATTTTGGCTCCGGTATTTAGAGTAAAGAATCGAATTGCGTTGGCCATTTCTCGTAGAAAAAAACAAAACCTCCCGAATCTTATATTTGAGACGATATGAACAATGATTGGTCTATTTATAGCATTAAAAGCCAAATGCAAAATCTGATACGGATCTTTAATTATTTAATAAATAATAAGCAGCTGCCGGAATCCTTTCGTTGGGGACCGGACCGTTGCTTTTGGTCTCCAAACCTCAGTGTCAAACGTGAATGTTGTTGACGTAACTACTGACATCGCGCAATGAAAGCGTGAACTGATACAACTCAGGGACCCAAAGCTCAAAATAATTATTAAAGAATTTAAAATTGAATTAAACGTAACTAAATGGAATAATTATTTAATTTATATTCTTTTTTCAGATGTGGAACAATTATTTTATTTGAAAATATTTTACAATTTATTGAAATTATAGATATGTGATAACTTTTTTTAGAATAGATATGTGATAACTGACTACTTAAAATTAAAAGATTTACGAACCTGAATTGTAAGTGCTGCTTCATTATTTTAATTATTCATTATTTAATTTATAATTTTTATTATTTATAAAAAAATATTTACTGTTAATTTAATTTTCAATAAAAAACAATTCAATGTAATAATCAATAAAATATAAATAAAATTACAAAGACGTTTGGATAGTTAGATAAAATATTTACTACAGTTTGATGATAAATAATATATAATTCTTAATTAAGATATGATAAGACTTCTATGATTATAATTTTTAATTAAGACATGACAACTTCTAAAATATGTGTTTGATTTGAGCTTTTTTTCATACCCACATGCTAGCTGATTTGAACATTATTTTATTTTAACTTCATTAACTTCAAAAAATAACTACCGTTAAAATTTTCATATTATGATTATTTTATTTATAATTATGTAAAATAATAAATTTTATTATAAATTATTTGAAAAAAAATTGTGCATATATGATGTGATTTTATTGTATAATAAGTTAAGAATTAATAAAGTTTGTTTTATTAATAATATTATGTTGAAGAATTTTAATTAAATTTTTTATTGTATGATAATACATTAGGAAATAAAAGAAAATAATATATTCACTCTAGACAGATTAAAATATGATATAGTACATTAGTGATATATAATGTATAAAAAACTTATATTTGAATATAATTTTAACAATAAATTATTTGAAAATTTTAATTAATATTTTTTATTTATATAATACATTAGAATAAAAAAAATAATATATTCACTCTAACAATTAAAATATATATATACATTATGATATATAATGTATAAAAAATTATATTTAATAGTAATTTTACATTTTAATAACAATCATTTATAAAATTTTATAAAACACAACACACATGGACTGATTACTATCAATCACCAATAACTAATTATTAATAATCGCTATCAGTTATTTCTCGATAAAAAATTTAAATTAAATAAGCGTAACTGGATATCTCAAAAGGAAAATGACGTCTTCTCTTGCGTAAGTCAATCTAGTTCGTCCCTTTTCAAGATCACAACTTAAATATCAAACTTGTATCAATCAAACAACTCCAACAATTTTGACTCTTTTAATGCAAAATGGCAAGATTATTGACTTTTCTAGAGTTCTACTTAGTTGGACCCACAAAGGCATACCAAATTTTGCTCTTTCCGTAATTCCCGAATCATCTGGCGTCCTGCATGACGTGGCTTAAATTCTCTGTACCATTCTATTATGTTATTTCTTTTCCTGAAAAATAGAAGAGTAATTGGTAACTAGCTGTTTAAATCAAAGGTTATGTTTGGATCATGAAATTAATACTTATTTATCTATATTAATATGAAGTTGAAGTTCAAACTAATAAAAAAATGGTATTTGATTTTCTTTATTTAGAGAATTTATATTTTGATTCGTGGATATATATTTTCGATTAATAGAGTCCGATAATACAATTTATTCCATTTTTTATGCTATTGAGTGTAGTTTTTTATGTGTATCTTCATATATGCTATTGCTATACTATCTTGCATCCTAATGACATGGCTTAGTATTCTATGCCATACTATTTTCTTCTTTCCTTTCCTAAAAGAAAAAAAGTTGATAACTATCTGATCTAAGGCTGCGTTTGGATCATAAAATTAGTATTTATTTATTTATATTAATATAAAGCTAAAGTTGGAGTTTAATTAGTAAATTATCATTTAACTAATATATAGAATACAAAATATTATTTAAAATTTTATAGAATTTAAACACCAGTTAAATAGCTGACAATTATTAGAATACTTAATAACTACTATAATACTTAATTTACCAAACGTGCTCTGGATGCATAAAAAATAAAACATTAAATTGAAAAATTGTTTTCTAAAACACATTATTTATCTTTCCAAATAAACAAAATTTGTCATAATTGATTAAATTTTTTCTAATTCGCAGTTTCACTTATACATATTATTTTATTTTTTTTTACATATTAAGACATAACTTAATATATACTAATAGATTTAAGTTTTAAATTGTTGCCATGGATGGTTAAAATGGTCGTTGGTGACTAAAAACGCCGAAACGCATTTGAGAGTTTTAAATTTTTATTTATGTGCTTGTGTTGTGTGGTTTCTTATATGTTTTCATTTTCAATTTAATGGGCTTATAGAACAAATCAGTCCAAATAATTGGGCCAAGCCCAAACTGAAAATCAGATTAAAAACTTGTAATTGCATTTTGGTATAGTCATACTGTTTGGAACTCAACTCGAATTGCCACCTCAATTTCCAAATTTATTATTTCTAAAAATATTATTCATCCTTTTTTGGCTTGGTTAGAAGTGAATGGATAAAGAAATGAATAAAATATATTTTGAAGGAACAATAATATATAATTAATATAATAAAAGAGTATTATATTAAGGTAGCACAAGAACTCAAATAATTGGACCATACATCCTCTGATTCCATGTTATAATTTTGAATTAATAGAAAGGAGGCACCACAAGAAAATAGAGTTTGAGTACTGAATTATTTATTTAATTTTCTTATTAAGAAATAAAAATTTGTATTTCATTTGTTTTTATTTTTACTTTATTAAAGTGTTGTTCAATTTGTTATGATATTTCAATGAAAAATACAATTAAGGAATGTTTTCAATGAATACAATTCTTTTTTATCTTGAAATTTAATATTTTGCTTGAATTCCATTAGAGATCATCTTCTTCCTCTGGTCAGCTGAGCTTAGCTCTCAAGGTTTGATCTAAAATCGTAACTGAATTGTCACTCTGACCAAATGCTGCTGGAGATAACTTAGATGCTCAGCCTTCTATGATGTGCTTCCAAATTGAAAGACCTCCAACCCTAGCCTCGAATTCGAAGAACAAGAAAGATTACTATCAAATCTATATGAACGTTGAGATTAGCAAGTTGGTTTGAGAAAATCTCAAAAATGATGTTCATAAGATTTTAAGTAAACTTTTGTTTACGTCAGAAATGGAGTATGAGCTCCGAACCTATTCATTAGAATGAAAAGGAAAATAATAATAATAATAATAAGAAGAAGAAATCAACATCGCTCTAACAACAATAACACTGCTAAACCTGCTATGAAATCAGTAGCAATCACCAACCAAACACCATTGCTTTGCTTTCTCATCAAGCTTGCCTCAACCTACATTTTTTCTTTTTAATATAGTTCTAACCTACATTTTTTTTTAGGCATAATTCGGTTTAAATCGAATAAGATAAATCTTTTTACAAAGAAAAACCTAAATCACATTAAACATTACTGGTTTTGTCCAGTTATATTTTTCAGTTAAATCAGTTTAATTTCTAGGGTTTTGATAAAATCAAACTAAAAAAAAAAAAAAAAAAAAAAAAAAAAAAAAAAAAACTGGTTTTGTCCAGCTTATATTTTCAGTAAATCAGTTTAATTTCTAGGTTTTGATAAAATCAAAACTAAAAAAAAAAAAAAAAAAAAAAAAAAAAAAAAGAAATCGGATTCTCTATAGTAAAACTTTAAAATCAAACCAAATTTTGAAAAAAATAATCACAAACTTATCGGTTTAGTCCGAACTTGTCAGTTTAAAAAAAAAAAAAAAAAAAAAAAAAAAAAAAAAAAGAAATCGGATCTCTATAGTAAAACTAAAATCAAACCAAATTTTGAAAAATAAATCAAACTTATCGGTTTAGTCGACTTGGTCAGTTTTGCCAAAAGCTACTCGGTGCTACTTATAAGTATTGTTTTGATATAAACTTGTCTATATATTTGACTAAATTATCCTTCCATAGTTCAAAAATGCTTTTCCATGTTCAACTTACACGTCTAAAAATGGAAAACAAAACAATTGCCTACCTAGAGTTAATGCCACACTTATGGACCAAACAAATTAAAATAAGAATTTTTAAAATGTGTTCTGATTTTTTTTTTAAATATATGGTCCAAAATACACTCGTTTTAATAAAAATCTTTAATTTTATTAATTTGATTTATAAATAGAGCCATGACATGATCTAGATAATTTTTTCCCTCTAAAAATTATCTTCAGTCTTACTCGTAAAATATAAAATTATCTTCGATTGATGCAAATAGATACTTTCAAAAAAAAAAAAAAAAGAAAGAAAAATTTGAAACTTCCCACATTTCTATCTGCCCTCCTATTTTGGTTTCTAATTCTAACCATAGAACTAATTGAAATAAGGAAGCAAATAAAATAACCTACAAGTTGCTGCCTGATTTGGATCTGAGAGGACCAAACCACACGATGGTTCCAATTTTCCTGAACAAAATCAATTCAAAATTGTTTTTACATTTTTACCTAATCAGGTCAGGCCTAAGCTATAGAACTTTCCTTAGGTAAATCACAGATTATTTAACAAGCAACATCCTAAATTGAATAGATAGTTCTCTATTTCAGAATAAGAAATACTAAGACCATATAAATATAAATTAGATGGAGTCTCATTGTCCATCTCACCAATACCTACAATGTTTCAACAGAAAGAAGGCGCATTGCTTAAAATTATATGAAAACAAGCATTGAACACTAATTGTAAAGAAATGCAACGCAACCCATGAATAATGAACACCCAACTCTTGCAGCCACAGAATCCGGCGTTCCAGCCGGAATGGGCTTCCGAAGATATATGTATAATCTTCTTCAAATGTGTTAGATGGCAAGTAGAAGAAACATTAGATCCAATTAATTGCCCATATCATTATTTCTGCGACAGCACTTATCCTGGAAATTATCCCGCTTATGTAGACATTCTGGTTTTCTTGTTTGCAGCTGCTTCATACCTGACAACACTAGTTATTATGGTAATAGATATATTAAGAAAAGATGGGACTTCCATTAGCCGTTCAAAGAGATTCTTGCTACCATCAGGTCCGGTTTCTCTTCCGGTCATCCTTTTAATGTTGTCTAAGGGTTACAGGATCAATACTGCATTTCCTCTTACTTGTATTGGTCCTGCAATCCTTCAAATGCTTTACATATCTGCTCTCGCTTTCGATAATGGTGTTGATAGAGATATCAAGTATGCTATTTATGAAGCATCAACAATTTCTGGAATTCTACATGCAAGTCTTTACCTGGATTCCATTATATTGCCTTACTATACAGGTTTCGATGCTCTTGTTTCATCTACATTTTCCGGTGAGTGTGATTCCTGTGTGTGCAGAAAAGAGGTCATGGTTGTGGGTGGAAGGCTAGTCAATTATCGGGGATGGTCGGTAACTGCATTTTTCGTCGTGGCCGTTCTGTGTTTGAGGATTATACAGAGAATGATGGGAGAGAACAGAAGTAAAAGCTCTATTATCACAATCAAGTTCATGTTGGAAACCTTAGGTTGGATTTGGATTACAGCGGACTGTGTCTATCTAATAGGAAAGAATCCGGCAGAGCAATCTCCATTACAAATTGCCGGTTTCGTAGGGGTACTTGTATTGATTTGCCTTCATCTGATCAAGAAGATGTCCTCTCATATTACGAGATGGAATTTAGTACACGAAAAATTAGATGGCTAGAGCTTTGCATCAACCATGAGAAGAAAAAAAAAAAAAAAAGCTCAAGACCTGCAAAGGAGATCTCTGACTACGTACAGGAAAATCCAATGTATATTATTCTTTTTCCTTTCTTAAATCTTTACGACATTACTAGCCTGTACTTTTGTTCCTTGTACAATATTTTTACTAGGCATGAACTAGGGATCTGGAAGAAGAAAACTCATTCCTTTTCTCTCCACTCTGGATAATGAAAGTGACAGAAATCAAATCCTGAACATAAATCCAGGCATCTTTCATCCGCCCAAAAATAAGAAAGGATAATTTATTAATTATCAGACAAGAAAGGCAGAGAATTTTGAGGAAAAAAAATATTGTAAGAATTAAAGATTCTTGAAAACTAAATATATTGTAAGTGTCTCCACAGACAGAAAAAATTGGTCAAACTGATGACAAATTTTACAGACTGCCATCTCCCAAAAAGACAGGTCAGAACCTTGAGACCATTTGGTCAGTACAACACTATTCAAAAGAATTACTACTATTTCTACACCCAAAAAAAAAAAAAAAAAAAAAGACAGGTCAGAACTTGAGACCATTTGGGTCAGTCTAACCAAGCACTATTCAAAAGAATTACTAACTATTTCTACACCCAATAAAAAAAAAAAAAAAATCAAAAGGAATCATAAATGCAACTCAAACAGAAAAAACCTCCTTCGGCTGGGTCCATTTCCGGCACACAATTCCATTAAAAACGAAAAAATTAGACCCAAAAAAAAAAAAAAAAAAAATCAAAGGATCAAATGCAACTCACAGAAAAAACCTCCTTCGGCTGGTGTCCATTTCCGGCTACACATTCAAAATAAACGAAAAATTAGCCCTAAATAACTTTTAACAAGTCAATTTTAGAAAATTAAAGTCCATTGTGACACAAATTACCTTGTGAACCCATTCATATTCACCACTTTTGGTATCAAATGTTCCATGCTGTAGACTTAGTAACTTCAGCGTAAATCGAGGACCACATTCCTGCGTGTTCAAGCGAGATTGTTACCCTTATGAGTCTCAAATATTACATGGGCCTTTGATCAGAAAAAATATAACCACGTAGATTGATACAATAACAATAAATGCATCAGAGGAACTTTTTTTTAATGGGAACAAGGCTTCAAAACTGTCCAAATTTTTAGGGAGCGGTTAGGTTAATTCATACTATTAGCTAAAATAAAAGGTAAAACGAAAATTTTATCATCCAGCAATTTTGCACAGTGCACACCAAATTTCGAAGTCCTGCTGGACACAACACTAAATCCATAAAAACAAATTTATTAGAGAACCCTAACCTGAAGGCGAGCAACTACTTTCTCTTGAGCAATCTTCTCTCCCTTGTTATCTTTTTCTTTCTTACCTTTTGAATCACTCTGTTTACTTTCTTTAGTTTCAAAGATGTACCTAGGCACATAAAAGTGTAGATACATAGCAGTGAGACAACATAGAAATGATTCCAGAAATATCTATATGTTCATTAGATTGCCGTTGATGCACACCGGTGATGACGGAAGAATATAAAATCCCGTTGATTGTGGAAGGTTGCAACTCGCCGACCACGAAAATTTGGATCTTGAGGGAAAAGTGACTGTATTAGTCTGGAGGGAGCAAACCAACAAAAGAAAGCAATAAGTCATGTTGTATAAGAATTAAAAGAAAAATAAAAGGTTTTGAGCTATAACACAGAAAATCAAGTCATAAATTTATGAAATACAAAGGTATAATGTAGAGCAAGGAAAATAATGTTATACCTCCCAACTCGATGACCCAAGCGTGTCGTAAAGTTGGTCATCACAAGCTCAGGCTTGTGACTAGTTGGATTCCCATGATTCTGCGAGCAATAAAAATAAAATGATTGAATTCTCGGATCAAAATTATATTTAATTAACACTGTATCAGAACATTTCCATGCATTATTATTCAAGCAGAAGAGAGTTCTCCAAATCACATCTATTTTCATTTAATTAAATAGCACAAATTTACTTTTTTAAACAAATGCTAGCCCACATGATGTTAAATAAAAAAAAGTAAACATATAATATAAGTAAGTTCAGGCATCAACCTTAATATCCTTGTGTAACACAAGATTTGAGAGCTTGAAATGTGCAGTAGGTCCAACAGGCAAGCTAATGATCAGAAGAGCATCTATAAGACGCCATTAATTTGTCATTCAAATTTTGAACCACTACAATACCGACAAGGAGAAACATGAGACCTTTATTGAATAGCAAAATGAGCCACTAACCTGGTTCTCTGCGATTAGTGTGGACAACAATAATAGCACTGAAATCCATGTTGTTCGCATATTTTACAATCTGCATAAATGTAATTATAGAACTTCTAAGACATGATGGGATAACTCCATGCTTCACATCTTATATTATAGAAGGAAGACAAAAGAGAGAATAACTAATAAAAAGCACCTCTTTTAATTTATAAGTTCCTCTCTTCTGGTAATGCGCGTTTGGGATGACTGAAAGCAGTTCTGATATAAAAAGTGGTCCCCTCTGAGACCAAGTGACAATGAAAAGAACCAATAGATATCAGATAACAATGTTCACAGGAAGAAACATAAATTAATGGTAATTCTTTTTCCATATTGAAAAATACAACATATCTTCTACTCCTAGTTTACTATCCGCAAATCAAAGATAAATTAAACAGAGAACGAACACATACAGTAGAATTGAATCTACAAGTGGTGATCAATATTTTAGGAGTTCGTTCACGCCTCATAATTGGACTAAATTCATCAGCATCATTACCCGCAAATAGCTGTAAATTAACAGAATCAATCCATCAGCAAAAGAGTTCCTTTTTTGTCGCAATATAGGAAATTGATTGATTGAAATTCCACAACAAATTATCTAAACAAGTCATATTAAATAAATACTTAGCAGAAAATATCAATTCTGTAACTGTCAAAGTGTAATCTTCATGGCGTGCACATAGATGCAGCGTCCCAAATTATAAACTTCAAAAGGAGCAATGATGCCCATGAAGTTTGTTTTTATGTGAATTTACATTTAATAGTAAAAAAACTTCAAAACTATTAAATGGCACCATGGAACTGCTATTTCCAGCCTTCTGGTTCTTTTCCAGAAAAAGTTTCAAACTTAATGCCATTTCTATATGAAAGGGTGTAAAACTATATAACTAGTTCACTCACTAAACATTCCTAGATGATTATAGCATCCAAATCACATTTTCAGCTAAATGAGTCTAAAGATTTTCCAATTTTTCCATTTTTCATTCCAAAAGAATAAATTTTTAGTTGTTTTAGACATAAATACCTCATCGTCATCAGGCTTGCATACAGTCTCATCAAATTCCCTAGTGTTCTCGATGGTACGTGGAATCTGCCTTGGAGGAGGCTGTAAATATAATAAAAACCAAAAAAAAAAAAATTCATTTAAAAACAATCCAAAAAACAAGATCTCGAATTCTGTATAGTCTATAGTTAAACAAAAAAAAATAATAAAAATTTTAAGCTATAGGAGAGCGAGAAATAGGAAAGGAACCTCCTCGCCGAGCTCGAGAGCGCGTTTTTCATCGGCATCGCGTGATTTGAGCTTCTTTCGTTTCTCAAGCTTCTTCTGGTGTCTGAGCTTAGCGTGCGCGGCGGATCTCTTCTCTTTGTTCTTTATCATCGATGGAAGTGTCGTCTCCTTCTTTTCTCCCTCTTCACTGCTCTTCTTTTTCTTCCTCTTCTCATTGGCATCAAAATTTTCATGGTCTTCGAATTCTGCCAGAGTTTCGTTTTCTCTTTTCTTTAATTTGGCTCCCATTTTTTTGTTGAAGTCTCTAATTACAGTTCACCGTTGGCTTTAGAGAAAGGTAGTATTAGGGTTTATGAATCCTGAACTACGGGATTAGTCTAGGGCTATATGATTGTGGGCCAAGGCCTGATTAAGAAAAAGCCCTAGCCCGTAATCTAAAGAATATAATTATCCAAGAGGAACAAAACGTCCAACTAAGGCTATATTTCCGTAAAATAACTTGTAAAAAAATATTTTTTATAATTTTTCGTTATTTAGAGTGTGTAAAAAAATAGTCAGCGGAAAATATTTTTTTGGTCAAAGGAAAATTAAATTATTTTTTTAGAAAAATAACTTCTTATTTTTTAGAGAGTAAAACATTTTTCGGACCATTAATAAACCTTATAATCCATTTTTTTAATATATTAATCATCGTACTCACTACCACCAGTCACCATTTATCACCTACCACTGCCACCGGTGGCTTTCATAATTTACATTTATTCTTTTGCATTCTTATCATATTTAACAATAAAATTTTTAAATTATAAAATGTCTATTATTATTAATATTTTTATGGTCTTAAATATTTATGTTTCACTGAGTCTGTATGAGATAAATATTTTAATACTCTTTTAACCTAAATTTTTAATAATCAAAATAATGCACCGAGAAATAACATTATTTTAGAAAATATGTAATGTTGCCAATCCGAATGCTTAATTATTTTAATAAAAACAATCGGGGAATAAAAGAAATAAATTAAGTTTAACAATAAAATTTTTAAATTATAAAATGTCTATTATTATTAATATTTTTATGGTCTTATGAGATAAAAATTTTAATATTTTTAACTAATTTTAATAATCAAATAATGAGAAATAAATTATTTAGAAAATATTTTTCCATCCGAGTTATTTTTAAAAACAAACGGGGAATAAAAGAAATAATAGGTTAAAAAAATCACTAATGTTGTGTTTAGAAAGAAGAGGAAATAAAATAAAGAAGGAAAATGAAAGAAATAAAAAGGAAACCAACCGAGTTGGTTGAATAGAAGTGAAGTTGTTTTGGCAGCGACGAGTGAATAAGATCCGGCGACAACCAATTTCACTCTACACGTAACTTTCCCTTCTTGTTTTGAAAGGAAGATGATCATTGATTAATTGAAGGAAAAAAAATCCAGCAAACAAGAAGGGATAATATCCCAAACTTGGAGCCTAGTATAAAGGATGGATGTTCTTGTAAGAATACGAGCACCCATGTTAGCTTGCCTCCGAATTCACGTGATACTAATATCATGTCTATTATCCAAAATTCTGCTACAATATGAAATAATAAGACCAAATTCAGAGTTATCTATGGAAGATGTGACAAGAGCATGAACAAGATGTTGACAATCAAATAATATACATCCATTATAAGGTAAAAAATCTTGTGCAAAGAGAAGACAAGAAAGAAGTGCGATAGCTTCAACCACCACTGGACTACCACCACCTTCCTGGAACCCAAATACTCCTCATAGGAATCGGCCCTCACTTTCCTCAATCACAAAGCCATAACCGCTAAAGTCCAACGCTGAGAAAATTGCACCATCAACATGACAAATCCAGTCATGCATTAATGCAGCCACTGTCGGAGCAACATATGCATGCCGAGTTAGAGTTGACGCTGCCATTGTCGAAACTGCGTCTCGATGCCTCCTATTACGCCAGTTAAGAAGGTACCGCCTTGCACCAGTATAGACGTCAGCTGAAGTGTTTTTTTCTAGTGCCAAAGCATATGGTTGCGAGACGACCAGATTTCCATGCCAGCACTACTGCAAACTCAGCCGCAACCTTCCGTTTTAAATTATAGACCTGAAAAAATAAATTTGAGAATGTAGTGTTAGCATTTCGTGTAGACCTACAAAAATAAATTTGAGAATGTAGTGTTAGCATTTGGTCCATCATATTTTGATATCAGATTGTTTTTCTTTTTAGAAGAAATTTTAAAAATTCAATAAATATTTGTAAATAGACATTCAACCATATTACCTTTCACGTCTGCTTTTATTTTATATGACAAATTAGTCATAATCTACATTTGCATGGAAGATGCTCTAAAAGCATTTTCAATGCAAGCATAGATTGTAGTTGATGTGTTTTAATAAATAGAAGTTGTAGATGGTGATGTGGTTGAATATGTATTTATAGACGTTAGATTTTTAAAATGGCTTTCCAATGTATCCTGGTTATATTAGAATTTTTTTGTTGATGTTTATTTTATTTCTCAAAATTATGTATAATTAAATTTAAACGTATAACTAAATGCAGTAAACTAAAATCATATTCTCTACCTTCCTGATTTTGTTAGTGGATTGTCAGGCCATGGTTGTCTTGATCGAGTTCCTTCATTGGTCCAATTGCTAGGGATTTTCTTTTACACTATTTTGTACTTAGCATCTCCGGTATTAGAACTCGAGCGTGAAAAAAAAATCAGTTTCAACGCCAGAAAAAGTTTGAATGCAAATAAAAAAGAATACATAAAAAGAAAATAAAAAAAAATGAGTAAATAGGAAAAAAAAGAATAAATAGATGAGTCACGTTGTTCAAGAGACCCTCTGAAAATAGGGAGCATAATAGGCAATGTCTTTTTTTTTTTGTCGGTGAGACTCACGGACTAAATAAATAATAGCATTGGAAAATTTTTTTATTTTTTTAACTTTAATTTTTTTCTGGCGAAACAAATAAATTTGAGTAATCCATGATTGCATTAGAAATGCTCTAAATAACCAATTATGAAATACAAATCTTACTAAAAAAAGAAAATATATAATCTTCCAGAATAATAAACTTTATAATTAAAAGAAATTCATAAACTCTTCCTAATTAAGAATGTCTTGAATGTCCAATTTGTTCATAAGACAAATATTGCATAGATGATAATGTTAAGATAGACATATGGTAACACAAGATTAGAAATGGCAACATCCGATAGAAGGTGAAAGTAGCATAAATTAGAAATAAAATAAGAGAATAATGTAAAAGATGATTTCCTCATATTTTGCTTAGATCCCTAACTAGTTTTAATTTGTAAGTATGATGTGTTGATGGTTGTAGATATTAAATATGAAAGAGATAGACCTAGAATCGGATAGAGAAAAATTGTTTCAAAACATATATTATTTTCGAATATTAGCAAAGATGTAGCAATGAACAAAATATAATAGGAACAAAATATTCATATGGCCGATTTTAACTAATATAAAATTAAAATTAATTATTATTATTGTAAGTTGAATCGCCTCAATTCAATTATGACCTATTAAGCTGATTAGAATTTTAAAAATATTAATAATAACTTTTTCCAATTCCATTAAAAGTAACATAGTTTTAATTGGTTTTGTTGTTTGTTAATTGTATTTTTTATCTTTTGATATCTTCACAAAATTAAAAGTAGTATTTTAGTGATTACAATTTTTTTTTTTAAATTGAAGTAATTTCATAACTTATTTAACGGAGGGATGAATGAGTCGTTAATTCGGCCGGTTCGGTTTGCACATTGGAAAGTTTCAGTTCGGTTTTGCTTTTTAGTAGTCACTGGCTCACTGCTTCTGACTCTGCACTATTAAACAGCTGCAGTGCTCCTATCTCAAGAACATAAAAAGAACCATCAAGCCATCAAATCCAGAATAATAATAATCGAGTCTCATTTTGGAATGAGAATTACATCACCTGCATCTAACGCATTTCCTTCAAATCAAAGCCCTAACTACTCTCAGAATAGAGTGTAATACTCGAGTTCTAGGGCTGATCTTTCTGATAAGTGAAATAAAGGTAATAATCTAGATATGGAGTGACGGAGACATTTTGAAATTTAGGGTTTGCCTTTTCTATCAAAATTTTTCTTGGGGTCCTTTGATCAAGGCAAGGACCCTTTGATTTGAGATAGAAAAAAATGAAGGAGTTGATAGGGAGTCCAGGAACAATTAGTGGGCTATTTCTGAGAATTTCGCAATGTGCATTTGCCGCTGCTTCGATTGGACTTATGGCCTCTGCCACTGGCTTCTCTAGCTACACTGCTTTCTGGTATTTCTTCTTCTGCTTCTTCAGCTCCCCTTTTTCTCATTTTGATTTTGCCTTTTGTTTTTCCCCTAAATGATCGTATTACTGGTGATTTACAACGATGTATGTTTAGTCATTTGGTGTGGAATTAGAAAATCCTAATTGTTTTATTTTATTTTATATTAATTAAAGTACTTTTTCTGATTGACTTTTTATTATTATCTATCTACATTTCAGTGTTTTTATGGATGGCGACCTTCCTTCCATAATTTTTCCTGTGAATAAAATTTTGTCCTGTTTTTTCATTGGATACACGGACCCCTTAATTAGGTGGTCGCCTGTCTGTTTTCAGTTAAAATTTGGACAATGAGTTCTCAGTGCAAAAAAACAGTAAAAGAATAGGTGGGAATTTTGGACCATTAGCCAAAATTGGACTTTCACCCAGTAGATAACTAATATGTGCTTCTCGTCAACCTGAATTAGGCTGCTTTGCCGGCCTGACTTTTGGACTGTATATGGCGGTGTGCAAATTTAATGTGCAATGCAGCCATAGATATTGGTCTACAGATTATAATAAGTCCAGTGAAATGCCAATTGAAAATACAATTTGTATATTTTTATCATGCTGTTCAATTTGGATTAGAGGTATCAATTGTACAATAAGAAATGGTTTTGACTGAGTGAGAGGGTAGATATTAATTATTTTTACCATTTTATTTTTGGCCAAATTCATACTGTATCCTAAAAAATTTAAGCAGAACTTTAAGTTTAACAATCTGTAATAGTGGCAGATGAATGAATTTGAAAGCCCTTTGAAGCATTGAGTTCTAGTAAATATGATTTCTACTGGAAATCCAGAATTGGCAATTTAACATCATACTGTCGAATTATTCTCATGGCATTATTATATCAGATGCCATGCCTATTGTATGGTGTATTTGTTTGTATGGTAAAATTCTTGTGATAATGTTGTCTGACTATTTGCTTGCATCTGTACTTAAGGAAAAAGCCCCTAATTGTTCCCTGTCCTTTTCTGAAGGTAATTCTAAGTATTGGGACTTTAGGCTAATTGAAAATTGTGATACAGGCTCCTCCTTATTGAATAGAAGCTTACCAATTACTTTTCTTATTCAATTAAAATAGTCCTCTACTCTGCCTTGCAGTTTATCTTTTTTTTTTTTTTTTTTTTTTTTTTTTTTTTTTTTTTTGCATCTGTACTTAAGGAAAAAAGCCCGCACGAGGATTGTATATTACTGTCCTTTTCTTGAAAGGAGATAATTCTATAATATTGGGACATTAGGCTAATTGAAAATTGTTGATACACAGGCCCTCCTTGATTGAATAGAATAGCTCTACCATTACTTCTCTAATTTAATTCAATACTTAAAATAGATTACTACTCTACATGCCTTGTTCAGTCTTATCTTTTTTTTTTTTTTTTTTTTTTTATTTTTTTTAATTTTTTTTTCTGATTAAGTTAGAATTTTTACCTGATCACCTGTTGCAAGCTAAATGTTCTGAAGATCATATATTTTATATGAGCTGCATCATAGACAGTGTTCCAAGAGTCCACTAATTGATTTTTCCCCTGTGTATTGAAAATTGGATTTTCCTCGTTTCCAAATTGTGTTTTTATGGCATTTGGTGACATCACTGATGTCATATAGTTATCAGAGCCAATACACATATCGAATACATTGCGAATTAATTTTTTTTTTTTTTTTTTTTTTTTTTTTTTTTTTTTTCTGATAAGTGTAATTTTGTCACTTTGTTGAAGCTAATTCTAACATCAATTTATATGAGCTGCAGCATGTCCAAAGTCCAACCTAATTGATTTTTCCCTGTGTATTGATGTTCTTGTTCAAAGTGTTTTTATGGCAATTTGGTGGACATATGAGGTCATATAATGTTATCGCCATCACATAAAGTACATTGCGAAAATTTTCTAGTTACCATAATTTTGTTTTGAGATCATAGTTGTTATACTCTGAAATGGAACGAGGTCTCTTGGAGTCTTAAATGTCACATGACTTCTTTTAGCTTTTATAAATAAATCATCTGATGTGGTCATAAATCTTTTCACTAGGCGGCAGCACAGTCCTTTTTTTCTTCCGGTACACAAGTGTTGGCACTCTTGTTCCTTTAGAGTCCCTGCATGCATTTTGCAAGTTAATTGGAAATACTGAACTCTCTTTTTCCTAGATATCTATCAACCTCTAATTTTCCTACTGCCTAAAAAGAAAATAACAACATTTTAGAGCACTAATTTTTCTTTTCTGCACGCTATTGCAAAGAATCTTTGTCATACAGCACAAATTATTATTATTTCTTTTAATGTTAAATTCTGGAGATTTATTTGGTATATTAGTTTATCAATACTCATTGGTTTACTTGCACAAATGGGCCATTGACTATCTCTTTATAGTCAAATGAATTGAAAGCAAGTTGACCAAATGACTATTCTGTGATGGCTTGTATCCCATATTGTTGATGCTGTATACCTCAATATGCCTGAATCATATTCACTATTTAACTAATGTTTTAGGTAATTATCATTCTGATCTTTTCTTCCAGATTTGCACTTCAATAATGATTATAACATTCTTTTTAATAGTGATGTATGCCCTTGGGTTCAGCTATTTGATTGCATCGATGGGGCTTCAAGTTCTGTGGAGCTTTGGACTTGCATGTCTTGACATCTATGCTTTCAGAAGAAAGAGAGATCTTCTAAACCCTGTCCTAGTGAGCTTGTTTGTTGTAGGTGATTGGGTAATATTCTATTCTTCTTTTATCACCTTATTCTTGTGATATATACATATACTAATACGTCAGTTATCACTATATTACTGTTTCCACTATTTTCTCTATCCGTGATGCACTTTAGCAGGTTTGTGCCCCACAGATTGGTTTCTTTTTTTTTTTTTTTTTTTTTTTTTTTTTTTATTTTTTTTTTTATGGTTCCTATTATTTGGTTCTATATTAAAATCTTTTGATACGGCATAAAACCTACACTTCATCAAGAGATCATAGCACAGTGTTACTGGTAGCTTCAACATTTCTCTTGTCTCATCTCTTCTCATTTTTAGTATTTGTCGAATGTAAAGAAATCACTACTTAAAATGAACTATAGGAGGATATTTTTTTTTTTTTTTTTTTTTTTTTTTTTTTAATCTTGTTAGGCATAAAAACCACATTCATCAAGGATCACGTGTTACTGGTAGCTTCAAATTTTGTCTCATCTCTTCTCATTTTTGTATGTCAAAGTAAAGAATCATACTTAATGAATAATGGTTTATGCAGTTGTCATATTAGTAATTGACTCATGGTAGTATATGAAAGCTAAATGTCTGGCTACAGTTGGTGGACCTTTGCTCCTTATTTTTGTTCAGTAGCATGGAGGCTGAACCTAGGATATTTATGTTGGCGTTAAATTTTCTATTTGTCTATCTAGTCTCTCCTTTGAAATTTTGGTTTATTCTTGTGATGCTTAATTATAAAAAGTTTTGCATCCTAGGAATTGCACCTAAATTGGATTGTTTGAATAAAGCATTCATAAGATGAAATGAAAAGAGATATAAGCGTACGCATGACAAATAATGGTTTGAAAATATGCAGGTGACTGCTATGTTATCACTCGCAGCTGCAAGCTCATCAGCGGGCATCCTTGTTCTTTATGCAAGAGACTTGAACTTTTGCAAGTCCCAAGCATATCTTCCATGTAATAGGTTTGAGATTTCCGTACTTTTTGCTTTCCTCACTTGGCTTCTTGTTAGCATATCATCTCATGTGATGTTCTGGATCTTAGCATCTATCTAGATAGTATAACTCATATGTCATTGCTCTGGAGTTAGTGAATACACAAATGATAGTATCTTATATTTCACATGTAAAATTTTGTTTCTTCTGTTAACCGTCAATTTATGCGGATTTTCTTTTTCATTCACTACTTGCAATTAGCTTCCTTTATGCACATAAAGTATTTTGGTTATGGTCATGAGCAGGGATGAGCATTATTCGGTTTAAACAAAAAACTGAACTGAACCCGTTGGAAATTTGATTGGCTTGGTTGGTGTTTCTCAATTTTTGGTTATTTTATTTTAGTTTGGTGTGGTTTTTATTGTTAAAAAAACCACAAAATCCAAGCCAAACTGTTGTATGATGTATCCTGCGTGGTTTTAGCCTTATACAATCCTAATCCTACAGACACGCACGTTTCTTTACAGTCGATCGCCGGCTCTATCCCCACATCAGTCCTTGCTGGCCTTTATTTCAAGAAAATCCTTTGTAATTGTAACGAAGTTGTCAGCCATTGAGATTCACTTCAAACTTCCTCTTCTCTATTGTATTGTTGCTAGGATTTGCTTCTGTTAGTAATTTTCATATACAATTGAGTCTATATTGTTAATCAAATTTGTACAAAGATCTTTCAATTCTAGGCTTCCAAACACATCCTATATTGGTGATATTTGGAATTAGTAATAAATTAGGTAAAATTAGATGGCTCAAGTCAAAACGGTAATATAGTCATTTATATGACACTTTAGGTTCTAGGCTGTCATTAAGATTGCACAAAGAATAATCACTTTCTCGAGTTAAGCTATCTAGGTTGTCATGGAGATTGCACAAAGAATAATACCTTTATTCTCTCCTTTAGCTTGGATATTTTTCCTTGAAAAGTATTTGTCAATTAACTCATATTCTATTGTTTGGATGCAATATTGAAAATCAGTTAAAAAAAAAAAAAAAACAATGGAGATTGCACAAAGAAATAATCATCCTCTTTATACACTCCTTTAGCTTGGATATTTTTCCTTATGAAAAGTTATGTGTTTAACTCATAGTTCATTAGTTGTTCGATGCATATTGAAAATAGTTTAAAAAAACAAAAAAAAACTACAGTATTATAATTTATAAGATTATAAAAAAATACTTTATAGTTATAACTAGACAATCTTCATACTTAAAAGTTTTGTTGTTAATATGATAAATTTTTTAATAGTAGGAATGATCAATAGTGGTAAGCTAAACTGTGATTAAATAAAATTAATTAAATATTTATCATATACGATTTGCAATAAGTCTGTTCAATAATTTCAAAAATATTTTCCCTTTAATTTTTCCTTTTGATTCTTGAAAAATATTTTCTGTTTGTTGATTTTAAGCACGCTTCTCAAAATATTGGGAACTTCTCTAGGAAATATTTTCTAGAAATAAACCAGCGAGCTAACGAAATTTTAATTTGAACAATTTTAACTTTTTGGAGGCAAGTTTTAGTAGGTTTACGTAATGTAAATAAATTTGATTTGGAATTTTGATTTGGAGATTTTTTAGCTTCCATTGAAATTTTTAATTTTTATTCAAATATAATAATTAAAAATAAAAATGTCTTTTATTAAAAATAGAGAATCTAAGTCTCATTTATTTTTATACTCAGGTATCGAGTATTAGGCCTAATCGCAAAGTTCAATAACATGACGAGGAAAACTCGAGTTTACTCTAAACTTTAATTTATCTTTGTGTGAAAAATTGAAAAACCTGTTTTTTAATTTTGCAACAATAAAAAATTTATTTTTTATTTTAAAAAAAAAAAAAAAACTACAGTATTTAATTTATAAGATTATAAAAATATTTATAGTTATAGAAATTTCATACTTAAAAGTTTTGTTGTTAAATATGATAAATTTTAATAGTCAGATGATCAATAGTGGTAGCTAACTGTGATTAATAAAATTAATAAATATTTATATATACGATTGCAATAAGTCTGTCAATATTCAAAAATATTTTCCTTTAATTTTCTTTTGATCTTGAAAAATATTTTCTGTTGGTTGATTTTTTTAAGCACCTCAAATATTGGGAACTCCAGGAAATATTTTCTAGAAATAAACAGGAGTCTAAACGAAATTTTAATTTGACAATTTTAACTTTTGAGGCAAGTTTAGTAGGTTTACGTATGTATAAATTTGATTTGGAATTTTGATTTGGAATTTTTTAGTCATTAAATTTTAATTTTTAATTTCAAATATAATAATTAAAAATAAAATGTTTTATTAAAAAAAGAATCTACTCATTATTTTATACTCAGGTATCGAGTTGGCCTACGCAAGTTCAAAACTGACGAGGAAAACTGTTTTCTAAACCTTAATTAAATTTTGAAAAATTGAAAAACTGTTTTTTAATTTTTCAAATAAAAAATTATTTTTTAAATAGAAAATTGACTGATCTAATCTCTGTTTTTCAATTTTCTTGAAAAATTTTTCTAAAAAATTAATTCAGTTTTCTACGAAGGAACACATCTTATATTTTGCAACCTTTGTTTTCCCAATATCCTATATTCCTCCATGGTTATATTTTCTTTATGAAATATTTTATGTACATTTCAGCTTTCCAGCAACAGGAATTTGTTCAATTACCACTGTGTAGAATTAAAATCAAAATTTAGTGACTGAAAAAAAAAATATATAGAATTAGAGTTGTGACCTAAATGAAAATAACTAATACGCATTAATTTTGAAGGCAATTAATGTAATTTATTAAGTAATAATTAAATAAATAAATAAATAATTATTTATTTAAAACTAAAATTCTTATTTAGGGCAAGTGTATATTTCATTCTGAGAAAAGATCCAAATTCAAATCTTGAAAATCCATATATTAAAAAACCATATATTGAAAAAGCTATCAACTTAAGAATGAAGCATTAGAAAAGGGTTCCTCAAGTGAAATTAAAGACAAGTTTCAATAGAAGCAATAAAGATCAACTAGCAACCAAAATTCAATAAATTAATAGCACTTAATCATTCATGGCTGTGCCAAAACATACAACTAGCTAGGATTTCTTAGTAACCTTTCCTGAAGTAATAGCAATAATATACTCAATCTCATCAGCAACTTCTTTCATTGAAGGTCGATTCTGCCTCTTCTCATCCAAACAGGCTGCTGCTAAACATCCCAAAGCTTTCATCATTTCCAATTCCAATTTGTTTCCACTCTCCTTAAGAACTGGATCAACAACATCTATTAATCTCTCTTCCTCCATTATCTTCTTCATATAAACCACTAAATTCACATCTTCTTCTTCTCTATTAAAATCAATAGCCTTCTTAGAAGTCAAAATCTCCATTAGAACAACTCCAAAGCTATAAACATCACTCTTATCCGTCAACTGAAAGTTCCGGTAATATTCAGGGTCTAGATAACCAAGAGTTCCTTGTGCACCAGTGAAGATATGACTATCATTATTTTCACTTGTCTCCACTAACCTAGAAAGCCCGAAATCAGAAACTTTCGCGTTAAGCTTCTCATCAAGTAAGATGTTGCTAGATTTTACATCACGGTGATAGATGGGAGGAACAGCCGCAGAGTGGAGATATGCTAGACCTTCAGCTGTCTGATGTGCAATGTGAAGCCTGCGTTGCCAGGTCAGTGGAGTCGCCTTGCTCGAATGAAGATGCTCAAACAGAGTTCCATTAGTAACATACTCATAAATCATGATAGGCAGCTCAAGTTCAACACAACAGCCGAGAAGTCTTACCAAGCTCCTGTGATTTACCTGGCAAAGAATTCTAACTTCATTAAGTACTTGGTCGGTTCCTTTTGTGTTGTTTCCAAGCTTGGCGCGCTTGATGGCTGTTATAGTTCCATCATCAAGAATACCTTTAAAGACTTCTCCAAATCCACCAGACCCAATAAGATTTTCTTTGGAGAAGCTGTTGGTTGCTTTTATTATTTCTTTGCCTGTGAAAATCCTTGCCGATTTGCCACTATTTTTGTCATTTAGAATCTCTTTTCGCTCTTTGATCAAATTCTTTTGTGCTTTTCTCGAGTTATGATGCTGCTTATAGAATAGAATTCCGATTACTACTACGAGCAGCATTACTCCTCCGGCAAGAGCTACACCTGATGAATGGTAGATTTGCAACGAAATTTCAACTGATTGATAAAATACAGACCAAGATATGGAACTTATATATATGATTCAGGGTAACTACGTACGTACCAGCAAACATTGCAGTCTTTTTCTTTCGTTTTTTGCAAGCTTTCCCTGGGCGACACTTGACATCTGCAAAAAGAGAAGGATTTCACTCCACAGCCAATAATTTTTCGTTGTGTTTGGATAAAGGGTCATTTGAAATGAAAATTTTCCATGTGATACAGGCATTGGAGCTTGTTTGAGTGAAAATTTTGAATACCTACTATGAAAATGTAACTTCAAAGATACTGTAATTCCTAATTGCAAGCTTAATGCCAAAAACCAAAGCAGAAACCAATCCAGAAAATTGTTAAAAATGAAAAGAAAAACGAAAGACTCACTTTGACACAATCCATTGACAGGATCCCACTTAAAACCAGCATCACAAAAGCACCTTTTCTCTCCAAATTTCGTTGGATCAGTCAAACATTTGGAGTACAGCAAGCCTTTACAGTCCACTGGAGTCTTGCAAACTGGCTCCAGAGGCAAAACCCATTCTATCTCCACTCCAGGCTCCGGCCACTTGTGCACGGCCACCATCTTCAAATCCAAGTTAACAAAACTCTGATAGGCAGCGCACTCTCGACCCAGAACCTTAATTCCATAACCACTGCTCTGCAACCCACTAGTCCTAAATGCACAACACAACGGTGCATTAACACACGCACCTGCCTTGTCCTTAGTGTAGGCATGACAAATGCTCGCAGGTGAACAATCTATAGGTGGTTTCAAGTGCAACATTGACTCTGCACAATTAAGTAACACTATGGTGTTACTGCTGGTAACATTAAATGGAAAATTAATATGGATAAATTCACTAGATTTGCAAGAATTGTTGGCTATGCTTTCTGGTCTAATTATAATTCGTCGAATTAATGAGTTGATTGATGTAATCACGTAGGATGAACCATTTAGTGTATCAAACCATAATGTGCCTGAAGTGCACCGAATCTTGTAGTTTTGGTCACCACAATCCGGTCCGGTGCTTAGTGGATATGGCACCAAAGTCCGGCCACAATCTCCGCAACAGCGCACGGCAATAGTAGACGGGGAGTACGTGGATAGAAGCGAAAACATAAGGTTTAATATCATAAGCAGACTAGTCTTGGCCATGTTAGTGTTGGTTTGGGATGTTTAGGTGTACTTATTCTTGTGTATCATGCAATGTAAATATATTTAAAGAAGGAAATTGAAGATTTTTTATTATCTGGGTAAGAGATGGATGGACAATTTTTGTGTCGTTATTTGGAGCGTGGAAAGAAGAGAAGAGGAGAGGAGACATATTTCAAAATGGTTTTACATTGTACATGGCTGGTATAGTTTATCTCAAAATGATTTAGCATTTTCCTAGAAGGATCTGCAAGTTAAGGGCAGGCATATACATTGTCACCACTTGACTGCTTGTGGGACTCTTCATATATAAAAATGAAAATTATAATGATAGTATTGTATTTTCACATTTTGCAAATCCCTTGGTACAATAAATATATTGATTTTTTTTAAGAAAATAAATATCTATACATATATAAAAGGGCAAAGGTGCTTTACACTATTCAAGTTTGTAGTTTTTAATTTACCTATTTTGGCCTTTTAAACATAAAAAATGTCTTTTTAAATTTCATTTTATTTATTCATTTATTTTTTTATTCATTGAGAGGATGGACCGAGATAATACTGTAGAATACACAATAAGAGTAGTCTCTCTTGGATCCACTAAATTGGTGAAAACAATTGTGATTGAGAGAATTCGAACATTTCTCATACACCGACCGGACTACACATAAAAAATTAAAACAAATACTTGAAAAAGTCGTCTAATTTCAATTTCAAATTGGAATCGAATTAAAATTTGCGATTTAGATCCGTCTAAGAGCATCTCAATTCAGTTTCATATTTCTTTGGAATCGGAATTGACAATTCTAAAGCTGGAACTAGTTATTCGAGAAGCATGATCATATCTAAGTCTTCTTTTATTTATTAAAAGCAATTTTTATTCATATATAATTATAGATATAGATCGCACTACTTAAAAGATTTTTGTTGTTTTAATCATAGCACTAATCCAAATATGATGATCTAGTTTTTGTTATATTAAGGATGGCAATTTAATTTGCCCTGATGTATAAATTTGATCCTGAATTTTGATAAATTTTTTTTTTGTAGCCTTCGAACAGTGCCAAAATTAGAAATTTTTTTCAATTGGATCATTTATTTAATTTGATTTTTAGTGGGTTCAATTAGATTAAAAACTTTTAAATTTTTCACTATATATATATTTTTTAATTTTTTTTATCAATTTAATCTATTTTATAAATATTTTTTTCAAAGTTAATGATTTTTAGTGGGGTTCAATTAGATTAAAAAGCTTTTAAATTTTTCACTAATAATTATTATTTTTTAAATTTTTTTTTAATCAATTTAATCTAATTTTAATATTTTTTAATTTTTTTTATCAATTTAATCTATTTTATAAATATTTTTTTCAAAGTTAAGCGGATCAATTGACCCCATTATTTATAATGTGGCTCCGCCTAGGGGTGGCGCCACACTATGTGAAGTGGGGTCAATTGACACTCAATTTTTAAAAAAATATTTATAAAATAGGATTAAATTGATAAAAAAATTAAAAAAGTAAATATATAGTGAAAAATTTAGAGTTTTAATCTAATTGATTCTACTAAAAATCAAATTAAATAAAATGATCCTACTAGAAAATATTTCTAGCTCCTCCTTGACCCACTATCTATAATGCTAGCTCCTCCTTGACCCACTATCTATAATGCGGCTGTGCGCTTGCCTCCTAAGCTTTGTGGAAGTTAAATTATAAATACGTATTTTTATATTTCAGTAATAATTATATTTCTCACCAAAATAAAATGTGAAATATAATATCATAATTAAATCTATGTAAAATTTTTATTTGAGTGAGATATATGATTATTATTAAAACATAAAAGTGTATGATTATAATAATTGTCGGTAAAATTAAGGGGACCATAAGAATAATAGCTTTTGCTGGAATCATAAGAATAATAGGCAGAAGTACAGGATTAAATTTACACGTTAGAAGATTTAATTTTGCTAGAGTATCAAACAAAACGATAATAATAAGAATCGCTTTTGGTTTAATTAATGAAAGTCCAATCTCGGTTACGTGAGTTCGTTTTACATGTCTGGCTGTAATTTCAAGATGTACATTGGTTCCTAATTAACAATATGATTTCCATTATCTTAAATTAACACGCGTCCCTTTCTGAGTGGTAGCTAGTTGCTCCGTCGACAGTACGAAAAGGGTTCCTACTACTTCCTGTCACAGTGGAAAGCGCAATAATCTCTCAAGATTCAAGATTCAAGATATGTTATGTTTCAAGTCCCAAGACGAAGAGCTTATGCTATGATGATTCTTGTCCAGCTTACTGTTATTACTCTTTGAAATGGAATTTTTAATAGGTCCTACGATATGTACTAATGTCTGTTTTGACAAGGATATCTGTATCTCGCAGTCTCTTTCAAATCAAATCATATTAATCCTCTCCTCTTTTTTTTTTTTTTTTTTTCCTCTTTTTGGAAGCTTTTTTTTTTTTTTTTTCTCAAATTAATATTGCTTCTATTGGATTTTCACATCCCTCTCCCAAACAAGTGGAGGCAAAAGACAATGTATAAAAAACTGGATTGGATTAATTGGTATAACCCATTCATTTGTGAATTGGAAGGTGACATCGTCTGTTTTATGAGAGAATAGATATAAAATTAAATTTTGGTGTATTATGTGGTTTTAGTAATTTTTTAATTTATTGAAGTCTTTTATAGACCGAAATAATATTATGAGCTATATAATAGAGGTGTAGCGCTCCTCCTCTCACTTCTCACATAAATGAGAATACTAATCAGACCATCACATGATTGACACGTAGCTTTAGTGATTAAAAATAATTTTTTTCATTTATTTATTTTTGTATTTATCTTTGTATATAAATAATATTCACATATTTTAATAATTGATAGGTCAGCTAAAAAAAAACATACAGAGAGGATCCGAATCAATTGATAAGATTATACTCAAAAAAATTTTATTTTCATACTTTAGTCATCGGCTAAATATATAAATTCACTTTTGAATTTTATTATTTAACCGTGTGACATTCTATACTTTTAATTTGACATATTAAACACTTTAATTTATAAATATACATGTAAAACACTTCACTTTTAGTTATCATTGATTTAATTTCAAAGCCTTTAATCATGTTGGCATCTCATAAGTGTTTTTGAAATGCTATCAAAAGGATTTAATTATAAATAAGCTAATTATTAGTTAGACTTGTTAGGGATCACCTTTGATATCAGTTTTTGGACATCAGCTCTGATACCACTTATTGGGTCCTTTCAACCAATTAAGAGAAAATTGATGCAGCGGAATAATCAAAATATGACACACAGAAATTTACGTGGTTCACCTTTAACTGTTTAGGGCTACATCCACGGGGACAAACTCTGAATAATTCTTCCACTATTAAAAAATAGTAGGTATACAAAGAGAGTAATACAAAAATTGTGGCACACAAAGTGTTTCCCAAAAACAATTCTTCCACTATTAAAAAATAGTAGGTATACAAAGAGAGTAATACAAAAATTGTGGCACACAAAGTGTTTCCCAAAAACACCCCAAAATAATTTCCTCACTATTTTTCTCTCCCCTAATTTTAGAAAACCCTTCTTAAAATTAGAAAACTATTTGTCTACATTTTTTTTCTTCGTTTGGTGTGTGTGTGTTGAGGCGCATCTGCCTCTATTTATAGGCAGGTTATGAGAGAGCCGTGTATAACTCATTTACGGCTCTCCGTTTTGTCAAAAGAATCGCCAACTTTTCTTCTTTTTCAAATAACACGTTTTTCTCTTCTTTTTTTTTCTGTGGATCTCATTTGAGTGGGCACCGACGCAACAAGACTATCAACTCAAACGAAACTAGTCAAATAGTAATAAATGAGATGAGGGTATTAATGCCTTCTCACTGAACAAAGGGACAAAATAGTGATAACACATGTTTTGTTATACTGTAATATGAGGAAATAAGTATTTTATTTTTGCTGCTCATTGCTCTAGAGACCTGGGTTTTAATAGTATTATTCTTGAAACGGACTATCTTCCATTGGTTCAGAAGCTGCAAAATCACGACGTCCCTTTGTCGGAACTGGAAAATAGGACTTTGGTTCTAAAAGATTTGCTTCTCTTTCTTGCATTTTCTCTCATGTTTACAGATCAGGTAATGTAGTAGCTCATTACTTAGCTAAAACAGCCCTCATTTCTAGTCATGAGGAGCTAATTTGGGATGAGGAATTTCCCTCTTTCTTAGACAATTTTGTTCAGGTGAATTTAGCCTCTATTATTCGTTAATTTAATCTATGTTTATTCTCAAAAAAAGTAAAATAAATATTTTATTTTGTTTCACTTTGAGTGTTCATTTTGGATTTTGAGAGTATATTAATAGTTTTTTTTTTCAATTTTACCCATTTTTATTTGGTGTATTTTATATTTATATTTATTTTTATTTTTCTCTTTTTTATCATTATTTTAATTATAATTAAATTCAAATTTTGACTACACAAATAATTAAAAGTTTTTCATTATACAAAGGTACGAAAAAATGAAATGAAAGTATTACTTTAATAATAGTGCTTTAAATAAGTTAGAACTAGCATTAGTTTTGTAGTAAAATTAAATAGGAAGTATATAATTTTAAGAAAGGTAATTTAGGCATTCTACCTAATCATTTTCTTAATTTTTGTAAAAGATGAAATATTGCTTTTAAAGTGGAAGGGATGTAGTAGTATTTAACTATTGGTTTGGTGTATACATTGAAAATTGATTTTCGTTAATTATTTATTTGGAAATTATAAAATCTATAAAAATTGATTTTCGTTAATTATTTATTTGGAAATTATAAAATCTATAATATATATACGTATTATATATATACTATATATATATATAATATATATATATATATAATTCTGGAGCAATATAATTATTTTAAATATATAATTCTGGAGCAAATAATTATTTAAAATTGCTGACGTGGCGCTCTTATTTTTTAGCATTCTATTTTTCCTTTTTTTAGAAATTTTTGGATTTTTGGATTTTTCTATATTTTAATTTGATATATATTTTTTTAAAAATTATTTTCTCTAAATAGATATGTATCACTTTGAATTGTTTTGAATATATTATTATCTATAAAATACTCGTATATGCATATCTATATGTTTTATAAAGTGATTTGAAACTAGCCCATGATATCATCTCTATTCTCTGATAAAAAATCATTTAGAGTTATTCCACTAAAAATGTTAATTTCGTGTTACTATTATGAAAATCTCAAGCTTTCATCTTTGAATTCAATAAACTTTACCTAAATTTTGTTTTCAGTTTTTCTATTTTGGATGAATCCAAACAGACACTAATTTCATGTTTTTGTGATGACAATTGAAAGCAAAAGTTCAACTTTGAGAAGAGCTCAAGGAAACTAAAAATATCTCTGTGAATTTCTCCAATATTTTCATTTTTTTAATATTTATTTAATTTATATGGAAATTTTATTGAGATATTGTGAATTATTCCTGCAAAATACTAAATACAAAAGCTATTTCTTAGATAATTCTTCACCGCAGATTTCTCATTCAAGGTATCATATTCAATTTTATCAAACATATGCTTTATTTATGATTAATTTGATCCGTAAGTGCTCTTTTATTTTGTTTTTTCATTTAGTTTCCATCCCAAAAACTTAATGAGGTTTTATATATTCCATAAGGTGCATTAATTCATGAGTTATAATCTTTTGAGAATACTAAAACACGTTAACCAAGTGTTATTCATTCAAATTTTACTTGGTTCACTTGATAACTTTTAAATTGTCCCAAATGAATGGTTGCAAAGTTTGGTCACTTCAGTCTCACAAAGTAAGAGAATTCTTTTAATTGATATGACAACTTTTATATTGTATATAAAAAAAAATGTTAATCTTGAATGAAATTATGCGGCACATATAATTTGATGGGTAGGAAATGATAGTGATTTTTTTTTTTTTCATTTCTTTAAGATTGTAGCATTTGTTTTATTTATTATTTTTCATAAATATTGATAATAAGTTCATATCTTTAAGATCGCAGCCAACATTGAATTAATCAAAAACTTTACGTTTTCTTTTATTCTTCAAGAAAAGATGGTGTTCTTCATCTTTGCATGAACAGAATCATATTTTCCTTAGTAATTAAGATTGTGAGTTCTACAAGATTAGTTGCGCCAAGAATTTCAGAGTTGTTTTCAAGAATACTTGAAGGTAAGTTTCTGATTCTTGTTTTAAATTCTTTGCTTTCTCTCTTCAAGAGTACTTGGGGGTTAAAGGGATTGTCGGGTACTTCCGTGATTGCATAAAGGGAATTGTCGGGTACTTCCGTGAATTGCATACTTTCCGCTAGATTTTCCTTGTTGATTTGCAAGAGTACTTGTTAATTAAAGCTAGGGTCGTATTAACGGTCTATAAGTTAAAGGGATTGTCGGGTACTTCCGTGATTGCATACTTTCCGCTAGATTTTCCTTGTTGATTTGCAAGAGTACTTGTTAATTAGCTAGGGTCGTATTATCGGTCTATAGTTGAGTCCATTTTTATGATGGAATAAAACCAAGCTAATACTATAAATGACGTATAAGTTCATTTTTATTGGTTTGATTCATAGTTGAGTCCATAGATCGAGTTTATAGAAATTTAATCTAAATTTATGTGGCTCAAATTAATGAAGGTATTATTGTCTCTTTTGTGGTAGAAAAAGAGACAAACTAGTGAAAAGTTTAAACAGTTTTCTACATGGTAATTAACTATTAGCTTGGCATGAGTAATAAGGCAAGTATTTTCCATGGCTTTATGAGTGTGTATATATACATACATACGAAGTTCGAAGAGTTTTGCATTTCATTAATTTTTGTTTATATATTATCAATTAGCGTTATATAATTAATTATATGGACAAATGAGTTCTTTAAATAAATATGTATCAAGACAAAAATGGGAAAATATTCCACATTGCAAAGGGCATTCATGGTACTGTATATAGTGTATGTAAACCTTTTTGGTAAATTAAAATTAAGCTTCCCATAAGACTTAACCAGACAGGTGCATGCACAGAAATGCTAAAGTTGTACAAGGCCTTACTTTGGTTAATCTTGTAATAACTAAACACTTTTTATAGTTGATGAGTTAATACATGAATTCTCATCAGCTATAACAAGACTCATAATGTACTCAATCTCATCTGCAACTTCTTTCATCGACGGTCGATTTTGCCTCTTGTCATCCAAACAAGCTTCTGCTAAAGACCATAATGCTTGCATAGTCTCTAGTTCTAACTTACTAGCTCCTTCTTTAAGCACAGGATCAATAGCATCCAATAATTTCTCTTGTTTCAAAATTTTCCTGCCATAGACCACCAAGTTCACATCTTCATCAACTCTACTAAAATCAATGGCCTTTTTTGAAGTCAACATCTCTAATAACACAACTCCAAAGCTATAAACATCGCTTTTATCGGTCAATTGAAAATTAATGTAATATTCTGGATCGAGATAGCCTAATGTTCCTTGAGCACAAGTTGTAATATGACTTGTATCTGTCACTGCAAGCCTGGAGATACCAAAATCAGAAACTTTGGCATTGAGTTCTTGATCGAGCAGAATATTACTAGATTTAACATCTCGGTGGTAAATAGGCGGTGTAGCAGAAGAATGTAGATATGCAAGACCTTCTGCTGTTTGGTGAGCAATGACAAGACGACGTGTCCATGTTAAATGTGCCTTCTTGTTACTTGTGTGGAGGTTATCGAAAAGCGTTCCATTAGGGATGTACTCATATACCAAAAGAGGTTGCTCGAGCTCGACACAGCAACCCAGAAGTTTTACTAGGCTTCTGTGATTAACTTGGCAGAGAATTCGAACTTCATTAAGAATTTGGTCAATTCCTTTAGTATTTCCTGCCTTCGCACGTTTTATTGCTGTTACGGTTCCATTGTCTATAATACCTTTGAAAACCTCACCGAAACCTCCAGAGCCGAGGAGATTGTCTCTTGAGAAGTTGTTTGTTGCTTTTGTTATTTCTTTGCTTGTGAAAATCCTGCCCATTAATCCACCGCTGTTTACACTTAAAATTCTTTCTCTTACCTTGCTTAAATTTACTTGTGCTAATTTTTCCCTTTTCTGATGAAGATGCTGCTTTTTGTAGACTAAAAAGATAACTATTATTCCAAGAAGCATTGCAACCACAGCAAGGGCTGAACCTTAATATAATTTACAAATAGTTTAGAATAAGTAGATGATTTACAATGCAAAAATCTAAATTCAGATTTCGAATATACCCTAGTTTTAATTAATCATCTGAATCGTATGTAATTAGCTGCTAATGTGCTTACCACCAATTAATGGAGTTTTTGTCTTGTGTTGATGACAATGACCCCTATGTTTGCACTTCTCACCTGTACAAAAAGAAGTGTCTTACCGTATCATCAATCATGCTGCTAAACAGTTTGAAGTTGTAGATTTTTCTCAACCCGCTGAAGTTGGAATTCAATTGATGTTTTAAATTAATAATACCAAATATGAAAATTTATTTACAAATAAATTTGATATTTTGAATTTCTTTATATGGACTGGAGTGTAACACTCCAAGTCAATTCTCAACTAATTAAATTAAACTCTAATTCAATGTAAAGCTTAAATTTAAGTGTCTGTAATTTTTATTTTCCACTTTCAACTATATTAATATCAATTAAAAACAGTAGTAGAAAATTATTTAATCTTCTAAATTTAGCCACAATTACAATTTCGCCATTTCTTATTTGACAAAAATATTAGTTATTTTTTAAAATTTATAATTATGAGCAAATTTGAGATACTAAATAATCATTTTTTTTAAAGGGAAAAAAAAAATAGTTTAGACAAGAAAAGTAGCATACTTACTCAGTAGACATACTCCATTGATGGGATCCCACATAAACCCAGCAAGGCAGAAGCACCTTTTCGTTCGAACACCAATCGGATCCGGCAAACACAAAGAATTTGGCAAATCCTGACAATCCGCTGTCGTTTTACACATGGGCTCCTGTGGTAAACTCCACTCTAACTCCAACCCAGGCTCCGGCCACTTACTCACCGGGGATTCCAAATCCAAATTCACAAAACTTTGATAAGCAGAACACCTTTCCGTCCGAACCCTAATTTTATACTCATTGAGGGACCCACCAGTTTTAAACCAACAACATATCTGTTCTGGTATGGCCCCACATGCTGCTTTTGCTACTGCATTTTCTTTAACATAGTCATGGCATCTACTGGTAGAAGAACAGTTTAAAGCCGAGAAAAATTCAAAAACTAACTGCGAACAATTCATGATAATTACTGTGTTACTGCCAGTAATATTGAAAGGAAGATTACTGTCTAGTTGAAAGCCTTGGCTTGCAAAATCAGCTGCCATGCACGTGTTCTTGGCGAAGCCGGGCGGTCGGATAGTTAACCGTTGGGTTAATGGGTTGATGGATGTGATTAAGTAGGAGGATCCGTTTAGTGCGTTAAACCATAATGCGTTTGCTTTGCAGGTAATTTTGTATAATGGATCGCCGCAGGCTGGGCTCGTGCTAAATGGATATGGCACCGGAGATTGGCCGCAGTTGGGGCAACGACGATTGGCTAGTACTTGCCTGTTGTATAATAGCATGGCTATTGTGAGAAATAATGTGAGCAGCAATTGTCTGTTGTCCATTAGGAAAGAAAGAGTGATTTATTGGTAATTAGCGTACAAAAATTTTATAGGGAAGGAAGGAAAAAAAAAAAAAGGAAAAAAGAAACGACTAGGTTACAATGAGAGCTCAAGTAAGGGGCACAAGCAAATATAAAAAAGACGGCTGATAAAGTCAACCAATTTTGTCTCTCTTTTATTAAAAATTAGTTTTTTGTATGACATGGTTGTTGTTGATTATATTCTTTATATATTCAATGTTTTATCTATATATATATTTTGTTTAGATTAAAATAAATACGAGTGATTAATTTGTATTATATTTTACCGTAAAAATTATTTGCAATGTTACTTATTATGTACTTAATTCTATTTTTATATAATGAAGTGATCTTAGAATAAAGTTCAATTCAATTATTAAACTTAATCCTTTAGTCCATAATTTATAAATGCAGATTTTTAAAACCCTAATAGGTGCCCAAAAAGAAAGTCAAATCATTGCTCAATCTCTAACCCTCTGTTTTCAACTCTAAATCAATATTTATATACGACTATAATAAAGAATAATAATAAATTATTTTTACTGTTTGGTCAAAGAAAAGAAATGAAAAGATGATCTGAATTGATAATGGAAATCACTTTAACTCTACTAATAATATTATGTCTACAGTGTATCAAAGAAAGGAATATATATGTACATAGATATAAATTCTTGAACCCAAAAAGTGACCAAAATAAAAATATATAGTTCTAATTTTTTTTTTCCAGTTTGTTAAATACTATTTTCTTTTAAATCAAATAGATTTAGGATATAAGAGAAAAAATATCAAAAAAATTAAAAATGCTTAAAGATCAATATGCCATCTATTTATTACAAAAGAAATATAAATCTCTTACTAAATTAAAATGATAATATTTACAAATTATTCAATAACGAAAAAGAAAATAAAAAGTTATTATTAAGAATAAAACTCTTTCAAAATTCACCTAAAAAACGTTTCAATGTATATAAATATATAAATATATTAATAAAAATTAATATTTACAAATTAATTTCAATAACGAAAAAGAAAATAAAAAGTTATTATTAAGAATTAAAAACTCTTTCAAAAATTCACCTAAAAAAAAACGTTTTCAATTAATAAATATATAAATATATTAATAAAAATATTATATATATATTTTAAAAATTAAAATAATTAATTGTTTATCATTCCATGTTTAATTATGTAAATCTTATTCTTAAATCTAAAAATTTACTTTTTTAAAAAAACATATCCATCAAATATTGACAAAGCATAAAGAACAAAAAATTAATAAAAATAATATATTTTCTTTCTTTTATCTCTTTCCTAAATTTAAAATATTATATTATATATATTTATTTTTGAAAATTTATTTGTTTAAAAATATATCTAATCATATCATGACAAACATAAAGAAAAAAGAATATTAATAAAAAAGTATATTTCTATTTTTTAGTACATCCTTAAAGAATTAAATATTTAATAAATGATATAAAAAATTTTCAAATTGTCTAAAAAAATTCAAATGTCTCATTATCATATACATTCATAAAAAATAAATTTAGCAAATATAAAAATTAAAATTTTAAAATGCTTAATTATATATATGTATTTATTATAAAAATTATTTTTTTGATTCATTAGGAGGCCTGATAGTGAAAATAATCTTGGAGGCTACATAACAATCAAATTGGCAACTCACCTAATAAAAAAAAAATGCTTCAATGCATATAGATATATAAATATATTAATAATACATTATTTTTTTTTAAATTAAAATTTTCAAACTGTTTACCATCAGGTTTAATTATGTAAATTCTGTTTGAAAATTTATTTTTTAAAAAATTTATCCAATCAAATCTTACAAACATAAAAAACAAAAACATTAATAAAAATCATATACTTTTTTCTTTTTTTTTATCTTTTTCCTAAATAAAATATTATATATATTCTATTTAAAAATTTATTTTTTTAAAAAATATCCAATCAGACCATATAAACATAAAGAAAAGAAATATTTTCTTTCTTTTTTTATATATATATTTATTTCTAAAAGAATTAATATTTAATTAAATAAAATAATAAAATTTTTATAATATCTTCATTATCATATATATTTCATTAAAAAAATAAATTTAATAAAGATAAACTTTAAAATTTGAAATGCTTAATTATTTAAATTTAATAAAGATAAAACTTAAAATTTTGAAATGCTTAATTATTTATATGTATTTATTTAAAAAATAATTTTTTTATTCATTAGAGGCCTAATGGGCCGAAATAACACTGTAGGGTACACAATAATCAAATTGGTGAAACACTTGTAGTCCAAAGGATTTGAACTCGAGACTTCTCACTCCTCAAATAAGTGAGAAAATAATTAGGTCGTCCATGATTGACTGAAAAAATAATTTTTATAAATTATATCCAACAACTAATAAACTATAATTTTTTAATTGATCATCATTAAGTGTACTTTAGAACATTTTAAATTTTTTTAAGGGTGATAGGAAATCCTGTTATTCTCCCCTAATCCCACTTTTATATCGTATAGATAGATATTATCAATGAGTTATAAAAAGTTAAAAAGTACTCCATACTAAATTTTAAAGATCCTTCGTATTTAGATCACTCTATTTTTCAATTTTGAATTGAATTTAAGTCAAAGTCAAATCTATTATCAAACCATGTATGAACTTATCACTAGAACCATACATTCGTGTGCATTGTTTTTGTAAAACATTATTGTCTACTCTTTTACCTGAAATGTGATTGGTTCCGTATGATTTTTTTATTTAGTTTACAAAATTAAATATGGAGTCTATTATTGTTAATTTGCATTCTTGCTAATCATTTAATTAGTTTAAAATCTATTCATAAATTTATTTATTTATTTATTTATTTTGGTTGGATACAATTTAAGGATTACTAAATCTTAATGTGAGATCTATGAATATTTTAATAGATACGAATCTGGGATTCAGTTTGAATCTCAGAATGGACATTATAAATTTGTAATTGCATTATTTGAGATTACCAATTGATCATTTTATATTTAGTTCATAGTACAATGCGTGGTTCAACCCCAATAAAATTGCGTGTATCCAAGTTTCAATGCATTTGCCAAAAGAACAGTGCACGTGAAGTTTGATACTTCGTGTCATAACTACACTTTACTGCATTAAATTCTCGGAGGTTATGACATTATGAATGCTTTTCTGATTTTTTAAGGTTTCCTTGGTATATTCCAGTTCAACCTGTCATAAGTGTGCTGTAAATTGCTCATGTTTAAGTCAACTAGCTATACCACTCAACAAGTTGGATCTTGATTTTGTTTATGCTTTATTAATAATCTATTTTACCCCTTACGGTCCATCTCAAATTTCTCTCGTGCATTATTAACAGATTTTTTCAAAAATAAATATTTGCATTTCATTGCTTATATAAATAATCAATGAAATATTCATTTCTTAAAAAATTAGATTTACCCCTTACGGTCCATCTCAAATTTCTCTCGTGCATTATTAACAGATTTTTTCAAAAATAAATATTTGCATTTCATTGCTTATATAAATAATCAATGAAATATTCATTTCTTAAAAAATTAGACATAGAACATCATGTGATAATAAAAAAAGTACAACAAAATTCGCTGATTTTATAAGAAATTCTAAAAAGATCGGATGGTGAAACAATTGGATTTTCAAAGTGATTAGCTATACAATTAGTTTGGATTTTTATTATCGAGCCTAATTTGTTGCTTATCCAATAATTTATTACTTATAAGGAATATAAAGACTTTGATTCATTAATTTTTATTACCAAATTCTAACATATGTTCAAATAGATATTTCACATATTGCATTTCTGTTCAAAAAAAATTAAAACTAAATTCTTCATATAAAATGGAGAGAAAATAACTCCACATAAGACGAAGATGGATTAAAATTAAAAAGCACAAGATCAATGAAGATCTAAAAATCAAAATACTATCTTTTCATAAATCAAACGAAAAGTAAAGAAAAAAAGTTTATATATATATATTCTATTATTTTTAAGTGGATGCAAACTTTAAAATTTAGTACCCGCTTTTAAAAGCTGAACCAAACTGAAACTACTATCTCTTTCTTGTTTATTTCTCTAATGGTTTCCTCTCTCTTCTCTCTGGGAAATTAAAAAACGCAGGGGCAAGTGGGCACAATAACGATCTGGCAATATTGTCAGTCCCATAAAAAGGGAACATAGATCCCATGGCGCTTGGACCTAAGAAAAAAGCATAATTTAAAATATAAAGAAGAGCAAATGCAGCTTTTGGATTTAGAACTAGAACAATATAATATATGTAGTCCGTTAGAATTGTCTATTATTTTACAAGATCTTAGAATGAACAATTCTTGAATTACAGTAGTGGGTTTCTGTAACTTCTTTTTGTTGTGAAATAAAAGATGTCATTTCTGGTATCTAATTTCATTTCAAATTCCAATTTGTGAGCCAAATTACCATATTTTTATAAATTTTCTAATTTGACAACATATTTTTTCTTAGTTTTCTTAAGGGATTTGTCAACCAACTATTTATAATTTTACTTATATTCGTATGTAAAAATTTTTACGTGTAAGGTTAGGAGTTTGAAAGATTTAGAGTTTATCACTTTTGAGAAAGAGTTTCAAAGATTTAGAGTTTATCACTTTTGAGAAAGTTTTACTTGAATACTACTCATAACCTGATAATGCATATACTACAAAAAATAGAAAAAAAAAAATATCTCATGCATTGTGTACATTAACACCATCATTCTTTACACACCAAGATATAATCTAATGATAAGTATATATATAACCTGACAATAGATTTAGATTCGAATTTCCTTCCCAATACTAAAAAAAAAATACATATTTTGCATATACTGTTGCAAAAAACTTGACTTTGTGGAAACAGTTTTAAGGTAATTGAATCTTGAAAGCTATTTCAAATAAGTAACATTTCATTGAATGATGT